AAGATAGCGAGATAAAAAAGCTTTATACTAGTACCTTTACCTATAAAAGTAGAGTAAAAGAAGAAAAAAATCCGGGAAAGAAATCTAAGGGTAGAGTTTTAATAAAAAAAAAAGGGTCTAGATAGTCTCTTACGTTTAGCTTACTAAATATCTTAGAGTAGCCTAATCTCTAGTTTATATACTTAGGTACGCTATATTACCGAGCTATCTATAAAGAGAGAGATACTTCGAGCTAAGAGGTAGTAGTAACCTCTATATAGCTATATAAGAGCGAATACCGATTCTTATCTATAGGCCTTTATAGAGAGGGTCTTTAGTATTATATAACGAGCTAGATCTATAGGTAAAGCTAGAGTAAAGTAAGAGAGTGTATTTTAACGAGAATACTAAAGATAGAGAAGAAAGAGAGAGAAAGGAAGCAAGATCTAGCGAGCTTTAAGAAAGCTAATCAAACCAGAGATCTATACAAACTATACAAACCCTATCCTTACTCGCTAAGCGAGAGCAACAAATAAAGCAAACTAATTAAAAACAGATCTAGTATCAGATTATAACAAGAACTAGAAGTTATTATTAGAGTATTAGTCGATCTATAACTTATTATAAAACGCTTTTAATATAGAATTAATAACTTTTAAAATAATTTCTAATAGATATTATACTAATAAAACTCCTAATTATTAGATAAAAAGAATTAAAATCTACTATTAAATATTAGAATTATTCTAACTATATAAAGAAGTCTAATAATCTAATATAATTAAGATTTTTATATTATTAAATAACGTTTAAAGGATAGACTTCTATTATTCTATAATAATATTATAGAAATAATAGTATATTATAATAATAGAAGGTATTAAAAAGATACATAATATAAAGTAGGCTAATTAAAATAGTTTATAAAATATAAAATATTTAATAAAATAGAATAGAAATAGATTAAAGATAAGAAATTAAAAAAGATACTCTTTCTAAACTAACTATAAAAAAAGAGTTTCCGATTAGCTATTATCCTATATATCTAAAAGTATTATTAAAATCTAATAACTAAATAAAATATAAAGGTTTACTATCTTTTAAAAGGATTTAGTAATTTCTCTTTTCTTTTTTTATTAAACTTTATAATAGCCTACTATATTTAAATATTTTAATATTATTAATATATTATAATAGCTTTTACTATTAGATAATAAAGAATAAAGATACTTTAAGATCTTTAAATAATATTTATATATTATTTTTAATATACTATCTTTAATAAAGATAATTTAGTTAAAGTTATTTTATATATTTAAATTATAATTTAAATCCTAAAAAAGCTTACTTTTCTATTTATAGTAGGTTTATAGCTACTAGTTAATCTATTCTTTATATACTATATTATTATAAAACATATATATCTTTTTCGACTAAGACTAATATAAATAAAAAAAAGTAAGATTAATAAAAGATTAAAAGATGAAGAAAATTGGTATTAAGTATTAATAGTATTAAAAGATTTAATTATAAATTAGTTATTGAATAGGCTTAGAATCTAAGAAAAAAAGAATAAAATAGCTAGGATTATCTATATCTCTATCGAAAAGAATAGATAAAAAGTTAAAATACTAGCTTTAGAATATAATTATTATAAAGATAAATACTATAAGAGATATAAAAGAGATAATTAGAAAAAGTATATATTTATAAAAAAAGGGTTTTAGATAATAGATATATAAATAAACTAAATAAAATAGATATATTATAAGATAAGATATAAAATTAATTAATTAATTATATAAACTATATTTAAATAGGTCTAATCTATTAGAATCTAATAGAATCTAATAGAACCTATTTATAATCTATTATAATCTAATAAAATCTAATAAAACTTATTATAATCTAATAAAATCTATTAAAACTTATTATAATCTAATAAAATATATTAATAATCTATTAATAATCTATTAAAATCTAAAAGAATCTATTTATAATCTATTTTCTTCAAAGATTATTTAAAAATATTTATCTAGAATATATATAAAATATAGAAATTATTTATAAACTACCCTAATTCATATAATATATTAATTATTAGATATATTAATTAAGAATATAATAAAAGAGATATATAGCTTTAAAATAATATTAATTATATAGAAAATAAACTAAGATTAAGAAATTTCTATTTCTATTTCTATTTATATTTAAATATATATAGACTTATTGTTACGCACTACCAACTGGTCATAGTTAGGTTAGAAGGGTTCCGGGTATACTTACCTTATACCGCTTAGGTTCCTAACGTTAACGATCTATACTCTTAACCGTACTATTACCTAATAGGCCGTACTATAGACTAGGTCCTTTTAAGGTATCGAGGAACGGTGCTAGGTAGAGCGCCGAATAGATCTATACCGGAGTATTAGTCTATTTATAAGTGTTATTAAATTATAATAAGTAAGAGAGTCACTAGTAACCTAAAAGGTAAATATAAGTAATAATATATGATTAAAGACGAAGAACTAAACTAAGTATATAAATAAATATCTTTATATATCCTTCGCTTCCTATTTCTAGCGTAACTTCCTAGAGTTACCGCTAGAGTCGCTATATACTCCTATATATACTTCTTAAAGTCGATATCGGAGTTATAGTTATATATCCCTAGTTCTATATATAGTGATTCCTAGTATAGGTAATATCCGATATCCTAAAGTATATATATATTATAAACCTTCTAGTAGTGAGCTTGATTAGGCTTGATTATACTTCCGCTTACTAAGTATGAATGGATTCCTCTTCCTTAGTTCCTAGGAATACTAGAGTACTAGGTGCTATACGTGATCTGCTAATAGATAGATTAGTTAGCTCTTAGTAGCCTATCTGTGTACCCGGTGGGGTACCATCGATTGGTGACGGGTAGTTCTGTAACACTTATCTCTACTATAAATATATATTTCTAATAGTCTATATTTAATAAACCCTTAAATTAATAGAATACTACTATATTATAATTAATCTTAATTTTTATTAATAATTAATATAATATAAAGTAAATTAACTTTAAATTTAAAGTAATTATATAAAATTTCTAATTTATTACTATAATAATATAGTAATATTCGGTAGGTAAACTAGAATAGTTATAAAAAATAGTAATTTTATTCGATAATTTAGTATTATTATAAATACTAAAATCTATATTTTATACTAAAATAGGTTTAAATAGGTTATTATTAGGTTATTAGGTTTAACCTATTAGGTTTTAGGTTAGGTTAGGTTATAGAAGGCGGAACCTAAAACCTAATAGGTTAGGTTTTAGGTTAGAGACTCCGACCTAAAATGGGTTCTGCCGAAGTCTAAAGACCGGACCAAACCGTAGTGATAGGGTCCATAAAAAGTTAGGACCGCCTAGCGGTCTCAAGCGCTGGGACCGAAGACCGCGCGGTTCGGTCTGGCACGGTCTTTGTTGCAGTCTTTTTTGTCCCGTGCAGAGATCTAAAGCTACTGTTTTACGTGGTGTTCGCTAGACTGTATCAAAGCCTATCATCTGGGCAAGAAATCTTGTACAGTCCGTCGCAATATTTTTGGGAGTCCAGCACTACAAGTATGTCACAAATACCTTACGAATACTGCATGAAACCGGGTCTATAGATGATCCAAATGGCTTCGGGTATAGAGTATATCCGGAGGTTAGTCATGTAATTAGAAATGGCCCATAAACAATGGGAAATAGGGATAATGGAAATCCAGAGTCATTTACATCTCCAATGCGGATACAGTACAGATCGTGACAAAGAATACTAATGCTGACTCCGGTATGGATATCTCGAGCATTCTAGGATGTACCATAATGCCGTCTCCACTGAAATGATCGGGATATCCTGGAGCAGTGGCTGCATATAAGTATTGTAAAACGCGAGAGCTTCCGTAATGGGATATAGTATTGAGGGGAATCTACGTACAGGAAGCAAAGAGGGAAAAGCCGAGTTCTATCTATGGAGGAGAGAACGAGCGCAAGCATCCAAAAGAGGCCCAATAAAGGCCTCGAGCAAACAAACGGAAACAACCGCCAGAGGGAGGCAATATCCATGAAGTACGAATATTCGTAGAGGCCTGTGTACCACGAGTGCGTATGCGAATATCTCAAATTGTTGCGAATATGTATTCGTGCCGACCCATAGCATGCTTCGCCATTTTGGGTCCTCTCCGAACCCTCAATCCTATCAAGGCTCAAGGCTCGAGACTCGGCTGCCTAAGAGCACCCAGACTGCCCTTCTTCACCCGTGCCCTACGCCACTGCTTCTTCGGATAAAGTTGAAGTTAGTCGTCCTCTCCTTTTCCGTCCCATCTCTTTCGCTTTCCTTTCTTACAACCCCTTCTTTCCTCCCTACGCCCCACTAGCTGCCGTCGCAGCGCTCCTGCTGTTACCTTTTCGTGTCTAATCCCAGATTAGTCATTCTTTGCCACCGACATTGACTGTTGTCTATCCCTTACGTTACTCCATTCTTGCTGCCTCGTTCCTTGCAGCCCACGCTATACCCAGCCGACTACTCCAAGCCTCCCCCGGTCTGAACGAACAGGTGCCCAAAGGCAAGCCTTGAGAGATCATGTGAGGCCCCAGGCACCTTTAGCGACCGCGTCTCGCTCTGCTCCTCCGTAGTCCCATCTCCAAGCTCAAGCATGTGGAGTTAATCACGCAGAAGATCCCATCTGGCAAATTCGCTAAGAGCTAGAGGTTCCCTTGGGCGAAGAGCCCACACGTGCAAGGGAATTTGGATGGATCTTTCTTAGCCCTCGATCAATTTATCTTCTTACTACTATTTCTGCTTTTCCTATTTTAACTCCCCCATTCCCCACAAACGTAGAAATTATCATGAGCCCACAATCTAAAAACACGTGGCGAGTCGAGGTCCAGCGCCTCATATCAAGTGGGGAATACGTCCGGGACAGTGGGCTTACACACCAGATCCACTGCCTTAACTTAAAACCAGTTCCCCTTGCCTCGTCCCTTACTCCCAGGGATGTACAACAATCTTCACACCACTAACACCCTTGTTCAAAACAGTAAGAGCCTCATTCAGCCCAGCTAGGCCGCCACTGACTTTCTGAGTGGGGAGCGGAAGAAGCTCGCCCTTTGCGATTGCTAGTGGAAGATAGGAGTTAAATGCCCATTTGAGTACTCCTGCATTCTCTTCCTCGCTCAGTCGAACATGCCACGAAGCAAATTTGCGGGTCACACCCTGGGGCAAAGTCTCGGGCCCAAAGGGAGGTTGCAGGGCATACACCTCTCCACCACCCTGCGCACCGAGTACTGCCGCAGTGACACTGATCGTGCTGGGAGTCGAGATTGCATCAACGACCAGATCGTATGGGCCTTCTGCAATCAGTGCCTTCACAACTGTTTCTTGACCCTGCGTATGATCGATGACTTTCACTGCACCCAGTTTTGTAACAAAAGATTCGTGCTTCGGTGAGGTGGTAGTAATAACTGTGTACCCCGCTTGTTTGACGTATTGCACCGAAAGACTGCCAAAGCTTGATGTTCCCCCCATAGACTAAGACCTTTCTGTTTCTGGTAGGCGCCTGGCCTACTAGATCTGGCTTCTCCAGCCCCGCACTTAGGGTAAACAAGCCGACAACTGTGCTCAAGTTACCAATCAAGCTGACGGCGACACTGAGATCCATATCCTTCGGCAGTTTGCTTGCGCTAATATCTCGCGCTATAACATATTGCTGGAAGGCGCCCGACTCGTTGCCGACGGCCAGAGCAGTCTTTTTTGCGGCGACCTTGTCACCAACTCTGAAGCCGGCGACGTCATCTCCAATGGCCGTAACGGTACCCCCGAATGATGTTCCAAGGACGACCGGATATTGGAGGGGAAACATTGCTGCTTTGGCGATTTTTGCATCGATGGGTTGTAGTCCAACAAGCTCGTTCTTAATCAAAAGTTCACCAGGACCAGGCTTAGGAGTTTGGACTTCCTGCACCTCAAGGGGAGCCTTAGCATCTAAAATGATAGCAGCAAGGTGAGGCATAACGTCGTGGTGTTGGCGAGGCAGTGATCGACTAGAGAATGGGAAGAGAGTGCTCTGGTTTGACAGTATTTGAAGAACATTGGGATTAATTCTCAATGAGCGCGAAGACGCACTCGTGTAGTTTATAAGCTTTTGTGTTGGTAAGTGCGTTTTCCCTTCAGAATGAATCAAGAAGTAGAAGTGGAGTCAGGCTAGGCGACCCAGTCGCACCATGGGGTACGATGCTTGATAATTCACGGATCTTCGGTACTAAGAAAACCCCGAGGCCAGCACGGCTGTCACAACAGTATTACAGTACTTTGCAGGTCTAAACAAGGGTGCCTTAATACATTCACACGCGTAAGTTCGCCGTAACCGTGGGATCCTTGTGTGATTAGCGCTGCTTAGTAATAGCAAACTCGCTCTTCGCTCGGATAGGGAACGCTGAGTGACAAACCACAATAGAGTGCTATTGGATCCCTAAGCAAGGATCCTGGCGTCTATATTCTGCCTTTGGAGACGGAAGACGGTAATTACGGAACTACCCTATGTCCGTGAATTTCGCTTACGCTTCTTGTTAAGCCTGACAAATTTTCGTCTTGATTTGGTTCATCGGGACTAAAATCAACGCCGATAGTAAGGTGCTGACAAAAGTGCTGGCGATCGGCCTCAAGAGACATACATTTGATCATGACGTCATTGATATTGTTAAAGGATAAATATTTAGATGTTGCTCAATGGCGGTCAATTAGAATCATTCTAAAATAGCAAACATTCAATTCTATCTCTCCATCTGAGGATTCGTCGCCTTTACAAAACCGCAATCATGTCCAAAATTATTACCGTCTTCGGTGCCACCGGACAGCAAGGCGGCTCTGTGATCCGTACTATTCTGCAGGATGAGACCCTATCTAAGGAGTTCAAGATCCGTGGTGTTAGTCGCGATACTTCAAAGCCGGAGGCTCAAGTTCTGCTGAAGCAGGGGGTCGAGCTTGTCCCGGTAAGATAGCGGCAGCTTTACAACAGATCCGACTGGTTGATGGCCACTAACAGCATATTTAGGCTGATATGAATTCCAAGGAGTCCTTGGTGAAAGCCATTCAAGGAAGTCACTCCGTCTTCCTCGTGACTACTCCCACTTGGGGTTCCGCTGGATCCGATGCAGAGCTCGTCCATGGCAAGAACGTCGCCGATGTCGCCAAGGAGGCTGGCGTCCAACACCTCATCTTCTCTTCCCTTCTCGACGTTACCAAAGAATCAGGTGGCCGACTGAAGCATGTCCCCCACTTTGATCAGAAGGCCCACGTTGAGGAGTACATTCGGTCATCCGGTGTGCCCGCTACCTTTGTCTTGGCTGGTTATTTCATGAACAACTACACTTCATTTGGCATGCTGCGCAAGGGCGACGATGATGTCTACACTTTGGCCTACCCTGTAGGCAAGGATGCTCAATTCCCACTCATCGATATCGCAGGTGATCTGGGTACGTATTATCCCATTTACGTATCACATGTCAGAATTGGGGCAGCTAACGAACACTTTGATCAGGTAAATTTGTCGCCGCTGCCTTGAAGAACCGTTCCGAGGTTCTCGGCGCCCAAGTCCTTGCTGCGGCAGACTACTACACTCCCACTCGCATCCTTGCCGAGTATGAGGAGGTTACGGGAAGGAAGACTCGGTTCGTGCAGGTTGATACCGAAACCTACAAGAGCTTCATGCCTAGGTCGATGGGCGAGGAGATGCTGGAGAATCACTTGTTTATCGAGAGCCCTGGTTACTACAAGGGCCAAAGCCTGCAGGAGAGCCATGCTCTTCTTGAAAAGGCTGGTTTCCAAGCCACAACCTGGAAGGCTTATTTGGAGCGGAACAAGGCCTCGCTTTAAGAACTTGGAGAGGTCAAGATACCGAGAAGTCATAGTTGCCAATAAGTGACAGAGTTATATTCTATAAGTCGGTATTCTTAAGTTAAATCCTAAAATTAGGTACCCCTTTAAAATAGCGTGGTAGCTAAAAGAGAGCTTATAGGTCCTACTTCTTTAGGTCTGCTATTCGTATTTATAGTCTATTAATAGCGAAAGTAATATTAGGTCTAGTCTATATTCTAAGCTAGGTAACTTTACTAACGTCTTCTCTAAAGGCCGCTTCTTAGAGAAAAAGATCTCGTTATCTCAGTCTTTATCGTTTTCGGTAGTAGAAAAAGGTGGTTAATAGGTCGATCTTATAGGTAGGTATATTATCGACGCCTTACCTAGGCTAGCTATCTATAGTAGATCCTCTAAGTATATAGCCTAATTTGTGACGAGCCAGATCTACAGGCAGAGCCAGGATAGCAGAGCAAGAGAATGCATTTCAGCGAGAATACTAAAGACAGAGAAGAAAGAGAGAAAGGAAGCAATATCTGGCGAGCTCTCTAAGAAAGCTAATCAAACTAGAGATCTGTGCAAACCATACAAACCCTATCCTGACTCACTAAGCGAGAGTAAACAAATAAAGCAAACTAATCAAAAATAGATCTAGTATATAATATTATTAGATCGTAATATAACCCCGGTACGAAAATCTATCTAGTCCCTAGATATATAAAGACTAGCAATAGCGGTATTATAATTAAAGGTATTACTAGACTCGAGAACTAAGAGATCTATCTTATTATTATTATATATATTTAAAGAAGCGGTCGTATAGGTACTTAAATTCAAATATATAGTAGAGAAAGAATAACTAGCGAGCTACTATACTATATTAATAAACTCTATATATATATAGGGAAGGTTTAATTACTATAAAAGGCGGTTCCGAAGTAAGCCTTAAAGACCTTTGTGAGCAATTTAGCAGATAATATATTATAGTCTAATATAGACTATAACTTGTTAGGGGAATCCTATCTTATATAATCTTATATAGTAGGATTATATAAGATATATTAGTAGGGTTATACTTATCCTAAATAGGAAGTAAGGTTGCGATAGAGATCAGAATAAATTAAAGAAGTTCATTACATTACATCAGAGATAGAAGTCAGGCATGTTTTTATAACTCCTTTTAGGAGGCAAATCTGAGATAATCTATGATATCTTCATGATATCTTTATTATCTCACTATTATACTAGGAGGTTCTCTATATTATTAATCTTACCATATAGTATATATCTAGGGTAGCCTTAGATAGTACCGGTAAGATAAATATAGTTTTTCTTCCCTCCATAGTATGCCTTACTAATATAGTATATATACACTATTATACCAACAATATTAAAACTAACTAATAGACTTTAAGGCTACCTTACCCTTTAGCCTATTAATCAATAAAAAGGCGAAATTATAGAAGATCTTTAGATACTTATTCCTATAGTATATCTTTAGATTAGTAAAAAGTGTAAATTTAGTCTAGAGAAAATATATTAATAATAAATTTATATCCTATAATTTCGAGTTTAAAATAAAATACCCTAACGCGATAGCTATTAGCCTAGTAATAGGCTTTATTATAATAGACTAGGTCTTATATATTAACCTAGTATATATTAGTATATATAATACCTTTATAATAGATTTTCCCCCTCTATTTAGTCTTATATTTTTTTTTAATAGGCAGAAGGTCTAGGTCGTCTAGGTCGGTCTCTATATATCGCTTCTATACCTTTAACGACTTAATAGATATTAGGAAGATATAAATACTATAGTATTTAATAGCCTTTAAATAAGTTCTTAATGAATTACCGGATATAGACTAGTGGATATTGATAGTATTAAAGTGTGTGATTGGTAAAGAAGTTAGTATTAGAATGTTTAAATTATAGATTATAGGTATTGAGCTGACTAGTGTAGATAAGATAAAAGCAATCACGTGATTAGGTAGGGCCACCGGTCAGCTCAAAATCAGATATAGGCGTCAGGTCATCTGCATCCTATATACAATATACGTCTTCGTACACTATGTGCATCACCTCCTCTCTAGAAGCCTTGGTGTTGATCAATCACTTCCTCGTCCAGATGTAAACCAGCACTTGTCTAGTAGTTGGTTCTCTTCTTTGTCTATATTCATCATCACTTTTGAGATCCTGTGTCTTCCATCGTATTAGTATCTCACCTAACTTATGAGCACCGTCTACAGCTTCTTCTGAAGCAACATTTTCATTTCTTACCTGGGGGGGATGGAGCTCACCTGGCACCATCCCCCACCCAACACCTTGAATTGGCTAAAGGATATTCTTGATTATACTGGGATAGCTAATCTCCGAGTATACTCTGCTCTCGCAGGCTGTCTCCGAATAGAGCCATATGAATAGCCCGTCATTGCGTTTTTCGTTCAGCTCATCTCCAAGTAGCCTGCTCTACACCCAGGCTACCTCCTAAATACAGCGGTATGGATAGCATATGCTTTCCCAACAAGTCAACCTTGCGTGAGTAGAGAGATCAAATATGAACAACATTTTCACTTCAAAGACCTAGCGTACAGGACTAGAACAAGGACTGGCTAAAAAAGGTCCAATGCGGAAGGATATCTAAGAGGCGACATTCCCACCCCATCTGGAAATTGAAACGAATCAACCCCGGATAGAACCAGAATAAGCCAGCATGGTATTGAACGGAGACATCTAGCGCCGAGCACAGCTCAGTTGATAAAGTTGACGCAGAAAAAGTGTAGGATCAAGCTTCCGAAGATGTAATCGGCGAAGGCCCTAGAATTACAGATCAGCATATGTATTCGTGGCATTGAGAAAACCATCATGACGTTGAGTATCACCACAAAAGACAAAACGAACGAAGAAACTCACCTCTCATGAGAAGTACCCGTCCCCTGTTCTTCACTCTCATCTGCAAAGCGCGCATTCTTCCCTTGGAGCTCGGCTTCGATCCAGAACCGGTACCGCTGTCGCTAGTTTGCATGCGCAGACTTGCCGTAAGGACGAATTGACCAACAGCAGCACTGAAGCCACTGAGGAAGGCATTGAAGGGCTATAATGGCGTGAATTTGTTAGCTATTGGTCTATAGATTTCCAATCGCAGGTCTCACGCCGTATAGACAAGAACAAGAGAAAAGAGGCCATGAAGAGTAACGAGGATGTAGCAGCATTGCTAGCCACAGCTTCAACTTACGTAGTTTCCAGCTAGAACACAGTACACGAACTGCAATCCACCAACAAGAACCAGGAACGCCATGAAGGCATCTAGGAGGAGTGTCCGCTGCGGCGTTGTGGAGGCATACTGCTGCCAGACATGGCCAGCAATCTCAGCAGCTGAGGCATTGGTCTTGAGGGTTGCTGGACCTGAGGAGAGTTTCGGTGTTGTGGGCGCGGGCGTGGGCGTGGAGGGTGCCGCGGAGGTAGTTGAGGCCGCGTGGCGCTTGGGAGCCATGATTTGGGATTTGGGAGATCGGTGATGTTTGGGAGTGTGGAATTGACGGTGGATAGTTTATAGAGAGCAGGGATGGAGATTTCGGTAGAGAATTGGTGCAAAGACAGTGAGTTGGAGGACAGTGGTGGAGCGGAGGTTGATGCCAGCTTGGAGCTTGTTATCACTACGGTCACGTGGTGGAGTAGATCCCGATTTGGAAGTATACAATTAAGTGATAACGAATATCCTATTTGTTTAATGGTTCAATGGCAGATACATTGACTGATGTATTGAGAGAGTGTTTTTAAAATTAAATTAGCCTTTGCTTTTGGGTATACAATGTTGCCACCACACAGCGTCGCCAATATAATGCATAAGAGAGAAGAGGAGTATAAATAACAGTGAGGGGGGAATATCGTCCAGTAACCAACGCCATAATTCATCACATCATTAATAGCCAAAGCCACAGGAGGGAAAAGAACCGCCATCTATAAAGAGGCTAAGCGAACCATTCGGCAACATTAGTTCCGGTGGCTGGCCGGATATTTTCATTTTCAACATCCATCTGGAAATCCCGCATAACTTGATCCCATTCCTCCCAGCTGAGTTGAGAGGCATCGGCAAGGGGAGTCTGATTCAAGAATGGGTTTATCATGGTTGTATTGTAGGGCATGCTTGCAGGCAAGCTTGGTGCCGAGATATTATTCTGGGCGGGTGGAGCGTCGAATATATCGTTCGAAGTAGCTAGGATGTCTGTTTCAGGAACATGCTCCGAAGAGCATCCAACGGTCCGTTGCTGAGGTCAATATTGTAATCTGCATCAGACATACTCGGTGCTGTTGGGCCTGGTGGATTGATCGAGGGCGAATTCGGCATCCCTATTGGCATATGAATGCAGGGAAGGGTATTGTTATGACTCATGCTTGGAATTGGCTCTGTTGTTGCGGGTACTGGTCCAAAACTGGACAGCAATTCTTGCTGTTGCTTGGACCGGGTGGCAGCAGCTCTTTTCATCAATGCGGCGAGAGGCCGCCACAGCATGCCCTTCTTATGTGTACCCTGCGCGGCCCATTCTGTGTAGATCAAACTGACAGCGTTCCAAGCTCGGTCCGTAACAGGGCAAATTGGTCGGACGCATATCTCAGACAGAACAAATGCGACTCCATGCCATTGCATATTGGTCCGGAACAGCCACCCCCATTTGGCGGTCTTGGGATCAGTTTCAAGCAAGTGGCCAAACTCGAGGACCTCAATTGCAGTCAGAAACAAGCTCTCTCGGGTTGCTTGGAAAACACTTCCCCGGTCTTTTCGGATCATTGGGTGATGGACGATCAACCATAATTTAGCAAGGATCAGACGCCCTACTGTGGCGGCGCACCACTGCAGGGGGATGTTCATATCACAGTGCCTGATATACCGTTGTTCACATCGCTCACTGATAACCTGAATCATCCGTCCAGCACGATCTATGGGCGGTAAACTGCTCGGTACACGAAACTGGGCCCCGGGACAAGCGTAGTTTGCTCTCCGCAAAGCACTCGTGATTTCACAGCGAATAAGGCAGAATGTAGCATCCGTGCAGCCTTCTCGCTCTTTGGGAGGCTCTTCCATGTCGGGTGACAGGTCGTCATCATTGATATTCAATGGCAATAGAGTGTCATACATTCTCTCATGAATGAGCGGGTCCGTCCCATGGTCTTCAGATGAGCGGACATCCAACAGCGAGATGTGCCACCATAATCGGCGCCGCATCTCCGTTTCGAACGGTTTCAGAGCGAAATTGCTGCCATCCCGGTGTAAACCTAAGCTTTGAGCAAGGCGTAATACGATCGATGTCATAGACCACACAAACTTGCTATCATCTTCTCGTCGCACGCAGACCAAGAATAAGACAGCAGCTTGTAGAAGGACCAAGCTTTGTGTATTCAAGAACCCGGCTTTTGCCAGCGCTTGCTCTGTAGCAAACCTGTACCGCTTGACAGCAGTAGTTCGGTCTTCCCCGAACTGGAACAAGCAGTCATCTGGCTTCATGCTGACAATGCTGCAAAGATACATGGAAAATATCAGTGCCTCTGAATTTTTGTCCAGGCCATCTGGGTGCCTTGCTGCCTCGGCAAAAAGTTCCCTGGCAGTCGGTCGGTGTACGATGGTGATCAAAGGGGCCACATTTTCCCGATACGTTTCCCAAAGTACTGAGACCTTGGCCGCCGGGGATGAAACTCTCGAAGAGACTTTGAAAGTGAGTAGAAACCAAAAAGGAAACCGTCGTGTGAGCCCGACTGGGAAGACTCTGGTGAAGGTGCATCCTCCTCCTCTGACGATGAATGGTCAAGAATATCTTGTAGCTCCTCGATCTGAAAGATGTCAGTATAAAGCACGCTGAGTAGCAAAAGAAAATGAGGGATATCTACCTCGTCCCCAAGACTAGTCCAGAGCCGATTGCTGACATATCGGCTCCGGCCTTCATCAATGACCAACCGCCCAAATTCATTCTCAAACTTATTGGTAGCAAGTTTCTTCGGATCTGTTTCTTCGAACGGACAGACACGTCCGCCGCCAGCCTGGTTCTGTGACTCAGTCGAAGCAGACGTGGACGCAGTCGGTTCGCTCCGACTGGTCGAAGATCCAGTCGTAGAAGACGGCGCCTGAGTCGAAGTCGATGCACCTTCCGTATTTCCGCCGCCTCTAAGATGGTCAATAACACCCTCCAAACGACGCAACCGTGAAAGCAGTTCTGCGTCCGGTGGACGCTTCGATTTCCGCGGTGCACGGCCGGGAGGGGGAAAGATGCAGTCGATGCCGGCTTTGGTACAATTCGAACATGGTGACCTCTTGTTGCAGCGGACTTTCCTGCGGCGGCAGGTCACACAGCTGCGAGAGCTCGAGCTCGGGGGGTTCCGCAGCCGCGTGGCGGGGAAGCGTGGCTGCCAAGTTCGTAGGTAGTGGGGGGTCATTCGGAGAATTATTGCTGGCAGGAAAAATATTTAGCTCCTCTGGGGAAGCTGAAGGGAACGACATAGTGCTGAGGTAAGGAAGTTGGGTCTCGCTTCCCACATTCTTTGAAGCCTCGTGGTTTTAGCAAGAAATGACTGGCAAAAATACGAGCACATATAATGTCTGCCTTCCCGTTTCAGTGCTCACGTCTTGCCGCTTTTTGCTCACTGAGTAAAACTGAGCACGCCGTTAAGCAGTCGCTTCTCTGAGCACCCACGTGATTGTTATCTAAGCCGGTTGACTCACCCTGGGAGCCGTGCCCCCGTGGACCCCGTGGACCCCGTGGACCACCTGGGCATCCATGGATCTGCTTAGGTTAGCGCGCCCTAATTCCAACCTTGGAAGGTTTGCTCTTTTGGCCTCCCTAAGGTTGGCCTCGGGAGCTTATCCCACTATCACTCGTGACTTGACTTCACCTAACTTGCTCATTAAACGCGACTTATGCGGGCAATTCTTGGCAGAGGGAGAGTGGCTAAGTCGGATTGTAGTTTATGACAGACATTCGGGTTTTGACAAATCTATGGTATATTCTAATGATACAAATGCAAATCTATAATCTATAATTAAAACGACAAAACAGACAATTCAACAAAAAGAAACAAGCGCCTTTGTATCCATCTCATTTCCTTGAATATGTGATTTTCTGGATAAGTACCCTGAAAATCCATGTAATCTCCCCTGGCAAATATCTCTATTCCGATGAGATCGCCTGAGGGGAGGATTAATGCTTGCGCAGTTGAAGCGCAATCCATCCGAGCAGTCTGTATACCGCAATGATACCAATGAGAATGCCGACCCATTTTCCAGTCCTACCAGTCTTGTAGCCATAAGTCTCCAACACGGCCGTTCCGCGGATCTGGCACTGATCAGCCAAGTCCGTGGTATACGTGCACTGACACGCATCACCGCATGAGAAAATTCGCTCTGAGAACTCGTTCACCATCAGTCCCTGGAAAACATAGGCCTGCCAAATGTTAGAATGATCAAATAACTCCAAAAACGAGTTGTTCGATCTCACCTGGTAATCGATATAGTGAAAAACGTATTTCCAAAACGGATTCAAAATGGTCGGGGTTACTAGGAATCCACCCACACTCATCCATAGCCCATTAGCAAATGCCACGAGCGCAAGAGCAATCACGAAGTTTGGGAAGATCGCTGTCACAAGGACGACTAGGGACTCGGCTGCCACTAGGTCTAGGAAAATCCACATAACCGAGGTGAAAAAGGCGTCGCCGGCGGGGCGGAAGTTCGAGAGCCAGTATGAGACAATCGAGAATAAAGTTGAGATCAGGACTGTATGATCGGTTAGAGATGCGAGACTTAGGGAATGTGTGTAACATACAGAGGAACGGCAGGCCGATGAGGAAATTCGAGACCATAAAGGGTGTTGCACCGTAGAGGCCGTTAGCCCGTTCTTTGGCAAAGGTGGCGCGGTCCTCGAGGAAAGCCGGGACGTAGGCGACTGCCATAAAGGACATAAATGACCCGCCAAAGAACTGTGTCACATTAGCCGGTGTTTATTAGCGATGATAAGGGCGGGGCTTACAATTGCGTTGACGAAAGGTTGGATATACTCCTGCGAAGTGTGTAGCCGCAGCCATACTGTGCCCATCATGATAGCGAGACCTATAAATTGTTAGATATTTAGGGATGGTATATAGACATGATCACGGGATACATACCAAGATACATCACAATACGAATACCATAAGCAACAACATCGCGATAGCTTTTGATAAACGATCGATGGAGTAGGGCGGTTGTAATCCTGACAGGACCAGGTCGAGCCATATCTTTGATCATAACTTGATTGGTATCCTTCTCGGCGACTTGAGCTCTCTCGGAGACTTGTCTTGTAATAGCTTTTGCCTCCGTGGATGCTGCCCACGCATGCTGGATCTCCTTGACACGTTTCTGGGATGACTCTTTGCCACTACTGAAGTCCGAGCTAACGATATCAAGAAGGAACTCTGCGGGATTGGTATTCCCGGGAATGGGATGGTCGATCCCGCGGAAGTAGGTCTCGATATTCTGGACAGGGCCGAAGTAGCATATTCGTCCATTTGACAAGAGAAGAAGCTTGTCGAAGAGCTGGAACGTGGTCGTTGAGGGTTGGTGGATACTAGCAATTATCATGATCTAAAGTCATTAGTATTGTTCTGCCCATTATCTGAAGATCTTAAAGACCTTAAATAAGGGACTAGACTCACATTGTTTAACTTTGCCAATTCCCTAGCATACGAGATGACCTCGAAGCTGGCCGTGGAGTCCAGACCACTAGTCGGCTCGTCCAAAAACAGTATCTTTGGGCAAGTGATCAGCTGGCTAGCCACACTGACCCGTCTCTTCTGACCACCACTAATACCCTTCCGGATCGGTGTCCCGACAATGGTATTAGCCTGCTTCTGAATTCCAAACGCCTCCAAGAGAGTTCGGATCCGATCCATGCGCTCGCGTTTTGACACCGAACTATTAAGATCACATGAGCACACTGCCAGCAAAATAAGACATACATAACCGCATTACTTACCTAGGCAATGAGAGATCCGCCGCGAATCTCAATGTCTCCCAAACGCTCAACGACCCAATAAGTGCATCCTCCTGCTCAACGTACGATGTCATGCGCCCAAAAGAAGCAGCATCAACTTTGGTGCCGTTCACGTAGCTGTCACCGAGCACTTTGGCAGCACCTGGCGACCGACGCGCCAGCACATTAAGAAGGGTTGTTTTTCCACATCCCGAAGGCCCCATCAGGGCCACGAGTTCCCCTATCGTCATAATCGCATCAGCAACTCAGATACCTAGGAACCGTAACATCACTCTCCACATCACACGTACCTTGTTTCACATTACCAGTGATATCGCAGATAAGATCCCTTGCCTGTCTCGTTTCGCGATCCTTTACCGTTACTGTAAGCCCGCTCCAGGAGAAGTCCTTAACAGACTGGTTCATCAAGAACCGGCCGTCGTTCCTCTCCAGGTCGGTGCTAGCATGAGTCTCAGCTTCCATGGTCAATGAGTTCAGATTCGGATTGCTCTTGTCAACTCGAGTATGCAATGTCTCCACGTATGTGCATGGTTCACACACTTTATACTACATCTTCAAGGTCTAGAATGTGGGTTTGTTATATAGATTTGCATCGTTTCGACGTATGCAACCCCGGCCTTTGATAAAAATAAGTTCCCCAGATATTTTGCTGACAAAGGCTCTGGGCTGAACCTATCCATGGATCGATAGGTAGGCACTATTCCTGAGATAGGTAATGGCAAGGGCGGGCGGACCCCGAGATCCCCGATCTACAGTGGGCTCCACCCGGCTTCCCGAGATCCCGACTGGGGGGCTTACCAAGGCCTCGGGATGTATTGGTCCCCGAGTTATGGAAGCAGATTAAGGTTTGGGCCGCGAACGCTGGCTTATGAATCTAGAACTTTTCGTCAGCACTGTGAGAATAATACTGGAGTGAGGCACGTTGACATTCTTGCGCATGCGATCTGATTGGAGGGTTGTCGTACTTTCAGGATTTCAATATTCATACCCAGGGCACCCTATAGTGATCGGAACCCAAGCGCCACAGTTTGTTAGCAACAGCGGACTCTTTACTCGAGACCTTTTGTTCTCAAGTTTCTTTATATTTTATTCTGATTGATGACGCTACACCATCATCTACGGTCGGCGGGTTAATTAAGGTAGAAATTAAGGGTTGGCCGTTTGGGAGCTAATTTTTAGCGGCAACTGTAAGTGAAGAAACTAAGAGAGAGAGTCTTTATGGTGTTATCTTTTAGAGGTGAAGGAGCAGAGAAGAACTGTTGGATGCTGTGGTCGATCTTATCTGATAGTTCTACATTTAATTCCATCAGTCATAACCTGGTTGGGTAGCCCTATTCACCACGCTCCATTTGCCACACCTATTATACTACAAGAATTGACTCACTCGGCCCGGTGAGTCAGGCCCTGCGTTGGACCGAGTATATGTTTTTTTTACATACTATAATTAGTAAAACAGTGCAGATGATAACTGGAAGAGGCTCCCGACCAAGTTCTGTTCGTAGGAAATCCTTCTAATCATGCTTTAGCCCAGTGTGTGAACATCTTGCAAACAGAATATGTATGAATGTGGGTACAGCTTGGGTAACCTTGCTTTTTGTGCCTGACATGTCTTTTAGGAGGCTATCTTGTGTATCGGTATATCATCTGTTCTCGAAAGGGTATCCATGTGCAGGTCTAACCATATAACCCAGAATTCTTCAGTCTCTTGCATCTTCTGTCTTTACTAGCCCGCTCTTGACCCTCGGAAACCTTTTTCACGCCTGGCCACGCCTCCATAGCCGGGAACTTGGCATAAAACTCATCACCAAGACACTTTGGTGCCGCATGCTGTCGCGGCACAAAAGCCACATGCGCGTGGTGATCTGATATTGGACTAGTCCTGCTCTTTCAAGACCGAATAGAACACACCTCCAGGGCTGTCGCAAAGCTTACCTCGTCTCTCGATAGCGGACGGTTTCCTCCGGATGCGTGTTTGTAAACCAACTAGCCTGGCTATAACAAGGGCCCTGGCTGAAAATGAAGCCCCTGCTTTCTCTCCAGACAAGCCGTAGCTCAGTCGGCTCTTGGTGTGGTACTTGTCGATCAGATAATCAATAATAGCACCTGACTCTCAGAGCGTGGGATTAGTATTGGGATCTTCGAGGGCTGAGAGCCGGCCATTAGAGTTGATATTGACATATGTACGATGCTCAGCACGTAGCATCACTTTACCCCTACTCGTTCAAGAATAGGACAATCGGTTCAATATGTGCATCCATCGAAAGGAGGTCTGCAGCACTTATAGGTCACCCGCTTATGACGTGATTGTCATCTGCGAAGAGGCCAAGGTGAGACTGGCTACAATGAAGCCGGGCATGTACGCGGGAGTCCACGTAATCGACTACACCAACGACAATGTGTAGATGACGACGTCCATGCTTCCTCACGCGATTCCAACCGTGGAGAGAAGCAGGTCTCTATGTCACAGTAACTACCTGATAACGAGCATGTTCTGCAACAAGATTTTGTACGGGGACTACCGCAAGAAGGTGGACTCGTGGATGCAGGCGAGAAGATAGAGAGGTCCCGTTGTATAGAGCTGTGGCTGATTCTGCAAACTCGATTTCGACTGCGCTTCTGATCCGTGGTCATGCAATATTAGATGAACAGGAATACGCTACAAAATCGCGACCAAGTTCGAGGCTGGGCCCCAGATTACGGTCTGCTGGTGATACAGGTACGGATTGGTCTCAGGACTCGTGTCCGACATCTCCTGCCCGTTCTTGCACGCCTCCGTGTAGCTCTGGAACACCCCATCCTTATCCGTGACCCTCTTCGGATTCTCCTCCGCGCACGTGTAGCATGTGATGTAGATGAACAAATCTCCAATCCGAGAGGGTAGGCAAACTTCCAGATCTTGTGGCTGCCGCAGTGCTCGATCCCCCCTGATCTCCGTGAAGGCAGGCGTGTAGTTGGTCTGGCATCCCATACAGACGACGGTCGTGAGCTTGTCGTTGCGCCCGGCGTACTCCATCACGACGTTCTTGAGGGTGGTCACGTAGGTGGCGCCATCCTTCCACGTCTGCTTATCCATGATCGCGATCACGCCCTGGGCAAGGTGTGATTACAGCTAGTCTGGTTGAACTCGGTGTTCGAACTCCAGATCGTTTTGGAGGTTACAGTGGATGATCAGGTGCTTTTCCAGTTGTAGATCAATTCTCCGTTCTGGTCCCTGAAGCCGCGCAACTTGCTGATCATGCAGCCGTCTAAGTCTAGCAGCTTGAGCGTGTCGGGGTGGACAACCGTGTAGGGAGCATCGTTCGAGGTAGGGTTGGCCTGTATGCACGTCTTCGTCTCCGCGGGCAGGGACCTTATCATGGTCGTGAAGGTGTTCTGATCCACAGTGCCAATCGCTAGCACATGCCGCTTCATGCAGTCGTTGCAGGTCGTGATCATGATCCGAGTTCCGTTCCGAACAGCACTCTCAGTTGGAGGCGTCATGGTAGTCGTCGACAAACAGTGATAGCAGAGGGCGATGAGACGTTGGTCGACTGGGATCTTGGACCCGAACTCCAGGAGGCATCTTCGTGAGCACGTCCTTGATCATAGATCTGACCGTCATGAGGCTCTTTCCCAGCCTGTTCTGACCCCATCTCCCCACGTTCGACATGGCGAGCGTCGAGTCGAAGCCGATGCCCCAGATCCGATCCATAGGACTGGCCTCCACAATCATCTTGTCCCCGGTGCCCAGGAGCAGCTTCATGAGGTCAGTGTTCTGCGCGAACTTGCAGTAGTTGCCGTTGATCGCCACGTTCATGTTCCTGGACTCCCAGATAACCTCGTCGAAGTTCGCGACCTTCCTCCCCATCGATTTGTGCTTGCGTGGATTGGCCGACGACGAGCGCAGGATCCTCTCCGACATGTTGCTGTCGCCGAACACATGGCCTTCTTGTACATCATGTATTGCTCCGCAGTTGCAAAAGCCTCATCGTCACACACGAAGTCGGACCTGTACCACTGGCAGAACTCACCGAAGTCCGAGTTGATCTTCCAGAAGAAGATCGTGTCTACGGTCGTGATCTGGTTGAGCTGGTTGAGCTGGTTGTCCTCGATGTACTGCTGAAACGGGTTCATCTTCGTGCCTGGGGTTTAATGTCGGAACGGCCGATGTACATCCTCGCGTATGGCGAGTGATTCTAGGATGATGGAGAGTTTTGGTGGTCGGGTCATGTCATGAGCGTAGAGAATAAGGGGTGCATCATGGCGCGGTTGTGGCTGGTTCGTTTGTTAGGCATTTACGTATGTAACGGATAATGCCTGGCTCGAGACCTTTCCTTTTCCGTTTTAGTGCCCACCTCTTGCCGCTTTTTGATCACTGAGTAAAACTGAGCACGTCCCTAAGTACCCTGACCGGATCACGGGCCACGATATAGTTAATCAACGTGACCTGCCCAGGTGCTCGCTGGGCGTCGCCTAATCATCCCCTAGCCCTGGAGGTACCTACCTAGGTAGGTAATCAGTGTTGCTCAGTAATCATACAGAATTACTCAGTGATCACTTAATGCTTAGTTACCCGACGATGCTTTGCATCTAATCAGATTTTATTTCCAAGTATACCTAGGTAGCTCTAGCTATTCCCAAATCGGTATAGCCTTTAGAGTCATTTATTCTGTGATAACTACACGCTGATGCTTGTAAGCTGAATGTCCGTTTAAACAAATGACTGCGTCACTCCTGCCCACAGCAGCAAAAATTGAGTGAGACAGCTCTTTCGGGATGGTGCGTTCAATAACGGTGATTCCTCTTCATGTCTTGCGTTGAGCTTGTGATATCTCAAATATAAGAGGTAGACCCAGGTCCCCCCCCGGATCAAGAATAAAATTGGGATCAACAAATGAGAATCACGAGCCGATGACTGTAAGAAATATACCCACAAGTCAGAGTGGTCATTTAGCTTTCCCAGACGTTTTAACATGTCGTTTCCGCTACTTTCGATAGACGCGGATGTGCATGGGCGCTGGCTTGTAGAACCAAAACCCGCTGGTCTCTAGACCCATCTCTGGGCTTGATAATTCAAGGCGGTATGAACGAAGCAGCTCTGGGATGACCTTATAAAGTTCGCACAGCGATATCTCATCAACGGTCAACCTAGAGCCTAGATTTTATGGCAGAGTGCTTGCACTTACATTCTTTCCCATACACATTCTTGACCCAGCTCCAAACTGTAACCAAGACGGTCAACACACGTTCTAAGCTTTAGTTGGATTAACTTACCTGGAGAATGTATTTATTCATCTTATCGGCATCTGGCTTCAGCCATCGATCCGGGTTGTATTCCTCCGCATCGTCTCCAAAGACTGTTTTGTCGAGTTGCACGACAGTCGGGTTAATTCCCACACGGACGCCGCCGGGAATCCACTGCCCCGAAATACTGCGACCATTTGATGGTACTTTTCGGGGCATTGTAAGTGCCACACTAGGATGCAAGCGAGCGCCTTCCTTAACACACGCGCTCAAGTAACGCAGTTTGCTCGCTTCGTGGTACGATATATGCGGAAAGCTCAACTCGCCACGCTGTGTGGCCTGAACAATCTCGTTGTTGAGGGCTGCGTAGACTCCCGGGTTCTTCAAGATATAGTATAAAGTCGTGGACAGGTGAATTGCTGTTGTATCACTCCCAGCAAAACTAAAAAGCTCTCAGCTTACTTGATTCTTGCTCCGGGTATCAATCAAACTTACTATCCTCCGAAGGCCTCGAGCTTCACGTCATCGATCTGGAAATCAAGCTTCTCACCTTGATCTCGATGAATGTTAAATACTTTAGATATAATATCAGTACGTCGAATCACACTGTCATCAGAACTCGACGCTTGAACATGACTCTGAACAGCAGAGTCCGCTGCGGTCGCCAGGTCATTCAAGGCAGAAAGGGCCTTGCGGGTCTCGGCAAACAACACCCCAACAAGCATGAAGAAAGATCGGAGGTATGATGGCATGACAGCTGAAATGGCCATGGCCGGAATCAGTGTATCAGTAGACTTCATTATCCCAAGATGGTCGCCTCTTGCTTTCATTAAACCGAACATTTTGCTGAAGTAAAGCTCGCCAATAACATCGTAAGCGTACCTACTCTACTGTTAGATATCGATAATAATGAAATTCATAGCATTGCTCACATTCGTGTCCACTCGAGTAGGTCAATAGAAGCTTTGGCGTCTGCAACATCTTCAAGTTGCTGTAGTAAAACTTCTGTGCATTTATTGATGTAGGGCTCTGACTGAAGAATGCTCTGCATAGTATACACGCCGTTCACGATGCGGCGCCGCTGAGCATGGACTTGTTCATCTGTTGATGTAAAATGATCTGGATATCGGGCTGTTGGGCAAATTATTTTAGTTCTGGTCAACAATGCTCATGCTCCTGAAGAAAGATATCTCACTATATGGTGCGCGAAAAGCCAGATAGAAATCGCTCTACCAAAAAGTCAGTTTCCTTTCTTTGAAGCCAACGGCACTTCTTCCCCCTCTTTTTTCTCTTTTTATTTGCTGACCTTTATAAAGCCTGAATTCACTCCATAAATGATTTTGATGGCCTCGGGGTCGCTTATCGAAAGCTCATTTGGGGCAATTCGCACAATATGGCCTAGTCAACAACGCTTAAAAGAGCACAAGCTTGAACTGGGTGGAGAATATCGTACCATACCGAGCATGCAGCAACCTTTGAGTTTCGTGGGGATTGCCGCGAATCACGGAGCGCACAATCCAGGCTCGTGACACAGAGGCCCAGAATGGACCTGGAAATCGTGCGAGTGGGTGGAACACCCGCGTGTAAACAATCCATCCAGCCCAATAGGTAGCAAGCAAAAGGAAGAGGCCGTGCAGCAAGTCGTAGAATGTTAGTTTCCAGTCGAATATTTCGAAATTTCCCATTGTGAATCCGAACAACTGGTAGATAATAGACTGTAGGGAGAGAGAGTTTTCAACCCATGTCAATTTTGACCCGAGTATCCTTTATAACTGGGGCCCACACTAGACATACCTAGTACGTATTCGTAGTAATCTATTGCTCTGATTAAATTGGATCATCCTTTGCTTCCTGTGGACGAGGGGATAGCCATCGATATCCACATCCACTTAGAAAATAGCCATTTATTGCCGTTTCTGGGAAGAGAACTTTGTGGCTAACGATCGAAGTGCGAACAAAGTACGAGGCTGTGTACGTGTGCCTTCCCGGTATGGGTGCCCTCCGTAGTAGGACAAGGGCCACATATAGACTCAGCTAATCCCCCCCGGATATCATGATAAGACGCAGGAGATTAAGTCTGACCCCTGAAACACACCGTTTATGCTGAGGTTACATGGTTCTTTTGCATTAATTTAACCGGTTCGCTTTTATTGAGATGCGAGGGACGCGAGGCTGAGTCGGCTCCTACTTAGTGGGGGGCTAGCGTCTTGAGTGGTGACCCTTGCGAGAATTCATGGAAATAAACGCAAAAAAATGGCACGCTCCATACGCCCAAAACTTGACAAAGAACAGTCGTGTGAATTCCAAATCGTATCATCGATATGTATGAGTGTTTTGGTCCAGTACATAGCTTGAAGGTTCATCCAAGGAGCACAGAATGACTGGGACAACAGTATTAGAAGGGCGGCCATACCCCGGTCAGACTAAAATAGGGCCAAATGACCAAAAGACCTGATCCCCAGTTTGGCTTCAACAAAAAAAGAATTGAGCTGACCTCTGCAATTTGATATCAATTGGGCTTTGATACGAATGAAGAAAATAAAAAGGAATAATTGGTATTTACTAGTAGAGACCCATGAGTACATGTATGATTTTTGACGCATCAGGTGGACCATCTCCGAATCTCCGACCCACAAGAGCTCACCTGCGCGGATCCGCGGACCTCGTCAACTTAAATCCTACAAACCTCCCTTGGAAGCTAGGACTCACCTTCCAAACTAACCTTTAACTCTCCAGACAATCAATTCCTGGATTTCATTCCCTCTACAGAACAGATTAACACTCAACATCCTCCCAAACACATTACCATCGTGACCAGCAGCACACGCTCCCCACGCCTCAGCTAAACCAGCATCCAATACGTCTGACGTCCTAAACAACGACCCAACTCTCCCCATGAACAACCCCTCCCCAACCTCCCCAGAAACCATCGATACCGATCCCCGCCACGTAACCTTCACGATCCTTGATCTAGGTAAACAATCCCTCCCCTTTACGACGAATCCGTCATCCCGCCGACAACCCAACACCACACTACACAAAACCACACATGCGCCTGGTCCGCCATCGTCCGCGACTACGACGCATTTATCTTTGCCACGCCCCAGTATAACTGGAGTATCCCGGCCAGTCTGACGAATGCGCTAGACTATCTGCTTCCCAAGCGGAAGGGGAAGTCAGCGGGGATTGTATCGTGTGGGTCGCGGGGTGATGGGAAGGCGGCGGACAATCATTTGCGAGGTACTTTGACAGGTCTGAGGATGAGGGTTGTGAAGACGGCTCCTGGTTTGCCTGTGAGGTATACGGGGTTGCCGGTGGGGGCGTTGTGGGAGGAAGAGGTGAAGGTCGAGTTGGATGGGATTCTAGTCAATAATAGGGACTCGGATCCGCGTGACCTAACGACTGCGCAGCACGTGGGAATTGTCCGCAGGAAACTCGTCGGCGTCGACTAATGCTGTGCCGGGTTCGTGATTGTGCACATGCTTGGGTGCCAATAGAACAACACCAGTGTACAGAAAGAGGGTTGTGGCAACGAACTCCATCAGGTACTGCAAGAATGCTGTATTTTTTGTAAAAAGAATGTAAGGGCCGGTTAGAGTGCGTTGTATGCGAACGAGGTATCAGCGGAAAGGTAAAACAAACATCGAACCTAGGTTTTATGAGACTTGAGGGTGGTTTGCGTATATTCTGCAGGCTTTGAAGCTAGAGTTAAATCACGAGTTCTGTTTGGTGATCGATATGAACTAAAAAGTTCGATAGTATGCCCGAACAGAGTGCGATGAGAGAGCTTATTGGATAAGTCAAGAAGGTACCGTGGACCTCGATTCCGTCGCCGAAGCAATCGCCGGGAACGAACGCCGGAAAACACCGGTGGAGACCGAGTGGGGATCTTCTGCATATCAGAAATTATGACGTCGTGCCATAACAATGGAATTCACATTTGCAGAACTTCTTACAGAGTCCACGGATAATTACCTCTATCTTATTATTTCCAATGGAGAGTATTACCTATGAAGCTACTGTCATAGGAGCTGGGCCCGGGGGGCTGGCAACCCTCGCAGCTTTGTGCGATGCAGGTCTCAACCCGATTTTATGGATTGACAGGACCTTCGAGGGAGGAAGACTCAACACTGTATACCGAGAGATATCATCGTGAGTCAGTTTCCGAAGCTTGCACATATCTTTACTGACAGATGCAGTAACACTAAGATTCGTGATTATTTGAAGGCGATCTATAGTTCTCCCGTTTGCGCTTCAATCATAAGATCTATTCCTGCCCCTAACGCTGTGACCAAACTTGAATCTATGAACAGAGACAAGACTTGCCAGCTCAGTTTTGCCGGAGACATGGTCCTTATGCTTGTACATGGGCTGTTAGAGCCTTCTGAGGTCCAAAACGTTGAAGGTGCAGTCGAGAAGGCTTCTTTGAATGTGGGTGGTTTTCAACCCAGTCTGCAAGTCTCAGCTAATTTCATGTCAGAGAGGCATATGGACTGTCTCAACCTCTAACCAGAGCTTTAAGACCACTCGACTCTTTATGTGTACCGGTTCTCAACCCCAGAGATCCAGTATGCATTACCCGTTTAATAAAGATCTGACCGTACTTGATCTGGACGAGTGTATGCTTCGCTCTCATCTACCATCCGCTCTTCCAAAGGACGGTAAGTCGGTGGTGGCGGTTATTGGCAACTCTCATTCCGGCATCTTGTGCTGCAAAAATCTTTACGAAAGTGCGAAGTCCAAAGAACGAGACATCAAAATTGTCCATTTTGGCCGCAGACCAATCAAATACGCCAAGTATGTCGACAACGGTATTATTTTCGATAACACCGGGCTCAAAGGCAGCACCGCAGAATGGGCCAAGGAAGCCATGGAAAATGACCCAGACCCAGAAATCATAGAACAAGTTGATTTGAGCCAAAACCAAGATTTGGCTTTTCGAGAACATTTACCTCGTTGCACCTATATTATTTATGCAATTGGATACACACGTTCGCCATTACCGGCACTATATATTGACGGACAACCGGCTGGAGAGGAGCTCACATTTGACATGCGTTCATCGGGGTTCCATTACGGTGACAGGGCTGAGAGGGTCCAAGGACTTTATGCTAATGGCATCGCTTTTCCAGAGGAAGTGAAAGACCCGGAAGGACATGTAGAAGCTGCGGTGGGAATCGCCAAATTCTTCAGCTTTGCTGAACGGATGAAGAAGAATTGGCTGAGGCTTCAGTGAGCTTTTGAAACATATGAGGTCTATTGTAGATAAGTCAATAGGTTCAACATACCTAGGCTACCTTACCCAAAGCCATCCAGAAACGACTAGTCCACCCCTAGTATTCTCTTAGGTACAGTAACTGATAGAACTTGGAGCCTATTGTAGAAGCATATAACAGATCGTTCCCCATCTAGTAAAAAACAAGGTAGATACGAAATAGGAATGGTGTGGCAGTGAGTACGACAAGGCAAGCGTGGATCAAACGCCGAGAGCGAATCACATTGAGGCAAGAGATCCTTGGTAATGGCATAATGGCATAATGGCATGACCCTGGACTTCCAAGCTCTTCTAATATGCAATTGTAACTACCTCATTTATATTAATCAAGTTCCTCTCTGTCTATAAAACTATTCCCTTGATAGCCATCAGGACAAGTAACCACACATTTTGCCTCGTTTGTTTCCAAAACTGCTTGCTTCATCACCAAAATGTCGTTCAAACTCGACACCCTTCCTTCACCAATCTCACCGGCCAAACCATACTTTGACTTGGGCACTCACAGCTTTCCTATCAGTACTAAAAGCCAAGATGCTCAGATATGGTTTGACCGTGGCCTTATCTGGTCGTACGCATTCAACCACGAGGAGAGCTTCAACTGCTTCAAGCAAGCTCTTGCCCACGACCCCACCTGTCCAATGGCCTACTGGGGGCTCAGCTATGCCACTGGGCCTAATTACAACAAGACTTGGCAGCTGTTCGATTCGACAGATCTCAGGAATAGCTTCAAGATTTGCTATTACACATCGAGGAAAGCTGAGGAGTTAGCCGACCAAGAGAATATCAAGCCAGTGGAGCGAGCTTTGATCAAAGCAATCCAAACCCGCTTTCCCGTCAACGAGCCGGTTTCTGACTTTTCACCTCTTGATAAGTCCTATGCCGCTGCTATGGAGGAAGTCTTCGAACAGCACCGGGAAACCCATGTTATGGACGTCACGACTTTATACATTGATGCGTTAATGCATACCGCTCTTCGAAAAATGTATGCAGTCAAAAGTGGCGCTCCTATCGAGTCGTCCCCTGTCCACAAAATCCGGGCGATATTCGATTCGGCCCTCGCGAATCGGGCTTCCGACACCCACCCGGGCATTCTTCATCTCTGGATCCATTTTATGGAAATGTCCAATATCCCTGGAATCACGCTTCCCGGAGCTGATAGATTGCGTCACCTTGTCCCGGACGCCGGGCATATTCACCATATGCCAACTCACATCGACGTCCTCGTCGGCGACTACAGGCGTTCGATTGATTCTAACACCGCCGCTGTCAATGCAGACGAGAAGTATTTGGCAAAGAATGGAGCCAAGAACTTCTACAGTTTCTATCGGTTCCACAACTACCACTCTCTCATCTACGCTGCAATGTTGTGTGGGCAGCGCAGGATCGCTCTTGAAGCCACCGATCGGATGGAAGCATCTATCACTGATGAGCTTTTGCGAGTAGAATCTCCACCACTAGCAGATTGGATGGAATTTTTCAAGGCCGTCAGAGTCCACGTCTATATTCGCTTCGGAATGTGGGAAGACATAAAGAATCTCCCATTGCCTGAAGATCAATCCTTGTACTGCGTGACCACCACTATGATCCATTATGGTAAAGGTATTGCCTTGGCTGCCATGGGCGACCTTGAAAACGCAGACAAGGAGCGAGAGCTATATCGCGCGGCCGCAAAGACAATCCCTCCCACTCGCAAGGACTACCCGAACCTGATTTCCGACGTCCTGAAGGTTTCAGATGCTATGCTGGACGGCGAGATCCAGTATCGACAGGGTAAATATGAACAAGCATTCGAGAGCCTGCGGAAGGCGATCCATTTCGATGACTCGCTCAGATACACCGAGCCCTGGGGCTGGATGGTGCCTACGCGACATGCATATGCTGCTTTGATGTTGGAGCAAGGACATGTGGAAGAGGCTGCTCAGGCGTATGCTGAGGATCTCGGATTCGATGACTCCCTTACTCGCGCCCATCAGCATCCTAACAATGTCTGGGCATTGCATGGGTATCACGAATGCCTTGTGCGTCTGGGCCGTGAGCCTGAGGCGCACATTATCAAGCAGGCACTTGATCTTGCTGTTAAGGTGGCTGATGTCCCAATCAAAACTTCTTGTTTCTGTCGTCTTGGGTCACTTGGACCTGACTTGGAAACTTGCTGTAAATAACACGGTCGTGGGATGACCATTGGACTTTATGTCGGCCCCATGAATATTACCCAACACCTACACGAGGACGTAAACCTTGAAAGAAAGGAAGTAGAACGCGACGGAGAATAAAAGTATGGCCACACGACCAGGTCTATGAACATTCTGAAGTGGTTATTTCAGCTTGTTGACTAGATATAGCCAGCTTTATTAACATTCAATTATGAAACGAAACTTCATAAATACTTTCGACTTCACGAGCCATATCCCTGAACCCCTCGAAAATGGCATTAGAACTCATAAACTCACATACCGATTTGACGCCATGTCGGAGTTCCTCAATCAGCCTCTCTGCATCCTCCATTTCAGACCCAGGCTCTTGGTCCGGGAGGTGATAATAACTCGCAAAGTTACCGGCGTCCAGCGATGCTCTAACCTTTTGCAACAGCATGATGAGAACATAGCAACTTTGCATCCCACAGCAGGCCATGTACGGCAGAGAGCGTGGGTATTGATGACGCAATGTAGGCATTGAACACCCCACAGTGACTTCGCTGGGCTTCATCTCCGAACACGATGGATTTGGCCATTCCAGATTCCGAAGGACTCGGGACAGAACCAGTGCGGATTTAAGACAGATATTAGTAGATTCTTGTTCAGTGAATGGGAATATGGAATCGACGTCTTCCAGGTGTGCCGGTGAGAAGCCTGAGGGAAACTCGGATAATTGCGCGCTATTAATCGAGCTGTTCAGCGAATTGAGATCGCAAAACTTGTCGAGGAACACCGGATAATCTCCAAATGCTCGGAATCGGTGTAGTTTTATCCTGGCACTACAGTCGATGCGGTTCAGCAGTTATACAGAACGATATCAAGAAAAGGGAATCTCACGTGTGGATCAAAAATCGACCTGTTAGGAAGAGGTTGTGGGCAGCTGATGCATCAACACCTCCTGTAGTTTTAACGGTTTGAAAGCAGCTCAGATCAGCCGCTACCGTCAGGACGTAAGAGTTAAGTTCAGTAATATGCTGGCGAATGGACTCGTGGGAGCCTGTGATATTGCCTTTCTTCAGCGTCTTGTGAATATCGGTTGTCTTAAGGAGTACGTCTTGTGCTTTCATCAAGGCCGGTATAACCTAGGACATAATTAACTATCCATCCTGACAAACGAAGACACGAGAAAATAATTTTACCTCACGGCAGCCAGCGAAAACGGGGAAAGGGGTTGAGATACGTTGGTCGTTCATAAGGACAATAGGAGACTAGTGCAGCTTTAGCGACCAAGGGATGGGGATGATATTTAGCCACATAGTCTTACCGAATGGTTCAATATTGCAGACTGATACACCAGGAACATCTTCATAGAACGTTAGACAATTTGTAGAGCCATGGGAAATGTTGAACGCACAGTCATCCACCAAACCCTTTGTTTAACTTCGGAGTCCAAATCAGAACCAGGAGTATGAAGCGACAGGTCCATTGCAAGAGTCAACGCATGATGAGCATGAGAGCGCATCCGCTTCCTGTTGCTATTCTGGGAAAACTCATAAACCGCTAGCAGGAGGAGGGCTAGAATACCATCAAGGACTGGGGGTAGACAAGGGCTAAAAGAGCCGTGCGGGCCAGCGTCATCATAACTGGTAGAGCTCTCGATAGACTCTAGAGTAGCCTGCACGTACATTTTTGAATAAGATCTGCGCAAAGCAATCGCTGCCTCTCGCATGGGGTCCAACTCGTCTGAGAGAGGGACCAATGCCAGAATTGCCATCAACGCCAGACCCAGTGGGGACTTGGGCCGGAATGGTAGACATGAGTGGTGTGGCTCAATCTCCGTCACTGGGACCGAGCATGGGCAATCAGTAGTGCGAGGCACATCAGGAGGTGGCAACAAAGGAAGATAAGGGTGGATGAAAATATAGTACGCATTCAGCCTGGAATCAAAAGATGAGTGATGTCCCCAAGACTAGAGTCCACGGCAGGAACATACAGATCTGCATCCGATCGATATGCCCTTAGCATTAACAGACCAGGAGGCCCACTGGATATCCCCTGGTCTGCGTTTGGGTTCATATCGGACGGAATACCTGTGTCGACGAAGTTGTCAACATCTCGAATTTCATGCAAGGGGTAGATAAGATCGACGATATTATCTCCCAAGGAGCCTTCCAGAGAGTGAGTATGGCCCTATTTAGCATCCATCAAAAAAGAAACATACTGCTATCATGTGATGAACCATAAGAGAATTCGGGAGTCTGCGAGCTGATGGCATGGGTTCGTTGCTTTGCATTTTGATATCGCTCGCCCCTTCGCGCCCCACCGCGCTTACTCGGGCGGTAGCGGCACTCCCGCTCGTTCGCGATGCACTGAGACACATGGTCAGGGAAGTCTGCAGCGAATATCGCAATGTGACAGCTAAGAACATCATATGATCTACTTACAGTTGCGCATGGGTGTTGCCCGCTACAGCGCGTTTTGCTCGAGCGGCTGTCGATGGTTAGTTTAGGATCAGCCAGTGTTGAAATTTACTCGTACCAAGATAGACATGCAACTTTTACCTGAGTTTTGGTGGTTGACATGTTCACCGTCTTTGAGGTCGTAGATGTCACATCGAGGGCACAAAAGGCCGGTTTCTCCACCGGCGTCCAAGTCAGCGGATGGGTTTGTCAGCGGAGGGGCTGCCCTGGCCCTATAGGGACCTCCCGGGGGGCAGGAGCGCTACCTGGTACATCGAGATATGTTGCCTATCTAGGGCCTTCAAGTAAGGAAAGGCAAATACTTCAGTTTCTGACAGTGTGCGGGTCTTGTCTAGGCGCCGTGCCATCAGTGTTACTTGCATCGTGGGAGAGACCCGGCCTCGCATTATCAAGCAACCACTTAATCTTACTATGTTACTCGCTGATATTCCGATCAAATTTTCTCTTGCTTATGCAGGTAGAGAAGTAAGATAAACTCTTGCCATGGGCCAACTTGAGGAGACTGTTTCTCTCGAGGATGCAGAGTGCTCAGATAAGTTGTAATGGTGGTGTGTTGGTTGCTGTCCACATGCGCCTGACTATAACTTCCTAGGAGCCAGATATAGTATGTACCAATATTTCTGTCATATCTTCTCGTTCTTCCTAATTAATGTTCCTCTTAGATATATCGCCCTCCGTTTGCTTTCTCTCTTTCTCCTTATCGCTATGACGGACAAGATACATGTACTGCAGTGCTTTGGGCCCCAAGAGCTCCTTCACGATTCAACTAAACGATCATTCCATCAGAATATCGGAGATATAAACGGCTAACAGAACGTGTCCTACATCGACCGGTACTTTTCCGATGTTCCGACGCATCGGGGTTTGATGGAGTGAAAATATGAACATGGCATATGTCCAGTGCCCCACTATTTCTCCGAACGCACGAAATTGCACGAAATTGACATTTACAGTTTGTCATTGCTACAGGTTGTACCCTCAACGGATCACAGAAATTGTTCGTGAGCTCGGTGATTGAACTACGAATGGAAACTCGAGCCCTAAGACGATGTGGAGTAGAGGCCGGGATAGGGTCCACACGGTTTCCCAATCGAATTTAGGTCGGAGCATCTGGGCAGATACTTGCTGGTATAGGTTAGTTCAACCTTGGAAGACACTACTCAGCTCCGTTGGAGCTTACGGAGTTAGATCCATTGTCATTTTCATTCCCCGAACTGGGAGAAGATTGTTCCACACTGTACGGTCTGGCCAAATTCACTCGATATACAGCAAAGATGTGATCCATAAAGAATGTTCAAAATACTCATGTACGTATGATTTTATTGTTGGAAACTGAGAGCCTAATTGAAAATAGTGCTCAGGCCTTGGACACAGAGCATATGGCCAATACAACGCCGATCTGAAGCTCGATTCTTGCTGCTCTCGGGGGCTTTCATTGTATACCCAGCCATTGTACCTCGGAATCTTTTCTCCATTTGACTGGGTTCTCTTTTCGTCCCGGAACATCACCATGGGAGCACCACCCAGGCATGGGCCGTCAGTTTTCTGTCGACTCCCTTGGATCGGTTCCAAAGATTCCACCTTGATCGCTTCAAAAAACGAATCTCCAACACAAACAGTCGAGGATGCAGAAGAGTCCGGGCAAGAATCCTCGACAATCGCCTCTGAGACCGATGCTCCTCCCGATGGCGGTTACGGATGGGTATGCGCCGTGGCCGCTGCCGTTGTGAACGCACATTCGTGGGGCTTCAATTCCGCATATGCTGTTTTTCTGGCATACTATCTCAAGCATGGGACCTTTGAGAGCGGAACGAAACTACAATATGCCTTTGTAGGCTCCCTGAGCCTGACTACCATGTTCACAATCTCTCCCCTCGCGACCATTTCCACGCAAAGGTATGGTGTTCGAAAGACTATGTTTGCAGGTGTCATTTGCGAAACAGCGAGTCTCATATGTGCCAGCTTCGCCAAACAAATCTGGCATCTCTTTCTTACCCAAGGCATTCTCTTCGGATTGGGAATGGGTTTGCTATTCATTCCTGTCGCATCGGTGGTCCCACAATGGTTTACATCTAAACGATCACTTGCCAGTGGTATTTCCCTATCAGGCGCTGGCCTTGGCGGTCTTATCTACTCCCTAGTGGCGTCAGCCATGATTCACAATATCGGTCTCAGCTGGGCGTTCAGAGTACTCGGTCTTCTGGCGTTCTCGGTTAATACCATTTGTGTGCTCTTGATCAGAGATCGGAACAAGCCAGACAAAACCAAGAAAATAACGATGGATATCGCTATCCTCAAATCTCGGGACTTCGATCTTTTGATCGGATTCAGCTTCTTCACTATACTGGGCTATTTCATCTTGATTTACAGCTTGGCTGACTACGGCCAACGGATTGGCCTCTCCTCCTCCCAAGCCTCACTGGTCAGTGGCATACTCAATCTCGGCCAGGCTATCGGCCGGCCTCTCATTGGTTACTTCAGTGACAGCGTCGGTCGTATCAACATCGCCGGCATTACAACCTTTATTGCTGGCGTTCTTAGCCTGGCAGTCTGGGTGAACTCGGAGAGCTACGGACTTTTGATGTTCTATGCGATTGCCGAAGGCCTTGTGGCGGGAAACATCTGGGCAACGATAGCACCTTTAGTTGCAGAAATCGTTGGTGTGGAAAGAGTCGCTCATGGGATGAATCTTGTTTGGTTGAGTATTATTGTGCCATCAACTTTCTCCGAGCCAATTGCCCTGGCGTTGACCAATGCAACGGGTAAATACCTGGGTGCACAGCTGTTCGCTGGGTTTATGTACATCGCCGCGTCGGTGTTTTTGGCCATTCTCTGGTTCCTGAGAAGAAAAGAACTTTGAAAATATCATATAGAAGTATAGTGAATGAAATAGAATAATGTATCAACACTACACTGTGGTTTGGTATCAGACAAAATCAGACAAAAAATCCTAAGTTCTTTGCTCTTTTATCAGCATAACATGCTTTCTTGTACGGCTTTCCCTTTCCGTTTTAATACTCATCCTTGCCGCTTTTTGATTAAGTAAAACCATCCACGAATTACTGGGAATCCATTGCCGGTGGGACTGATCCCAGAGTTCATGTTCCTTTGCCACAGCATGGAGTACGGGCCCACGGCCAGATATCAAGCCCTTGTATAGTCAACCACGGATCCCGAGTGAGAAAGCGAATTATAACTAAGAACGCCAGTTTACCAGAACCGCTGTCTGTATGTAGCATATCAGATGATATGCCTTCGGATGTCATTGGGTGCCAATCGCTACCTATAGATATACCAAGGTATATAAATACGTAACATCGCAACGCTTGGAAGTAAAGAAAACCAGACCATCAAATACCTAAGAAACTACTCGCATATTCGACTGAGAGAGATGTCTTCATCAGTCAACGATTTCCAAACACTCCTTGATTCACAGGTCGGGAGACTACCAAGACGATCATGGCCTGTGCCCAGAGGTATGTAGTATCTCCTGGTAACAATCTCAGCGCGGTCACTTTATGCAGTTCAGCTAAGTGAAAACGGAAAGGTCCGTCAAAGAATCGGAATATACCGATCAACTCCCTGCGTTTCCAGGGAGCTGCCTGGGCTACTGCGGGTGGTGGTATGTGTGCGACACTGCATGGAGCCTACAAGATCTTTCGGAATTTCCGTGGATTCAAATATATCTGACAGTATCGCCATTCCTAACCACCCATGAAACAATATGCAAAGGAGGATGATGTTTTTCGGCTTGCTGCGAGCCTTGCTGCTTTCAGGACGGGAACAAACAAATTGCCTAAAAATCAACGGCTATCATCTTCGAATGTACCATTAGCGGTGGATATACACAATAAGGTGCTGTGACCCGACGAAGTATCGCGCGGTAGGAGCACTTCTGTCGTGCTAGGAAGAGAAGGGCCAAAAGGAGCTACGAAAACATATTAGGTCGAACTAATTGAATGAACTCAAGTTAGTGAATGGACATATTCTTTGACATTTCTTTCTCATTTGAGCCTTAGCAATATATATTGTACAAAATACATATGTATATACATGTTAAGGTTCGTAGATTCGATTAAGACTGTCGCTCGTTGATACCCATTTTAAGCAGCTTTCGCTCTGAGCGGAAAGGTATATTAAAGGACCAGACTGACTCTTCAGCCAAGATATGGGAAATTATCATATAAGCTAACATATAAGTTACTAGTAAGAGATGGTCGCTTTGCTTGTATGAAAATACTGTTGGATTGTCGCATCCGCTAAACAATAGTTGCTCGGTGGCGCGGATCAACGTCATGACGATGTTTTGCCTTGGGTCAATTATTTTCATTTCTTGAATCGCACTTCTCGATTGATCTGCTGATACTCTACGTGTTCGAGTTCGTTATGGCTGACATCAGTATGACCTAATCGCAGAGTATATTTTAGCTGGTTTAAAAACAGCTGTCGTTCAGTTTCTGATATGAAATGAATTAGATATATTTTCCAAGTGGTGAATGAGCCAATATGCAACGATATATCGTGAGGCCTTCTACCTCTTACGTCCCTAGGCTGACTCGAGCTTTCGCACAAAAGGTCCAGTCTAGAAATGATGGTGATCAGAAATGTACGTCCAGCATATCTATTGAGACAGGCTCGATAGCAGCTGATACAATCCGGTCCTAGTTAATGTCAGTGCGACATTCCCAGATGACTTCGAGGACTCGCCTTTGAAGTCCGAGATCCTTGAGAGGCGAAACCGAAATCGGGGGATTGACGACTCGTATCACCCTGTTCGTACATGATCAGACGTTTTACATATCGTCGCACCACTGACAAGTCGATCATCAGACAATGGACGAGATCATCGAAAGTCTTCGAGGAAAACCGCCTCCCGAGGGCGCGAAGAAAGCCAAGTCCGCGCAGACGAAGCAGGATCCTGTTCGAGAGGAGCGAGAGCCTGAGATTGATGAAATGTGATGTTTTGCTATTAATCAATAATTCGAATATTATGTCTGTTATTTATGAGTTACTCGAGGTCTCTTGTGGGTTCTTATATCAATCAAGCCCGGACCACGCTTTGATCTCGCGACGCATGTGCTGATAGATATCGTACTGAATAATGTAAATGTGAGGAGAGTGCGAAATCCGCTCGATCGTTACATACTGTATAACAGAAATGCTTTTCCCGGACCCACGATGAATATGATAGAATGTGCATCAGGTCTGTAGTATTCTTGCACATGGAAAATGTTATGTGGGACCCAGACTGGTGACATATACTGCGACATTCAATGTGCCAGATCCGTAGGGCACTGTAAGTTCATCTCATTTATACCCACTGAAACCCACTGGCATTATTAAGGTGACCCACTATCCACTTCATGATATTGACTACTACATGGTCAAGCTAGCACAGAAAAGTTCCAAATCAATTACTGTGGATTGTGGTGTCAAGTTGATACTTTGTATATCTGACGAAACTATGAAAGATACTATGTGCAGGCTCGAAACGTCTATACCATCAAACCTCATGATTGATAGTCATCAAGAGAATCCGAAACATAGGCCAAATTCTGAATGACAGCCAGACCGTATTGGGCGATATCGTTGGTCGCAAGCCAAGCGGCCTCATCGACGGGCACCAAGACACCACTTCCGTCCACATGCGTGATGTTCCAGGGGGCGTCCGGCAGTAGTCCATCGCTGGCATAGAAGTCCTTCCATGCCCGCAGCGCAAGCGTTTTGTTCTTAGTCTCATACGCCGCGTACGCTGCCAGCCTCGAATGCGCCTGGAGAAGACTTATCTTGCTGAAGCTCGCTCCATATCGGTCCTTCTGCTCCGACGCTGAGGCATGGTAGTAGTAGCAGTAATCCAACCAGGCTTGCTTGAACCCTTTGGGTATATCATCCGCCAGATAGGCGATGGCTTCAGAAACAACCTCGGGAAGACCGAAGACTGCGTTCAGATGTGATATAGACACGTTCCCCTGGTTACCCGGGTCAGAGGGGGGAGGGCCCAATGTCCAGGTCACAGGATCGTACAGCCCCAGCCGGTCACAAATCCGTTAGTCAGATTTGCTATTCCTGAGATCGTGTTGGTCAACTTGGTCTTGGCCTCTTCCCATCTCGGACCTCGTCGTTCCCATTCAATCAACCACCCTGCAGCAAGACCCGACCAATCGGTTCCAAGACCAAACGAAACCGTCGAGTTTGGACTGGGTTCCCAGCCGTCTGTGCGAACTTTCCTCTGAGGATCAAGCTCCCCGTAGGTCTTATCAGTGTCAAGCAATTCTTCCAGCAACTCTCCGACGCGCTCGTCTCCCCCGAGAGATAGAAGAAGTATTTTCGGTACTGCGGCTGAGAGATGCGAGCCTGTTTCGCGCTATCGCTCCAATGTTGCACACCGTGACGTGTGCCCAGTCCTTTCCAGTCACCGATGTGGTACACATCGACTTCACCTGTGTGCCTTGTCAGGGCCTCGGCGAATCGGTACGCATCTTTGCTGCCAGTACGGAGGAAGTAAAGCCAGAAGAAGAGATCTGGTGACAGCTCTGAGTTGTCCCAGGCATAACCACCGACGTCGTATCGCCAGGTGTGTCGGTCGGGGTCATACGTGTGCATGAAATCACCGTAGTCCAAGAAGCCGTACCAGCGACGCTGCTCAATTTGGCCCTTGTAGAAGTCAAAAATGAACTGAAGCCGATCTTCCAGAGTAGCTGCAGCGGGACTGGCAATTCCTGGCAGGGCCCAGTACTCGCCGAGGGCTTGCGTTTCATGGATATATTTCGGCTCTGCGACCAACACTGGGGGATCATTCATGTACGCAGTGAGCGATGCAAGCTTGTCACTTGTTGGTGTTTGGTCAAACGCGAACAAGTATACTTCACTAGTTCGAGCAATTCCATATGGCGTATCAAAGCCGGGTTCCCAGTCCTCGTAGGTAATCTCGAGAGCGTCCAATTGATCTTCATATCCATCCTGGCCTAAGCCATCGTGGAAGGGTCGCAGGTCCAACGGGTCAGCAGCGGGGCTATACAACCACAAAGTGAGTTCACCAGTATCGGAGGCAGCATTGGAAATGTCAAGCCCAACCGGGTACCGCTTCCAGAAATCCCGTAGACCGACGGCGAGACCTCCTTGCGTAGCACCTCCTAAGTAAGCCAGGCCTTCAGCACGGGTTCCGCTGGGGATTTTAACCCATGACTGGCCAGCCTTGGTCCTCTTTTTGAGGCCGAAACCGTCGGCTGTGAGCTGAGTAAGACTGTAGTCGGCCCACGTTGGAATCCATTTCAGCCGAGTGGTGACCCTGGTGTCCCAAGTCTCTGTGTCTGCCAGTTTCTGCCCCGCAAATTGTGCAGCCCTGATTTCTTCGCCGGGGTCTCTCCGCAGTCCAGTTATTCCCTGAACTGCCTCGTTGAAGATTCCGCCATCCACGCCAGCGAACCTGATGTGTCGGTCGTAGTACTCCTGGCCTTTCAATGGAACATCGAATCGAATACCGAGCCCGGTGATGAAGTCTTTCTCACCTCCATCGAAGACGATGCTATGCACCACTTTGATAGTGGCAGAGTTGGCATAAAGATAGAATCTGACAACGAATGGCATCCACGGATCGTGGTCGGTACCATCGGTGACCGTATGATTTCCACGAATAGTGACGAGCGTGCGAGCCGATGTCTGATTTACAAAGACCTCGTTGATATTGCCGTCAAAGTTGCAATATTGGATGGGGGAATTTGCTCGGTTGTCAAAATTATCCGGCACCGAGTCCTGAGATTGAAGCACAAGTCTTCCGTTTGCGCCGATAACCTTGCCGCCCTTTGTCTTGATATCGCCAATAATGATGTTCCCTCCTTTAGGAAATGAGACGGCCACCTCGCCCGTGTTGACAGTAAGCGCGTCGGAATTGTCTGTTACAACGATAGAGCCATTTGGTGACCTGGATTCTGATGACGAAGACGAGTTGTTGACGCAGCCCTGGGACGATGCAGTAATGGTATATTGGTCATATATTTGATCCGATTCGGCAATGGCATGCGCTGTCCATTTGAGGGAACCGTCGGCCCAGTAGCCAGTTGCCCAAGATTGCAGTTCTGATTTGTCTTCAGCATCGCCAGTCAGACTAAAGCTAGTCTCTTGGGGTCGATATTTGCCTTGCGGCCATGGCAGACCGAAAGTCACACCAGCATGGTACGTCGGTTTGTCACCGAGCCAGTGAACAGTTGCGGAAGATGAGGTGCAGTTGGACGCCACGGCGTGATGGCTTAGATGTCCAAGAAGAACCAGAAAGCCAACACCAAGTTTCAACATGGTAGAAATTGAGACACTTGTGTGTTCTTAGCTTTGCGCAGGGGGTCGACCCCTCTTAAATCCATTTTGACGCAATCTGCTAGAGCTATGAGCATGCTAGCGCTATTCTTGGCGGTTTGACAACCATGAGATGACATAGCACCTCGGCAATAAATACCCTGTCCTCTTCTAAGTAACTCTCATTGTGGTATTTTCCGACTGAAAGTGATTGGTGGTAAGGTCAATCAATTTCACCGAGAAAGTGACGTCGGGGTCACATTGGCCCATAATCCGCAACACTTGCGATGACCCCAGAAGTGCCCCCGCAGCAAGGGGGTGTCTGGGACATGCAGTCGGGAATATCGGCGTAAGCGACCCCGAAGCATTTTCGGTACAGGAAATTGGTTTCTCCGTATACAGAAGGGGAAAATCACCGGGCTTCAACAAGAGAAGTCCCAGGGTCTTCGTGCGCGCAAGCGATCAAATTCTGGACACGCCGATTGGTGCCTCCTTGCAACTTCCCCGTGTCCTGGAGACCCACTATCGAGACAACATCTCGACTAACCGTACGGAGTACTGGGTAAAATGTTCCTTCGGCGCCATGCGCTTGCCTCCCGCGCCGGGGAACTCGTCAAACTCCACTAACTGTAGCAGCGGGTTCGATCAATGAAGGATTAACACTGAACATCATGACGCATGATTCCCCGTCAGGCCACCTTCGGACACAATTAAGGTCGCATCGAAGATCCGAAGGAGGACTAAAACAGGCGAAGTTGGCACAAATGTTTAGCAATACCCTGAATACCACTTTATAAATAGCTTTTTAAAGTGCCTTAATCTTAATAGTCGACGCTTATCTTCGGGTGTCCACTTCCTATTAGGAGGCTTAAAGAAGGCGAGAAACGTAAACCAGACCCCGTCTCACAGGCTAGGCCAGTTAAGGCTGTGCTAGACTTCGCGAAGGCGTAACAGCTGTTTCGAAGTCGCGCGGCAAAGGGGCAGCCTAATAATAGGAGCGGCAGTTAGGCCACGGTGGCCTTGACGAGGCTCTAGGTTCGTCTTCAGGAAGCGAAATACTCTACATGTACGTAGATCGGATATATACTTGTTGTAGCCTGAATATCGCTTCGGCGAGGGGTCGGAGTAAAGGAAATCACCCACCCATCCATCCATTCTGTAGCCTTACACACTATCAGAAAATACAAAGTAACATAGAACCAGATAATACAAGAAGCAGCAGCAGTTTTGTCGGTTTGAGATTAGCTCCCCCACCAGTCTGTGGAGATTCCGGTGCTTGTGAAGTCGGGCTCGATCCAGATTGAGTACTACTAGTACTACTTGGGGAGCTTTCATATTCCACAACCTGGCTGTCAGTCCAGTAGCCTAGATCCTCGCATTCGGATCGATACATATCGAAGACTTCCCGTAGGTCGTCGTTTTGCATGTTGATACATTTTCTGCAGCCATCGAGTCGTCTTAAGACAGGGAGCGTACAGAAGCACTCGGCGGCCGTTCGGTTGAGTAATACGTTCCCGTAGTAATCGTACCCCTCCGCGAGTACACTCGTCTGAGCTGGTGGCGGGGAAATGTCTCAGGTCGACGAGACGACATTCCGTAATTTGTCCATGGATTACACCGCAGATTTCACAGTCGCTGTTGTAGTCCGGTGCTTCAGTCGCCGGCGGCATGGATGATAGAGTCGTAGAAGGAGAGGAGAGGGTCGAGTTGGCAAAATACCCGAACGCCTTACAGTCCTCGTGATAATACCCTGCAACCTTATTCTGGTTGGCTATTGTGGTCTCCGCCCGGGGCCGGAATAGCACGAGTCCACACAGGCTGAGCGGGCACACACTTCACAGTCGGAGAGTGAATTGATGGCTTCGGTGCAGAAGCACCGCGCTTCATCGTAGGTTGCAATCCGAGCTGTTGAGGGGCCATTTCCGAATGGGGCGTACTCCCGGCCAGAGAGATTGCGCTCGACGGGGAGATGCTGGAACTCGTGCCAGTCCGTGTCGAGATCAGGAAGCGAGCATGATGATAAAAGCGAGGAAATTGGTCCACACTCCTGGGAACACTGCCCTCGAACAACGGGGATGGAAAATAAAGCCAGCCAAAGCATGTTCTGAGCGGTGGCTGGGAAGCTGAAGATCTCTGGGGACCTAGGGGATGAAAAGCGAGTGCAAACGGGAGGTAAAAAAAGGAAGGGAAATGGGATTGATTTCATAAATAGGTCAAGATCATCCCGAGGTCTGGGCGAATCTTTGACAATCGAATTTCTATTCGTTCTTGGCCAACCTTGAATTGATAGGAATCTCGTATTCCTATGTCGATCTGCACATCCCCACTCACTTTGAGGTACCGGTTCGTATTTTTAGAAGTCATATTCTCGTTTGTGTCGGATATCAGTTGATACTACCACAATAATGCGATAATTAGTGCCCAAACTTCGCGATCAGGTATCGCGTGCATTGGCTGGCAAACAGAAACTCCCGGAAGAACGGATCAAGTCCACCAACGACCTCAACCTGAGTACCCTTGAAAAACCTGTAGCCATTCGTCCACGCCAGTTTCGTCTCAAACACCTCGTCTTCAATCTTGCCTGTTTTGCTGCCCGCCTTTGGCCGTTCGGAGCGAACCTCGACGAGATATTCGGCATCACGGCCTGTCGCAGGGTCAGGTTTCCAGACAAAACGACGCCCTCCGAATGTGAAGCGCCGTGGTGCCCATTCGGTATTGCGGTCTGATTTCTCCTTAATCACGTTTCCGTAGCTGGTTGTATGCTCCAAAGTGCGGCCGCTAAAATTCCAGCGAGCTGGCCCAACGCGAGTTGTGATGTATGGCTGGGGATATCTCCGAAACTCGAGAGATTGTCACACCTGGTATTTGTCGCTTTCTCCGCTTGAGTCCATCACAAATGTATAGATTATCCTCACTTCCGGTGAGTTTGACCTTGGTGGAGCACCAGTGGGAGATTTTGAAAGGCGAATTCTCAGCATCCCCGGTGATGTCGAACCGTAGATTGGGAACAGAGAGGTCTACCATTGGCGTGTAAAACGAAAGAGGTGGTTTCACAAGATATTGGAAAAAGGGTTCGATTTTCGCCTTCGGATTTTGAACGCGATCACGGTTGAGCTTTCCTAGCGCTATATCCTCCTGTAGTCATGAAAGAAATTAGTTTGCAAGCCCTTTGGATTAATGGGACATTCGTTCTGGTTCTCTTATCTGGGGTTTACTCACCAGACCAATTTTTGCAGCCCCTCGCTGAAGCTGCTCCTCGATTATATCCTGCCTGTTCTGAGGGACCACTAACACAAAAGGGGCAGCATGTTGTACGTTTAGGTTTCGAAGGCGACCTTCGTGTATCTTGATTTTCCGTCTTAGTGCTCGCTTCTTGTCGTGCTCAAATACACCGGTCTTCTGGAGGGCCTGTGCAAGATGCTCGACTGATGACCTGTGAAGGGAGGCAGCAGACTGATGGTCTTGCTTATACTCTGCAGTGAAGGCAGAGAGGCATAGGTCATGAAGGCCTTGAGCCTCCGTTCTGCTAGTGTCTGCCATGGAGGAAGCGAGTAACGCTAATGAGAAACAAAACCGGGTGAGACAAACACGCAGTTTCTGAGAATCATTTGTAGGAGTGACCCTGCGAAAGAGGGGGTATTTTTAAACATGCTCCTTCTCGATGCTGGCTGCGAAACAGGTAGAAAAACAGAGTTCCAAGCCTCTCAAGCCTTTCTCTTGGTCTTTGCAGATCTCTCGTGTGCGCTAATCATCACCATATCAAGTGCTGGAAGGAGGAGAGGAAGAGTCATTGGTCAAGTCCTCGATTTGCACAGCCTCAATGTGATGAATATGATATCTTGGCATTAGACAAAAATGTCACCCCGATTCACCGAGGTGCGCAGAGACGAACAGGAGAATAGGAGAAGGTCGCGAGATTAGCATCCTTCGGGGGTCGTTGGCACACGTTTGACCCGCCAAAAACTGCTTGAAAGCCGCAACCACCGGGGTGGACCCTGCGATCACCATCTACTTGAGGGGTTCTGAAGGCCAAGAGCTGTGCATTTGGCAAGGTCATGTGCAGATGATATACCTCGTGACAGGTGTACCAGCGGGAATCATTTCACAAATGAAATGCAAACTTCGTATCTACCTGATGCTCATATACTGAAGGCAATCATATGTAAAATGTGCAGGGAAGGGTTTGATACCTAATATGACAACGCTAATTAATCTATTCAAAAATAACCTTCAGCTTCCGCACCAGCGGCTTCCTTGCTGGCACAGATTCTTCTTCGGAGTGATTCCCATAAAACCGCCGGAACTCATCGAGGTCAATCGTGCTCGCATCGATCCACAATGGGCAGCGGTACCATAACTGAGCACCAATCCAAATCACCACAACAGCAATCACACTGATATAGTTGGCAAAGAAGTTCTTTGCAGACATCTCTTCATTAAGAGGCCAAACGCTCAAATAGAATGTCACGATAATTAGTCCAATGCACCAAATAAGTGCCCACCATGTCGCATACGGGTAAGCCCATGTCCTCCAAGGAAGATGAGCTTCGTCCCGGCTTTGGACCTTCCAGGCATAGCGGAACCGCAAATGCGATAGGCAGATCATTCCCCATCCAAAGAGGGTAAGAAGTGATACTAGGTTGGAAAGCCATGTAAAGACCTCAACCCCGGTATTCGACACGTTTAGATAAGCTAGAGCACCACCGATACCTATGGTAGCGATGTATCCTGCCCACGGTCGACCCATGGAATCGGCCTTTCCAAAGACCTATTATTCAATTTGTTAGCACTGATTTGTATCAGACTGCCACAACAGCTTTGTACATGTACCTTGTGATTCATTTTCACATGCGCCATTCCCATCAACATGCGAGAACCTCCGTATCCAGCGACACTACCGGTAGAGATTACCGAAACAAAGATGACGGCATTTGTAAGGTGGGCCATTACCGGCAGCCCAGCATTTTTGAAGGCAATCACGAAAGGCGAGGCGTTACTGCCAGAGCCACCGAACAAGTCCGGATCTTTAGGATCGACAGTCAGTGTGATCATCAGACCACCCAGAATGAAGAAAACACCCAGACGGAGCCAGATAGATGAAATAGCTTTAGGAACCGACCTTCGAGGATTTGCGACTTCTGTGGCCACCAAAGCGGCATTTTCTGAGCCGGCCATGGCAAAAACACAAGTTGGGACAACAGAGATGAATCCTTTGAAGCCATTGTTGAAAGCTTGCGCATTCCAATATCGGAAGCCGATAGCATCTCCCTGAGGTGCGCCTCCAGCGGTAACGACTACTAATAGTCAGTGTTGGAATTTCCCAAGGGACACGGAATAGTTCTACCGAGCAATGCGACAATTGCAATGAGCATCCAGCCGAATTTCACTGTCGATGAGAAAACCTCCACCTCTGCAAAGAACCTCACGACCCAAACATTAATCAAAATAATAACAACCCAGAATATTGAAATCCATGCTGCCGTTGGAAGAGCGTCAGTCCAGTATCTTAGTATAGTCACAACAGCCTATGTAGCAAGGTTTCTTCAGTGTCAGTAGTCTTCAACCGTATCCACATCACAATTGGAGAAAATACCTGGAGCTCATTGGCAATGGTAATCCAATATGAGAACCAATATCCCCATCCCAAAGCAAACCCTGCCGCCGGGCTAATGAAGATAGTGGACCATTGCACAAAAGCCGACGGAACTGGATACATAACTGCCATTTCGCCAATGGACTGACTGACGGCCCACACCATGGAGCTGGAGATCAAGAAGCCAATGAACAGACTTGCAGGCCCACCCTTGACAAGAGATGTACCGCTTCCTAACCACATCCCCATTCCAATTGCTGAACCGAGGGCTATCATCGTGAGATGACGAGTCCCCAGAGACCGATGAAGCTCTGTATCGGCTCCATGGTCAAGCAGTTCGCCCTCAGCTTTGGTTGCTGCAGTCTCGAGGTCAACAGGCAAGTTGTCCTTGACAGCGGATGACTCTACTACCATATTGGTCGCAGGTAGATAAAAGATAATTGAAGAGAAATTCCATTGAATCGACGGTACCCTTTATATTTCTTAACATTACACAATTCGATAGCCAGGTTGCTTGCCGGCGTAGTGGGGTATACCCCGGTAGTAATTCCCATAGTCTCTGGCTGTCATCTTCCCCGCAGCTTCGAATGAGAAAGAGATAAGGTCTGATATCCCCGATAGAGTAATAACGCTTGCTTGTCACTTGCATTGGATTAGGGGTGTCTTGGGTAAATGCGGAGAGAGACCTATCAGGGTTGGTTATTCCGTGTGGGTTTTCATCGAATCAATTGCCGTTTGAAATTGACTTCGTTAGTCCTATCAGCCCGTTGCTTCACAAGCGGACGGCCTATTCCCCTGATTTAGCTCTCGGTGTTTGACCATGGACCGGCCATTGATAAGTAGCCTCGACCATTGATGGCTTCAATCGGCCAAGGCTCGTATTCTCTATCTTCTACGCTAGATAGAAGAGCGTATTGGGGTCACCATGCGAGGATGATCCTTTCGGGCCAGTCACACTCCCATTGAAAGAAAACCTACCCGGACGACAAAGTTTACAAAGTTACGGCATTATAATCCATCTTACCTAGAAATGGCCAATATCTTCTGAGTCATACTTACACCCAGTGGTAAACTAAGATAGCAACCAAAGATAAGCCGCTATATAGGCTTCAAGCCGTATATACGATATGCACACAATAAGATTTTTATGGATCCTCATCGGTGTAACTCGACGAACAAGGCCGGACTATAGAAGAAAAAGAATCCTACGCTAAATTCAATTCCAATCCTAGTATCGGTTCCATCTAGACAAACATGTGCGCTATCACTACAGAAATGAGAGAACCAGCTTTTGAAAACATTCTATTTGATCAAGCTAGCCATGCTAAATGTACCGAAAATAAAGTACTAAGTATATCAAGGTTCATGAATAGCACGCATAATGCGTGCCATTGCCTCCTCCAGCCAGGGAAGAGGATGTGCAAACACCAAGCGGAACCACCCCGGATTCTCCGATCCATAAGCAGTCCCATGGGCCACATAAACCTTTCCTTTCAGTAGTTTATCAAATACCATATCAGTGAACGCGAGACCTTGTCTAGTCTCTTCCGGATGAAGCTCAATATACTTCTTACCAAGGTTCACCCACAAAAAGAATCCAGCATTGCACCCATGCAAGTATTCGATGCCATGTTTGTCCAGGAGTTGGGCGAGGAATTCGTGCGATAGAGAGAGCTTTTCTTGATTTGTCTGAATATACTTATCCGTAAAAGCATCATTCTGAAGAATGGAGGCTGTGATGTGGTCCGACAGCCCAGAGACAAACGAGTACAGCGACAAGCACTTCTGTGCGATATGCAGCTCCGGGTTGGACTGCGAGATAACAGCACCCACTCGGAGGCCGTTGGCACCGAAATCCTTGCTCATCCCCCAGAGCACATGCACAAGAGCGGGATCTATCAAACCACACGTGTCTCTCGATAAAAGAGACTCAAAGGGTGTGAATGTGACATCGTTATCCACACGGTTCCTCCATACCGAAAGTGCGTAGATCTCGTCGCTAATCAGATGCATCTGGCGTGACTGGCAGAGTCTCATTAGACCGTCGACTGTTGTGCGAGGATAGCAACGACCCAAAGGATTGTGCGGGTTGCAGAGCATGATAGCCCGCACTCTTTTCCCTGTGCATTCTTCGAATTCCTTTGCCGCTTTCTCGTACTTGTCGACAGCCTCCAGGCTCAGAGGATCCACGTCTCCCATTTCCACGGGTACAACCACCGCCTCTGGACGTAGGGTGATATCCGCGATGAAAGTGCTGTAGTACGGCTTGCTCAGGAGGATTGCTTCTCCTGGGTTCAGAAATGTCCAGCTCAAGTGCTCAATCGCAGAGGAACATCCATTTGTCATTAGGATGTGACTTGGTTCCACTGGGCGAAAGGGACTGAAGTGTCTGTTCAGGAAGTGCGAGACTGACTTTCGAAGTGCCTTGGATCCCATGCTTCCATTGTTGTAGGTGAGAAGAGAGGCCGTAAAGCGAGAATTGTCGTGGATATACTCGAGAAGTGTGTCATGGAGTAATGTATTCTCTGCCATCCCGACAGAGAGGATACCATTCGGGTTGGCCTGAGGATGCCACATGTCGCTGATCACGTCCCATGTTATACGCTTGGTTCCCAGGTCAACGGCAGCTTGGCCGCGCTTGGAAAAAACCTCGTAGGGTCCAGACGAGGAATCTGTGATGGATCCCATGGTGTTTGAATGTTTGTAACGGCGGCTATAATTTTGCGAGCGACCAAATTGGTAGAGCCTTATCCCACGTTAAAGATAAACTGTGAACTGCAACCTTAGGTTATATAGTTATCACTCTCTTTTTATAAGCCCAGCGATTACTGAATACAAATTATTCCCGATATCGGATAAGCCGCACTTTGACCTCATTTCTCTGGTAAGAGTAGCGAAAGCCGAGGGTCCACGAAAATCGAAATCGAAATCCCCGGTTGTACATTTGTAGATATGATTTTCAGATAAACCCTTCCATATCGGGTAACGCGCGAAATGAGGGTCCCGGTGTTTGAACAAAAACTCCGATTGGTTGACCGGCGTCTTGGTTGCAAAGGTTGCTCGGGGAATTTGTGGGGGATTTGTGGGCTTTTTACCCAACAATTAGACTCGTACCCCACATGCATATCACTAGCATCTGTCCAGGGGATGCAGACACAAGTGGCTGCTTCGCTTATAGCACCTAACAAACTTAGGCATATCATAGTATAGACCGATTCGGAAGGAAAGAATAATGCAAACATTTATCTGAATGATGTTGCTTTCATGAGATAGGCAGAACAGATTGAAGGAATACAAGTCCTATATTACTACTTTCTTTTTCGCCTGTTCTAATAAAATTAATCGAGCGGCAAAGTAATATGTAGTTCTAATTTGGGGCTCACCGAAGCAAGGAAAACAAAGTATCAACAAGAAAGCATTCTATGGAGAAAGAAAATGTAGTTTCCTTTCTATGGACGAATGACGAATCAGAACATTTTTATATTTCTCATAAAAGCAAACAGATAACAAGGTAAGACCAAAGGAATATGCTTTAACAGTTATGTCAGTAAAGCCGTCTGCAATCCTGTTGGAAAACGCTTCGTTGTTGAAATCTAGAAACGTTAAGCATTGCAGCATTTTTCCCTGGAGGCTTCCCCATTTGGAGAACTTCCATTGAGTAGTGATGGCGACTGGGACGTATCCAAGCGGCAGAAGCACGATGACTTGATCGGGACATCGGCTACCGCAAGGGCTAGTTTAGCCGGCTGTTCAATTACAGACGCTTCATCCATCCTCCCCAGACGAACCAAGCACTCATAGTATCCCTGCAGCGACCAGACATTGTTCGGGTGACGGCACGGCCGGATGACAGAGGTATCCATACCCAGATCTGCGCGATATGTCTTTGCCGCTTCTTCCAAATTGCCCTGCTCCATCATCAGCGCGGCATACGCATGGCGAACAGGTTGCATCCATGACCAAGGTTCACTGTATGGCAAAGTGTCCTCGTGATGGATTGCACGGCGGAGAGCCTCGAAGGCCTTATCGTAATTAGCGCAACGGTATTCAATTTCTCCTTCCAACATTGACTCGGCGACTTTGAGCACGTCGACGATTTTACCGTTGTATGCGCGACGAGTCACGGGGACGCGTGCCCACGCTTGGTGGAAGAGCTCCTGTTCCTTTTTGGCTGATGCCACGTCCCCTGTGGCGGCGAATGCAATACCTCTGGCATAGTGGGTAGTGGCAGTGGTGCCTGCATATAATGATTGGTCATGGGGCAGCTCTTTGACCTTGAGCTCCTCCCACATACCGAAGCGTACCATCACATGTAGACGGATACCCATGAACTGCTCTAGCCAGTCAGCCATAGGCGGAGACTCAATTCGAAGGACTTCTTCAGGCACAGTGGCTTCCATGCGAGTGACTGCGTCGAGAGCAACCTTGGATTTACCGGCAAACATGGCCGCGTAGACCAAGGAGTGATAGTCGTGCATGCGATAGAAGGTATAGAAGTTCTTGGCGCCTGACTTCCGGAAGAATTTGTCATCCGCGAGCGTTGATTTGTGGTTCGAGGCGATGGAGCGCCGCCAATCGCCCATCAGAATATCCAAATGAGTGGGCATGTGGTGGATGTGACCAGCGTCGGGAACGAGGTCGCGGAGATGATCGGCAGCGTTGATACCCAACTCTGGAGTGGGCGACATTTCGATGAAGTGAATGTACAAGTGAAGTAACCCAGGGTTCAGGTATGCACCATCCTCTTCCTGTGAAAGTGCTTTTTCGAGCACCGCCTGTGCTTCCATGGTGGGTGCTTTAGGGTTCGGCTTGCCGGTAAACAGATCCCATAGAGCCCAGGGGGTCATATTCATCAAGGCATCGGCATAAAGGGTGGCAACATCCAAGTCAGCTCCGAATTCATCATACACCGGCTTCATAGCCATGGCGTAGCTCTTGTTCAGAGCGGGGTAATCTGTCGCAGGCTGGTCGGTCGGGAATCTGAATTGGATCGCGTCGATTAGAGCCTGTTCAAGCGGAGTTGCATTTGGTGCGCATTTCTTTGCCTGTCGTGTGGCATTGTATCCTCGTTGCACACAAGTGTGTAGATCTCCCTGGTCGAACTTCTCCCATGGCTTATTGTAGTTCGGGCCAACCGCATAAGCCAGGCCCCAGTAGGCCATGGCGCACGCGGGATCATGGGCAATAGCTTGTTGGAAGCAGTAGGCGCCTTCCACATGGTTGAAAGAATATACCCATATCAGGCCACGGTTGAACCAAATCTGGGCGTCGGCGCTGGTGGTGGTGATGAGATGGGCAAACGAGCCAAGGTTGTAGTATTCGTCACTAGCTGGGACGGGTACTAGCGTTCCTGAAGTCATGATGAATGCAGGAGTCAGGTACGATGCAGGGGATAAAAGCTAGGGTCAATGCTCAACATGGGAATATTAGATGAGATTATTCTGTGGGCTTTATATACGGAGTAGAGTACTAGATTGAGTGGCGCAATTGAAAAGCGGAAGTGGGGACGGGAGAAAAATGTGGCTACTCCGTCACTCCGACTTATCAAACACCGAAGACGCCGAAGATCCCTGCTATATCATATATCGGAATCATCTACACCTGGGCAGTTAAGCCTGGTTTCTACGACTGGATACTGGTTTCATTTAATCTACCATAATTATAACGAGTTCTTCTCCTACACAAATTTATATTGAAGCTTGTCAATTTCGGCCAATTGAAATACCTCGGTGATCGATCCCCCAGGTGGAGCTGCTGTAAGCTCGGTCCTCTTAGAGCATACGACTCCGGTCCTTCCTTCGGGGGATGAAAATATGTCAATAGATGCTTAGATAGTGGTATATATACAGCTTATATCACTAGATCCAGCTCCAATATACCAACGCCAGTTATATGCAAAAAGGTCACGTATATTGAGACTGCCACGGTGCAGATCAGTTAAAGAAAGCACGTATGCAAAGGATGTGCTCAGCGGTCTACTCGTGTTTCGTCCATATAGACACGAAAAATGAGTGCAGGGGTGTGTATAGGTAAGTTGCTGCCGCGTGAGCCTCGTGTAAGCGAGCGCTTGAATTTACCCCTTAAGAGAATCAGTCAACCGTCCAAGTGAAATACGATAAGTAGAACTCACACCGCGGACTCCCAAATCTTGGTGTGTTCATTGAAGATGTTGTCAGAATACAGACCGAGTATATGGATTACCGAGTCCAATACCATGGAATCATGTGATTTTAGACTATGCAAATTGCTTACTAATTGTGTCCGACCAGACTGTCAAAAACGGACCATTGTTGTTTTTAGTTAGTTAGAGAACTTTACTATCGTGAATTTACCAATACGTTCGCTATACACCTGATTTCCGTCAGTTATAAGCCCGGAATCGCTTCAATTTTAATCTCTTTTCCATCCTTTTATTAAATCTTATATATATTGAGCCTATATTTGCCTAGTTTTAGACCGGCCCCTAGCTATACGGAGATAATAACCCCTAAATTGAGATAACCCCTAAGAAGTATTAATAATAATATTAGAAATCCATTTGCGAACGTTAATCGAACCGTCACGATATCGGATTACACTCTCTCCGCGAATTCGTCCTCTCGCGTTACCTTAAAAGACATATCGAACTAGGAGCTATAGCTCTCGATAATCAAAACCATTATAGAGCAGTTCGACGTCTAGGATCTATATAATCCGGAATTAGATATAGAACCCGTACTTCCGAAAGAACCGATCGAACCGAGTTAAGAGGATCTAAAGAGAGATTATCTAATAGACTAGTTTTATCTATATAGTGTACTAAATATGTAATATAAGAGAAAGCTTAGTATATATAAAAAGAAGCTCTAGGGTAGGAAGATAGTTATAAATACAATCCGCTAGAGTATCTATAAAAAATACTAGGTTTTTATAGACTAGGAGACACTATAGGGACTGCTTAGGAATCTACGATAGCGGGTCTTACCGGAGTGTAACCCTATATATAGAGTAAGCCTTCGTACGGTATAGAGGAATCTAGATAGAGGTCTAGATAAAATAATAGATATTGATTAGTAGCTACTAAATTAGTAAACCTTATAAAAACGCTATATAAAAGTAGGGATTATAGAGGCTAGGGAGGCTTTAATCCAATTTCTAGAAGCTATATTAGTGATTTTACCGGAATTCTATATAGCCTAGATCGTTATAGCTAAGATAGCCTCTACTAGTAAAAGAAGCGAGGAAGAAAGATAGGCTAATTTCGTAAACCTACTTATCTAGTATAAAGCCTATTAGCTTATAGCCTATAGAAAATAGGTAGTATAAAGAGGCCTATTAAAAGCTATATTTTTAATATAGTAGGGCCACTAGGAAGCTTAGCCTAGAGATTTAATAATAAGTAGCTTAGCTAGTAGATCTACTAGTAAACTAGCTAGGAAGAAACCATCTGATTTTCCTATTAAAAAGCGGTTCTATCTATATAGTAAGATAAGATATATATTATAGAGATACTAGGCTATATTCCTAGAGGATAAACCGGCTAGTATACTAGATATACACCTAGATAAAAAGAAGGTATAGGATAGAGCTATAAAGGTAGACCCTAAATAGAGAGCCTTTATTAAAAAGAAGCGAGTAGAAGAGAAAAACATATAGGCGAACCTAGTTTTCTAGCCTAGAGTACTAGGCTTCTTTATAGCTAAAAACTAGCTAGTAAACGATATATTTAAGATCTAGAAACCTATAAAGATCGATTAGAAATATTCTAAGATCGATCACGAATATTCTATAATCGATCACGAATATTCTACGATTGATCACGATCATTCTACAATCAATCATAAACATTCTATAACTATTTACAATCATTCTATATTCCACTAAATTAGTTATAATCCTCTCTATAATAGATAGCTTATCGATACTAGTATATAAGTCTATATTTATAATAACCGGAGGTTATTTATCGAATTTTAGAAGACGATAAGCTCGATTCGGGTAGGAGATACGAAGACGATAGTAGAAGGAATCGGAACTATCTTAATCTATAGTATTAGCCCTAGGAACGAAGTACCGCTACAAATAGATTTGTTTAATATCAAATACTCGCTAGGTTTCTATACGAATATCATCGCCTATAGTTAGATATTTAAGATAATAGGAGCGTTCTTAAACTTTAAGAAGAACTAGATTAAATAAGACGAAATCCTACTATATACTATATACTAGGATTAAAAGCTTCCCTAGTTAGTGTAGCCGAACTAGCCGTTAGTAAATATAGCTATAAAGAAGTTAGCTAGAGAACCTATATCTAAAGCCTCTATTAAAACCTAATATCGTCGCTTAGGCTATATTAGTAAAGAGAGGATTAAAAAACTTACTAAGATAATAGAAGGTATAAAGATAACTAGTTATAACCCTAAGAAGTAAGAGGCTTCGGAGAAATAGGTATACGAAGCTTACTAGTTAGCAAATATACCTAGATAGATCTTATAGAGGAAGATAGGCTAAGCCTATAGGGTACTCGGTAGAGTGTACTTTAACCTTATATAAAATCAGCCTATATATAATAGATATATCTAGTTAACGTATTTCTATCTTAATAGGATTAGATACTACTTTATATTCACTTATATAAAGAAGAAGGACTACTAATAGGCTGTTAGGAAGTTTATCGCTTTAATCCGAAACTAGCTAAATATTAGAATTAAGGTCTTCTACTATAATAATAAGCGTAGTACTAGTAATAAGGTTAAAAATATAATTAAAGCCGAAGGCTACGTTATAGAGTACTTACCTCCTAAGATATTAGAGATAAACGGACTAGTAGAGAGATCCGGAGGTATAATTATCTAAATAGTAAGGGTATTGATTAATAAAAACCCGGATCTACCGAAGATACTCTAGCTAGAAGTAGTATATATATTAGTATATATACTAAACTATATACTAATAAAGCTAGTAGATAGAAGATAGATTATACCTTAGATAGAATTGATAAAACTAGCTACACTAGATAGGATAAAGGACTAGCGAATTAACCTTTTAAACCTTAGGGTATATAGCTACTTAGCGTATTCGAGAATCCTAGATTCAAAGCGTATATAGTTAGATAAGATATCACCGAGAGTAGAGATCGGATTCCTAGTAAGGTATATCTCTAAAAACCTATATAGGATCTAGTTTCTATATAAAGAGGGATAGTATAGAAGGGTAGACGTTATTAGAGATACTATTTTCGATAAGATACGGCGGTATATAATAGCGAAGAAGCTAGAATTAGAAGATATAGTTAGTACGCTAATAAATGCGCTAGAAGAGAGAGAGAACTAGCCTACGCTCCTAATATGGGATAAAGCTTAGTCTGAACTGAGTACCTAGATATAGATGCTATCATCTATAGCCTATATCGCCCTATATAATAACGTTTAGTATATATAGTAAGGGCAGGATCCGTATATAGATATAGATTTATAAGATATAGAGATATAAGATGTAGAGATATAAGATATAGAGATATAAGATATAGAGATATAAGATATAGAGATATAGGATATAGATCTAATAGATAGAGAGATATAGGATAGAGAGATATAAAGTGAGAGAATTGGAAGATAGTAGACCCTAATTGCTATATAAAAACCATCTAATAATATACTAATTACCCCGGCGTCGATTAGATTAATATAGTAAACAGTAAATAGAGGCTATATGCTTGGGTCCTTTCTAGCAAATCTCTCCTTACCTCTATCACCTACTTTGCTAGTATCCTATACTATGTAAAATCAGCCTTTTTTATTAGAACGGACCCCGTTTTTATTATCTTCCGCACTAGATACCCTAGAATCAGCCTTATAAACCCTAAGATCTCTATATATAGACGCTGTAGATATAGATCCTAAATATACCGGTGATAATAAAGTAAGAGATACCGGAATATATAGTGAGAGTAAAGTGAGAGATATTGGAACGTATAGTAAGCCTAAAGTGAGAGATAATATACTACTAGAGCTAGTCCTAACCTCCGCTATATAGATAACCATACTATCTATTAAGACTAGGGGGGGGTAGAATACGAAGATAAGATCTTAGAGAGCGAGATATAGCTATAGTAAGAGCTATTATAAACCCCGGTTTTATATATAGGAAGAGATAGATTAGATAGTATTAATACTATAAATATTATCTTAGGATCTAGATCTCGGAAACCTAGATAGGACCCCGACTATATAATATATCTCGCTATAGAAGAAGACAAACTACTAGCGCTAGTTTATATATTTAGAGCCTATATAAACTAGAGATTCGAAATAGATTAAAAGCCTAGGAAGCCTTATAGAGATTAGCTTCCCCTAGAGCCGTAGAACTAGAATAAAGTCAAATCCTATCTTTACGCTAAAGACTTTATAGTAGTAGCGGAATTCGAGATCGATACGCTATATAGAAAGGAGACCTTCTCCTAGGTTCCGATCCCGAATATATAAACTATATAAATCCTACTATTAAAATAGGTGTTTATATATAAATTTAATGCCGATAGTATGCTTAATAAATTTAAAGCTAGAATCTGCGTATAGGGAGATCTTTAATAGATAATACTAGAAGAAAAGAGAGCTGCTACACTTATAGTGAAGATAGCGAGAGCGGTTTTTATATTAGTTACTATATTTAATCTAGATATAAAGTAGCGAGATATTATGAATATATTTCTAAACTCTATCTTATAAGATAAGATTTATACTCGCTATCCCCCTAGTTTTGAAGTATTAGGCCGATACTAGATACTATACCATGCGCTATATAGACTACGGATGTCTCTACGTTTATAGTAGTAAAAAGCTACTAGGGTACTAGTGAAACTAGGCCTTACCCCTATACCGAAGGATCTATATATTTTTATTATAAACGGGATTATCGTTTTCTTCTATATTAATAATATTATTATTATAAACTACCTAGATTATATAAAATAGGCTACTGATCTAGATAATTAGATAAAAAAGCACTAGGAGCTTTATAAATTTAACGCTAGTTGGTTTCTAAATATATATATTATAAGAGATCGGACTAAAAAGAAGCTCTAGCTATACTAAGATAGCTATATTAAGAGTATAGCGGCGAGATATAGTCTAATCACTAACCGGAGGGTTAATACGCCCCTAAGTATAGAGCTATTACTCCCCTTTAATAGTGTTATGATAGCGAGCTAGATCTATGGTTTTTAGGCTAAAGTTGGATTAGCTTAGTATACCACCACGATCTCTAGACTAGACGCTATAAAAGTAACTAGTAAACTAGCTAAATTCCTTCTAAACCCCGGACCGAAGTATCTAGATACTATTAATAGAGTTATCTAATATCTCTACTAAACCCGCTACTATATAATTGAGTACGGAGTTTAGATAAAAGATAAGAATTCTAGCCTATAGCTTATAGCAAAATCTATTAAATTTATAAGCGATATATCTTTTAGAGATAATAGAGATCGGAAGAGCTTAGAGGGCTATATATATAAGCTCTATAGTGGTCCTATAGACTAGAAAGCTTTAAAATAGAAGACTATCACTATATCTACCACCGAAGCAGAGCTTTTAGCTCTATCCGAAGTAGGTAAAACTATCTAATAGTAGCGCCGAGTCCTCGAGTCCCTAGGATTTAAACCCTCTTATAAGCTGTCAATTATATACGACAATCAGTAGACTGTTAATCTACTAATAAAGGAAGGCGCCACTATATATATAAAGCTTCGATATATTAACATTAATAGGCTTTGGATAAAATAGGAAGTGAATGCTAGCCGCACTAACGTGTATTAGATTCCTATAGTAGAGATACCGGTAGATGGCCTTATAAAGATACTGCCGAGGTAGAAGTAGCAGGCTTTTAGACATCTACTTAGGATGAGAGAAATTAGACATCTGATTATACCCTAGGAAGGTGGAATTAATAGCTCTTAAAGCATTTGTGAATAGCTTTAAAAGCTGGGGGGTGTGTCAGAATACAGACCGAGTACATGGATTACCGAGTCTAATACCATGGAATCATGTGATTTTAGACTATGCAAATTGCTTACTAATTGTGTCCGACCAGACTGTCAAAAACGGACCATTGTTGTTTTTAGTTAGTTAGAGAACTTTACCATCGTGAATTTACCAATACGTTCGCCATACACCTGATTTCCGTCAGATGTGACTACAACCAATTAGCCAACCAGCCTAACTTCCATAATGTGGAACAAGCCAGATCTTACCCATAAAAGCTTGTTCTAGTGAGTGCCTTAGGGCCATACTCTTCTTCGAGAAGATATGTATAAGCGTATGGGATTTTGACCGGAACACCCTCGAAGAGACTGTCACGCAGCGGAAAGATGTCACTCTCCTATATCACCCGTTAGCGAGCACAGACAGACAGCGCCGACAGACAACCCACACACAACCCACCTCATAATGATGCTTATCCTTGCACATCAGCGTTTCCGGATGCCCATTCTGTCGCTTAGCCTCATCCTTGCCGACAGCAGTGATATCAATGAAAAGACCGGATGAAGTATCAATCCAGCGGGCATCAATCTTATTCAAAGTGTCTCTCTCCGATTTGACGACGTAATTGGGATTGACCTCGAGCATGTAAGTACGGCCGCCGTCGACGTTAGGGACGTCAAAATGATGCTCGGTCATGTTATAGTACTCGGCCAAGAAATGAATTGTCGCCTCCGAGATCTGCACGTCTAGATCGTCGTCCCACGGAAAGATCTATACGACTGGTTAGCTGCTTTCTTTCACCCTAGAATCATGGACATCCATGGTCCCACCTTCTGGTTCCACCACCAGGCCAAGAGAGTCCCATGCATGATCCACGTTTCTGCGCCGATGGTGTTCATTGTTATGAAATATGTCCGGACTAGATCTGAAAGATATGGAATGACTTTTATATCTGGGAGACTAGTGTTGGCGTATCTGAGACGTGTTAGGACATCGGGGTTGGAAATGAAGAATGAGCGAGCGTACCGGCTATCATAATGATGATTGAATCTGAGTATTGCGAGTTAGCTTTTATCACCCGGTACTATCCACAAGAAGGGAGATGTTCGACATACTTGGCTTCATCTGTGGGGTTAACCCGAGTTAGTTGTTAAGATCCAATAAGAGGCTTATGGTTTATGGCCTTATAAGCCAGGCTGTGGGTTGTAAATCAACACCAACGGAAGGATTGCACTTACGAAAGTATTTCTGTGTCGGTATCTCACCTTTGCCCTTATATTCTCTTGTTACATTCTTTCGCACGCTCATGAAGGTCGGTTCTGTTTCTCCGCAGACTCCGGAAATGGTAGTCGTCAAAAGGAGTCCATAGAGCCAAAAGATTCCTTTGACCGAAGAGCGCATTCTGTCATGGATATTCATAGACTCTGACACTTCATGCTCCCGGTATCAAAATGTACAACAAGCCTTGGAATGTGCAGTCACTGATTCAAGCCGTGCTGTAGTCCCTTCCAGCATAGTCGACCACCGAGGATCACGCGGGAGACAGTAATATACACTGTATAATTTGGCAATGCATGGAGAGGGGGATTATCAAAGAGAAAATATGGTATAATGTAAAACGATTGAAGGACTGGGGAAGGGATCAAAAACGAACGTTGTGAGAAAATATTTGAGTAGCTAGTTATCCCATTAGGTCTCTTCCGATCTCCATCGCTTCCTCCAGAGTCCCATATCCAAAGAGCTGACGACTCCCGTAGAAGAAAAACCCAAGTAGTGTACCCTGGATCGAATCAGCAGTCTGCAATCTTCCGCCACAGACCTGCCCCACATGGCGATGAGCTTGTCTTGAGAGTCGCGTGGACAATCGTGGCACAGTTCTGCGTGTAAACCACAAATTCCAAACTGATACGCCCATGAATGATGAGGACGCGCATGTCGCTAACGCTATATCCGTTAGCGTCCTCCCGCCCGGGGCAGTTTGCCTGGTATCAATATAAAGTGGCGCACAGAAAATGATCGGGACATACGCGTCCTCTCCTATAGCATCATTCAGTCTGACCGTTGCCCAGCCCGCACACTTATGTTGGTTAAGTTGATGGATACAAGGTTGACAATGGATCGCTCTCGACTGAGGAATCACATTCGCCAGCTACTTCAGTGGAGTTTCAGCTAAAGGTACATCCATCACCATCAAGGACACCGGCTCTGTATCCAAATCTTCGGGTAATTTCATCCGAATGGAGCCCCACCAGTCCCCAGCAATATCTCCTAGCAATATCTCCGATGTTGCTGTTATGCGTTGCAGCAAAAGACCCATTATTTGCATATCAAAGGTTAGATAGCAGATCCTCCCCGGAGTCGATCAATAGTAGCTAATCGCGTCTCATTTCGGAATGTAATCTACACGCCTTGAAGCTGGCCAATCAGGCAAGATTGTGCAAGAAGTAAGCCTTTAAGCCTTTGTGCTATGCGCTTCTTGAGGAAATCCCGGACCCGAGCCTCCACTCCGATCGACGGATCTTCCTGCTTACGACCATAGCAGGGAGCTATTAAAAGCCGATTTTGCCTAGGTTGGGAAATTTCTCTTTCGATTTCTTCAAGTTGTAGCCTTGACTAGATGTCGACTATGAGTGGACCGGATTTCTTTTCCTACCGTAGCCGCTGTGCGACCGGGAAGACTTGAACCGGTCCATTCGACGACGTCGGAAGGATAACATGTCAGCCGTTAGTAGGGCGGGAGTTCAATAACTCAGAGTGATAGGAGGATTTGCCTAGGGCATACTCCATACTAATTAGGTGGAATGGTCCCTCCAATTATCACTTGGATTAGCCGCGAAAGGGGAGTATTCTGTGAGTCGTGGCAGTATGCTATTTTCCGGATTATGAGGACATAAGAAAACGCATGTTCACATTCATGCCCTCTATGAGAATGTTATATTCATCGGTAATTGCAGTGGTTAGAAGCGAGCTAGCCACAAAAGCAAGGCCTAAAGGTGTTCGGATGTGCCCGTCTATTCCATAACCGGACCTCGCCGCTGTACCTGAGACGCTAAAATGCTTGTCAAGAGACAGGAGTGGAAATGAGAGATCAGATCAGTTCGGAATTTATTAATAACAAGTACCTAGAAGGACCGTGTCAATCCCCTCAATGGAGTAGCGTTGGTATTTATTTGTATTTTGTATGCAATCGACAGACCTTGGAACTCGCATACAGCTTCGAATCTACATTGACAACATAACCCTCCAAATTCGCACATGTCAAACAGCACCTCTTTCGAATATTCTAAGGGCCCACTTGTCCGGCATACCGAGAAAATCAGATCTGAACGGAGACTACCTAGGTTGGGTCCCCTATCACATGCTTATACGAGTTGTCTTCTTATCCACTTAAATGTGCTCATTGTGGAGTGGACAACAACTGAGACATGCATGCAGATATGCAGATATGGTTCAATGGCTATTTTATACTCTCGTAAAGACGACCTCTATCCCGATGAGACTATAATGCGGTGTTTTTGGTAGAGTCATACGGTGTTACTTCAACGATGTAGTCGGGGAATTTCGCCGATATCCTCCAATTTTAGAACACTCGTATAACTACGGAGTATGTTTTCCACGGTTTGTAGTGGAAAGCCTTAGTCAAACTATATTTATATTTAAATTCCCAAGTGTCAATTGAGATTTATTTCCCTCATCTCCACAAATAGGAAGTTATAGCGAGAACAAAAGGGCATGAACCGATTGGGGCAGGTCCTAACCGCCGGGCACTTTCGATAGGCCAATAATGGACTGCCGATGGCAATGGCTTTTCGGTGGAGATGGAGTGGAATAATGATTCGCTATGTTTAGCTTTAGGCTTTCAATTCTTATGTATTCGCTCAATTTAGTACTCAAGCTGGTGCCTATTTCCCTGAACCAGCCACCGTAAAAGCAAGGTACTACTAGTAGATCACATCTGTACGGTGTACCTGTATGTACTATGTACCGGACTTTATATTTTCCTGAGTGCCGCTTTATTAGGGCGCCCAGGTATGTCTAGATATTCAATGTCGAGGAATAAGCATCATTGGCAAAAAGAAAAGCCTATATGTAAAGAATGCATGTAGAAACATTACATTCATTTCTTTTAGTACGCTCAACTTTTTTGATGAGATCGGTCTATGTTGTATACTGGAGTACACTGGAGTAAGCCTTCCAAGGTTGGACCCTGGTCTTGGCGGTTACTTGGGTGATTATTCCATGTTAGCTTCGCTTTCCAACTATGTTGTAGTTAGCGTTACTTAGATGGCTTCGTTGGCCTCAGCTTCCTTGTCCATTTGGAATCCAAATTAGTTTCGGGCCGTTAACATTCGGGTATGAATATTCAACAGCGAAGTATTTACGCTGCGCGATTCAATTACCAAGATAGGAAAGAATTGCGCGCTTAGTGCCTCACAGATCAGGCCACAATATGTCAAAATCGGTGATTGAGTTGCTCGGCTTTCTTCGGTGACCCAAAAGCGGCAAGGAGTAAGCACTAAAACAGAAGGGAACAGCATGTCGGCCCGAAATTTGATGTATAAAATGTAAGATTACTGGAATAATATACATTGTATGTATTTTATCCCAAGCTGAACTGGGTTAAAGCTGACACTTAGCGTGGAGAAACAGGGTTTATTACCTCTTCTCTCCACTTCTCCAGGGCTTCTAGCCTTGAGCATCGTTTTGCTTTAAGCTTCGATTAATTTTCCTAGCTTTCACATGATAAATTCTTGAATTTCTGGTTCGCATCCTTGTGGGGGCATCGAAATCCATCGGATACTTTTTGTCAATTCGACTCTCATGTCAATTCCCCCCCATTGCACGATTTTCACTCGACACAATGACTCGATATACACAGTAACCATCGTTACTTGGACGTAACATTGAGGCTCCTGATTTATGGGAAACGATCAACTCTCATTCCCTGACAGTTTCTGGCGTGTGTGTATGTGAATATGCCCGAGACCTCCACACCTAAAGGCGAATCAAGCACTCCACAAGGATCAACCCAGCAGTTAAATAGATCCTGCGAGTCTTGCCGAAGTCTCAAGGTCCGCTGTCTCCCCAGCCCATCCACACCTAACCAATGCCAGCGATGTGCGAAAGGCAAGCGATCCTGCGTCTTCGTGGCGCCGCAGAGACGGCGGCCCCGGAAACGGACTGACTCGCGTGTCGCCCAGCTGGAAAAGGAGATGCGCATGATGCGTTCGCTGTTGAAGAATCGCATCCCTGAAGAGGAGCCAGATTCCAGTGATGACAGCGACGTGGACGAGGCCCAGGATCATGATTCGGCCGATGCGGACTTTAAGAGCAGTCTCGCCTTGCGGGATCACTCGACCCACTCGTCCGAGGATGTCCGTTATATGGACTATTCCCCTGAATTGTTGGATACCCCGCACGCCGGCGTGCATGATAGTGGTGGCTTTTCGGCGCCGACTTTCGCGAGTATGTCGGTTCGCAGTGAGCCGGAGCAGGAGAGGCTTCCTCCAGCGGACGACGTGATCGAACGGGGGATTCTCTCTCTCGAAGACGCGGAGCAATTGGTGGCGTATTTCATTCGCGAACTCGCTTTCTTCTTTCCATTGGTCGTCTTGCCTTCGAATACCACGGCAGCTCAACTGCGACAGACAAAGCCAATCCTCTTCCTCTCCGTGATTGCCGCGACATCCATATCCGTCGATGCAGGCCTGGCAGCCGTGCTGAACCGCGAGATGGTCCGCCTCTATTCAGAGCGGTTCTTCGTCGAAGGCGAAAAGTCATTAGAGTTAGTACAAGCACTGCTGCTGATGATCATATATTATCTCCCGCCCGCCTCGCCATTGAAGCTGCAGGTTTATCAGTACACGCACATCGCTTCGACGATGGCGCTGGAAATTGGGTTAGCTAATAAACGTCGTGTCTCGAAAAAGTCCGACCGCAAGAGCAGCAAGCATGACGAGGTGCTGGCTGAGCAGGCGAGAGCAGTCCTCGGCTGCTACCATCTCGGTTCGAGTGTTGCGATGAAAACCCGTCGCCCAAATCTGCTCCAGTTCAACGACTGGATGACAGAGTCTCTGAAACACCTGGAAAACTCGCCACATCGAACGGATCAACATGTCGCGATATGGTTCCAGCTGCAACGAATAACCGATGAAGCAACGTCTTCATTCGGCTTAGATGACACCAGTACCAGATCGACCCTAACCGAATCCCGCGTCCAGGCCGTGCTACGCTGGTTCGACAAGCGGCTCGAAACGTGGAAGAAGAACGTCCCATCAGAAATGCTCACCGGTAAGAAACACCAGTCCTCTCACTTGTATCATGCGTCCAATACTAACCGACTCCATCACCAGTCCCCATGATCCTCGAATACCGCTCCACGGCACTGGTGATGTACGAACTGGGCGTAGGAGAAGGCTATCGCGACCCAGACGCAATAAAGCGACGATATTACACACTGCCGACCCTCGACGGAGAAGGCAATAGCGGCAGCGAAGCACCAGACGCCCCACTCAGCGCAATCCGCATCGACATCAAGGTGAAATGGATGAACGCCGCACATGAGCTGCTGGACGCGGTGCTGACCTGCAGCACGGACACGATGCGTAAACTCCCGAACCTCATGTACACCCGGTTCGCGATGGCCGTGACATCTCTGCTGAAAATCCACTTCTCCGTGCGAACCGGTGCTCTCGGGGAAGTCGTCACGCCGCAGGCCGTGAACGTGGCTTTCTACCTCGACGCCCTGGCAAACAAGCTAAACGAGGCCAGTGGCGGGGGCAAGTACCCCATCCCCAGTCGGTGGTATCATGTCGTGGGCGTTAAGGGTCGGGATTGGTATGATCGGTTGGAGAGGCGGCAGAGTGGAGCGATGGAAGCTGGTTCCAGGGTTGTATCGGGGAGTCCGTCGAGTGGCACTGCAGGATCGATCTCGGGTTCGGTATCACAACCTAGCCAAGGCCAAAGCCAAAACCAGAACCAGAACCAAGGCCAAGATACACACTTGGACCATGTCCCGTCAACTATGAACTCCTTCCCCGTCGTCCCTATGCCCCCAATGCAGCCGGCGATGGACAGCATGCGTGACGGGTACGTACCGATGGGTGGTCCGGGTATGTGGGCCATGGACGGCGGACATAACCCACAATTCTATCCCATGAGTGCGGCGGGGTATCAGCCCTCAGTATCGCATGCGCAGGCGACGTTGCCGCCTCAGTTTTCGTATGAGCCGCAGAGGGTGCCGGTTAGTGCTGCTGGGCAGCATATGGCTAGGGCGGGCATGGAGTTGGATGGGTGGCTTCCTGATGGGAGTATTTTTGGGGTGCAGCCTTTGCCTGAGTTTTGAGATGGACATTGGGATCCTGAGATGAATGAACCCTGCGATGGGTGTGCATGTGGGTAAGTCTATATATGGTCATAGATCAGAGATGAACTGCATCGTATCAGCTTGTTGATATTTTATACCGATATCCCGTGGTCATATCAGCAGGGGTCAAGTTATACTTACCAAGTATATGAGAACAAGGTCCAAAAGAGAGGATCCAAGAGGGTAGAGCAGCTCAATGACCCAATGGTAGATGGAGTATAGAACTCGAGAGGTAGTGGGCATACCCACCAGTGCCCTACAAAACGACCGTCAAGTCACCAGGACGAAAAGAAAAGAGAAGAGAGGAAACCCCCAACCAAGAGAGAAATATTCCAATCCCCAACGGAGATTAAATCCCATCTAACCCGAAACTAATATGTTCGCAAACCACCGTCGGAGGCTCGGGAGAATCGGAACTTCCGAGATGGAACCGTCGGGGGTCATTGATGTATTGAACATGGGTCTGATGTGGGTTTAATCGGGGCTTGGATATTTCTTTCGGCGCTATAAGGTACATAAGTATGTTGTTATGTTGCATTGACATATGTGCTTCATGGGATTGGCTCGTGTCTCTTGTCTCCTTGTATTCCGGACTGATTCCGAGCCGAACCTGAACCCGAGTTCGATGCAGAAGATGATAGGTCCTGGGCTTCTTAGATTAGCTTGATTAGCTTGCGAATGCATGTTGCTATTGGATTTCGATTTCATATATTTTCTTCCCGCTATTTGTGGGGTTTCTTTGGAATGTGCTGTGTATCACTCATGGAGCGGGATGTAAGAAGGATCCGAGTCAACAGACGGGAGTCACATGTAATAACGCATAGGAGAATCATTAACATAGTTTATGCAAATAATCTCAATCATAACAGGTTCGTCAATTCATTGCATGGGTAGAACATGGATATCAAGAAAAGCCAACCGAAACCAGGACCAACCACTTGGTCTATTCAACTCCTCGGGAAAACCAATAAGCGCAGTACGCCAACAAAGGAAACTGTCAAAGTAAGAAATGTAAATCACAGAATTGAAAATGCCTCCAACGCGTCCATAAACCCAGCAATAGCCCCGATCCCTACCAACCCCCTTGTAGCATTACGAGTCAACGCCTTATGTCGATCCTTGGCATCTTCACGCGAGGATCGGCGTGGGTGCGAAGACGGGGACCGTTGACCTGAGCGAGGCGGTGAGGCTCGGAAGCTAGACTCGGGGGATGAGGAGGAAAGCGGGTATGCAGATGAATGGTGGCGGGGTTGGAGTTTGTTGTTAGGGATATTGTTGTATGCTTGGTTTCGGGCCCTGGGAGGCTCGAAGTGGACTTGGTTTGGCGATGAACCTCTGGGGGAGGGGTTGGTATTGGGATTGGTGATGGCTGGGTTGCTGGGTTGGTTCATGTTCATTGGGACGGATCGAGGCGCCGTGACGTAGTCTTGGTTTGGGTAGTATTTGTACGGCTGCTGGGCAGGACTTGGCTGTGTGTGTGAAGGCGGTGGTGGAGGACGGGGTAGAGCATAGTTTGGTGGTGGGAAGCTGCCGCTTGGGTATGTGGGGGGGTCTGATATCGGGATTGCTGTGACTCGGAGGATATCCGGATGAGAGGCTGTTAGAATGGAACCGGCGGCCTTGCATGGGGTTGGTGCTGTGCGAGGGCCGAAGAGTGTCGGATCTTTGCTCGCCCTCATCACTTGAGTCGATGATTCTCGAGTCGCTGCAAGGTTTATCTCGATGCTTAAGGTGTTCGTCCGGCTCTGGTTCGCTTTCCACGTGGGCCTGGTAGCTGGAGTACTTTCGACGTAGCTCTGCTGCATGCTGTCGAGCCTCTTGTGAGTGGGGTTCCCTCCAGTCCATTGTTGATCCCTCGAGATAGTAGCCTCGGATATCGTGGCTATCAAAGTCTAGCTCTTCGGTATCATCTTCTTCGGTGTCTGAAGAGACATAGACTCGAGGCTGTACTCGCTTGTTGGATGTGCTAAAGCCCCTGCCGGCGTGGTGTAGCTTCGAAGGTTCGATCAAAGGCACCCAGAGTGGAAGCAGCCAGTTCAATGTACTCTCTGATAGTTGCACCATATCCTTTGGAGATCTTTCCATGTCACTTAGTCCAACGTCGCTGTCTCCGAGCGTAATGATGGGGAGTCTTGTTGGATCCGAGCGTCTGGTCAATGGCTTCGATGTCGATGCCGTATTGGACGAGTAATTGGAACTTATCCTCTGGTTTATCGGGTCACTGGCAGCATCCAAAGTCTCCTGTTCCACAAGATCCCACAAACGATCTAGCCGCTTGACAGACCAATATCGGACGATGATCATGTTCTGAGACTCCGCTTTCTCCTGAGCAATGGCATCGTCCGCGATGGAGGTAAGTGAATCAGTATCAGTCCCCTCGTCGACGTTGGATTTGATAATGTTCCCGAGCTGTAAAATTTGCAGCATCACAATCAGGCTGAGCTTGAGGGATTCCAACTGGGCTAGCAAGTATGTGACATGCTGCTTCCGGAAACACCATTTGAGTCTCTCCTGCAGTGGGATCCTCATAAGATCACTGTCTCTATCGGTTGCCTTCAGTTTGTCCAGCATGTGTTCGATTTCGATGAATATCATCTGGCCTTGTCCGGCGATCTCCCAGGCTTTCTCTGTGGCCTCTGGAGACTGGTCAACATCGGTGCCCTCAATATTCTGCCCAACGTTTTTGAGCGCCAGAGCAAAAAGCGAGATTCCCTTAGCGATGCTATGGATTTCCAGTCTGGACTGAGCGAGTTGACAAGCGGCAGCATTGAGGAGTAACGAGAGCCGAAACCCCGCGCCAGCGATCTTAACAACGGAAGCCTGTGAGCCTTTAGAGAGAAGGCGCTCATTAGTAGAATATCTCAACTTCTCAAAGGGAAAGTCGTACCTTGTGTCATGATGAAGCAGTATCTCTGATCATATCAAAAAGACAAAGTGGATTTCCCCAGGATCATAATCTCCAAGCTACTCTCTGCCAAGAACTAGAGCCGCAAGCCTGCTGCATATCAAGTGACTCACGTCTGACATACGGAGTATGGTATCTGAACTTCCGGGGGTTCTCTGTTTGTACCCCCGCGATTCATGGCGTCATAGTCCATGTTTTCTCACCTTCTCGTTGGTTTACTCGGACGGGCGCAGTTGATCTTCAACTTGAAATGACCTAGCGCGTGTTCTTCCTTGTTACGTGAAGTTTCGGGCAAAAGTACCCGGCACTGCCTCAAACATTGATCAACACGACGTTCCGCTCGGCTCTTCGCCTTGGATTTATTTATCAAGACTGTCTCGCCCCTATCAAAAGGGCACACTCTCTACCGGAGGTCCTCGGACGCCGGTGAAAGTCCATACCCTTGCTCTTTACCCGGGGTTTCCCCCAGGGCGAAGCATAGTGGTAATGACCTCGTATTATAAGAACTGGGTTCTGAAATGAAGAGCTAATTCAAGACCTCCGCTATCTCCGATTCAGGGGTTTTTCCATGCTTTGGATAACAACATACAATGAGGTATATAGTCACACCCATTATTGTATGGAGTACTCCGTAGACATGCAGCTATTCCGAGGTGGATCTTATAAGCATTGACCTGTTTAAATGTGAAACCTTTCAAGAGTATACATAGCCAGATAAAGAGAGAAACAAAAATACTCACAAAATATCTCAAATATCCCAAATATCCAAAAGAATGTATACTATTATTCAAATATCTAAGTATCTACTGTTTTCATTCAGACTTGTTTATTTGGCAACTGACCCGATGGGCGCATTTCCGCTTTCGGTTCCTCAACAGCTCCTTTTGCTAGTTGCCTAACCTCCTCCAATACGTCTAAATTTCTCTCTACAATAACTCTCTAAACTCTTTAATTACAAAGTTGACTCAAATCCTTTGTTGTGGCCGCTGTGCTGGCTAATTGATCTCTCCTCTCTCCGCCGCATTCTCCGCCCCTCCTCCTTTTTCGCCGCGTGGCACACCGTCATCTGCGGAGATTGACCCGATGGCCATCTAGTGTCCCACCATCGAACGTGGGAAACTTAGGATAGGGCGAACACACCCAGATAAGAGCTCAAAAGCTCATCGCAACAATTGTGAGGCCGGATGGGTGAGCTCCCGAAAGTATCGCGAAGGAACGAGAGGACGCAAGGGACAACTGGGATCCGATACACTACCTTAAGGCCCTTAAGAGCCTCAAGTCCATGAAATCATGACCGCAGCCTCGGGTGTCACCGTAGACACCTCCGATTCTCCTATACCCTCCCCGCCGAACGCCACCAATTCGTCCCACCACGAGCCCCAATCGACAAAGGGCAACTCCCCCACAATCCAGAACGAAAAAGAGACTGAGGGCTCAGCGCCCCAACCGGTAGCACCCGAAGCTACTGCAGGGTCTGCCAAACAAGATCTCCCTGCATCAGATGAATTAGATGATTTTGGCCTTCCCATTCGAGCACACCAACCCGACCCCACACCCAGCGATTCCCCCGAAGGAGAGAATGCTAGCCAAGACATCCAGAATGCGGCAGTGAGCTCGACGGGCTATGATGATGATGTGAAGAAGGCGAAGGAGCCAGAGTTGTCACAGGACAAGCTGGAATCGGGGGCCCCTGAGCCAGCCAATCCGAATAATACAGAAGAGCGAGGCAAAAACGCAGAGCATCAGGACAATTCTGCTGCACCTCCAGAGTACTCGCAGGCCTCTAGTGCTCTTGCTCAGCCTCGCAGCTCAACTTCAAAGCAGAGAACCGCCCAGGTGTCAGAATGGTCGCACCAGCGCCTCGCCCAACCTGATGCACATCATCCCGAGAGTGAGGAGTCAGATGCAGAGCCCGACGAATGGAAATCGATGCCTGCACTTGGTGAATTCGACTACTATGACGACTATGGAAGACTCATTGCTCGTGGCGCCAAGGAAGAAGACGACGAGGCCGTGTACCAAGGATTAGGAGGAGCAGGGAGGGGTTATACTCGCGTGCAGCTCGACGAAGATGCCCAGTCTGCCACAAGTCTAGATGAAGATACAAGCTATCTGTTCCGAGAGACAGGCGGCAATTCTGCTGGCCTAGTTGGCGAAGAGCTGCGAGATTCTATCAGCCAGCTCCAGGCCACTAAAGACCTTCTCAACGAGACTCAAAAGATCGCGTATGTGGGGGTTGTCAGGTTGGCAATCCATAATATGAACCACGATCTAGCGTCGATCGCCACAACCAAATCCACGCGCAAAACCATGCAGAAAGCCTCGGATGCTATGCGAAAGTGGGGCCAGGCGATCATGGGGCGAATCTATGCTCATATGGATATCAATTCTGCTGAGCAGATTATGATTGAGCAGCTCGCGGAACATGGAGTGCAACCAGAAGATCTGGTGCGACCACTCATGCAGAATGCGCGAGTCAAAAATCCTATGGCGGAGAGTGAACCGAAGACTTCTACTTCCAGTCAGAAATTAGACTCTCCATCCAGGTTCTCCGCGGAAACGGATTCATCTGAATTAGACCCCCCCACCGCCATACGAGGCCCATGAGACCGAGGAGCCCCCGGAGGTCAAGATGCCTTCTGAGATGCCGACCTCTGATCGCATAGATATCGATCTCCGCTGGACTGTCCTATGCGACCTGTTTCTTGTGCTCATCGCAAATTCAGCGTACGACGCTCGGTCGCGAACTCTTTTGGAGAGGGTCGGCGCAGCTTTGGATGTAACGTGGCTACAGATCTCACGGTTCGAAAAGCGAGTCACAGACTCACTCGAAATGCAAGAACAGGCCGAGAAAGAGAATTGGGATGAGTCAGACCACATGGAAAAGCGCCGCAAGATGGCCTTGAAGCGGAAATATATGATTATGGGCTTAGCGACGGTCGGCGGCGGACTGGTCATCGGCCTTTCTGCTGGCCTGTTAGCACCTGTCATCGGGGCTGGTATTGCGGCTGGTTTTACTACGGTGGGTATCTCTGGGACTAGTGCATTCCTGGGAGGAGCCGGCGGCACGGCTTTGATCGCTTCTAGTGCTACTCTAGGTGGAAGCACCATTGGAATGAGAGCTTCGCACCGACGTACGGGTGCAGTTCAAACGTTTGAGTATCGACCCCTTCATAATAACAAGAAGGTCAACTTGATCGTGACGGTTTCTGGCTGGATGACTGGCAAGGTTGACGATGTCCGTCTACCTTTCAGTACTGTTGATCCGATTATGGGCGATATCTATTCCGTGCTATGGGAGCCTGAGATGCTTCGAAGCATGGGTGACACTATCAATATTCTGGCAACGGAGGTAAGCGCTTTAAAGCTGTGTGGAATTGTTAATAGACTAACTGGTTCTTTAGGCATTAACACAGGGTCTGCAACAAGTACTAGGTAACACCGTTCTGATGGCACTGATGGCATCCTTGCAACTACCACTTGTCCTCACTAAACTCGCATACTTAATTGACAATCCCTGGATTGTTTCGTTGGCACGCGCCAACTCAGCCGGCCTCGTTATGGCCGATTCCTTGCGAGAACGAAATCTTGGCAACCGGCCTATCACATTGCTTGGTTTCTCCCTCGGCGCGCGTGTGATCTTTTCTTGTTTGAAAGAGCTGGCCGAAAAGGGCGCCCACGGGTTAATTCAGAATGTATACTTATTTGGCTCTCCCGTCGTGGCGAACAAAGACGAATACCTGAAGGCTCGCAGTGTTGTGTCTGGGCGGTTCGTGAACGGTTATGCCACAAATGATTGGATCCTGGGCTATCTCTTCCGGGCAACAAGTGGCGGCATCATGAGAGTCGCCGGCCTCGCAGCTGTGGAAGGTATACCGGGCATTGAGAACTTTGATATCACCTCGCTTGTGAATGGTCATATGGATTACCGTACGGCTATGCCTCGAATTCTGAGGGAAGTTGGTTGGGAGGTTCTCGAGGATGAGTTTGCCGAAATCGAGGATCCAGACCCAGATAACCACGCCGAGCGACAGCGCGAGTTGATTCGGGAGATTGATGAAGCTCGCCGGGAAGCGGAGGCGAAGCCAGAGAAGAAGCGCTTTGGTCTGTTCAAGCGAGGCAAGATGGCCGAAAAGAAGAAATGGGAAACTTATGATGTCGATAAAAACACCGCTCCTCGCAATTCAAGCGAGCCCGAGAGCAGCCCTGGCACTGTCCTCTTCGACATCGAGGCCATTCGAGCCGAGTTGCACTCCGAGGCGATCGAGGTCAAGGAATTGGAGTCGACTATGCCTCTGATGAAGCTAGACCTGAACGGTCCGTCAGAACCACCACCCGCCCAGCCCTCTCCCCCTACCTCCAAGAGGTCCAAGACGCCCGAACTTCCAGCTGTTTCTCGGACTTCTTCGCTGCCCCGCAAGCATCGGGGCAGTATTCTCCTCACGGGCCCAATGAATTCTCTTCTGTGCCAAAGCACGAAGACTTGGAAATGACGTTTGACACATCATTCCATGAACCCCCACGATCCAAGAACGATGACCTTTACTCTCGTCCAGAGTTGAGAACTGCCTCTACAATGCCGACACTTGGTACCAGCACCCTCGGAGCCATGGCCATGGAGCCCAATGCCTGGGCAGACCATGATGAGGGACATCGGGATGGCGAGATATCGATGACGTTCGAATAGGGTCGGCTCCGGGGATTTTCTCATTTTGCTTTTCTCGCCTCTCTTTATACTTTTCTTACCTTGATTCGGTTCCTAAGACTTAATGAGGCGCATGGCTTGCACATGCGGTTTGGCTTGATTATGATCCGATGTATATATGCCCATCCACCTATGTATAGAGGCAATCCTAGCTTTTACAACTATCATGATATGATCTCAAGTTACGTGCAAGCGCATTGGCCCAGCTAGGTTCTTTGTCTGCTTTCTCGTGTCCTCAAAGCTAAATTACGCAGCAAATCCAACAAAGAGACGGTAGTATTCCAAAAGATGTACAGCCATAAGCTAAAGTTCTATCCCATAGATAGCTAATCGAGTCTTACCTAGATATTCCTAAGATATTGTGAGAAACCGCAGTATCAAATCGGACTGCAGTCGCGTGTTACGCGTTTCCCCTCAATTTGGTGCCAGGTCCGGTTGGCGACAGCGGCAAATTGGACAAAAATTGAACGGCATTTGATTGGTTCACTAATTGACTAGTAATTCACCGCCCTGCTCGCCGCCTTCCCCCTCTTTTTTTTTATTTAATATAAATTTTGGGTTTTTGCAACTGCCATTTTGAGTTTGTTTCGTATCTCTCTAGGTATCCTTTTTAAATAGGCGTTTTGGGTCTCTCCTTAACATTGTAGCTTGAAGGATGTTGGAAATAGATAATTCTCAAACCGTAGAATAACAGTGAAAAGCATTGGTTGTTCCCACAAACCACTTTTCAATATATGACCTTGCAATAGTTGGTGTATTAGGATAGTAAGATACATATGTACCTAAGTAGATCTAGAGATGTTGTTATATCTTCAAATGCACACTCAATGATTTTCTGCCGTATAAAAACCCAACCTTGGCGACGGTTCAACCAATCACATTCTCGTTGTTCGATATGCCGCTGTAGTCCGCCGTAGCCAGGTGTCCGCATTGTCTCAGCTTCTCGAAACCGAGTATTCTTTGTTTCGAAGACCAAAAACCCAGTCCAACAAGATTCAACCTCTTACCTCGAACTGAACCGCAGGCACCTTTGCGCGGATAGTTGAAACCGCGCAACAACGCGTTCCCCCCGTCGCAAGCCCGAATTTCCCCAGGCCTGAGCAACACGCTTCACATGAACGCGAACTACTTCTCTTTGACTTCCAAGCTTTGAGACTCCCGATTCTTCCCGACAATTGATATTGGCAATTGGAGTCCTCCCGCAGTCCACCATGGCAACTCAGGCCAAACCCGATTCCAGCTGGGCGTCCAATCGGTTGACGAGGACGAACGCTCCACCCGGGCATCTTTTGTCTACTTTCAATAAACCTGAGTCGGAAGATGCGAAAATCGGAGTCGCGGGGATAAATAAGGAGGGTGTCCATCCTAGTGTCGAGACAAAGCCGGAGATTGATACAGACGCGGAGCCCTTGAGCTCCGGTGAAGAGGAAGTCGAAGAGCCCATGCCAGACATCGCTCAACCTAGCATAGAGAACAGGCCAGAGACTAATACAGACACCGAGCCTCTGAGCTCCCCGCCTCTCAGCTCTCCACCTCCCATCTCCGATGAAGAGGAGGAGGAAGTCCCGAAGTCGAGCGCTCCTCAGTCTAGCATCAAGACGAAGTTGGATATCGACACCGATGCCGATCCTCTAAGCTCTGATGAAGAGCAAGTTGGCGATAGCGATGCTTCCCCACCTCGCAAAGAGGTGAACTATACGACTATGACTTTGGAGGAGAAGCTTGCGGAAGGAAACAACAAAGCGTACAGTAGTCCACACACTCATAATGGATACTCTCGCAAAGGCACTTTTTCGCGAACCCTCAGCGCTATGACGGGCTCCGATGATGAGGACGATCTATTTTTCTTCTCCTCACAGAGCCACAAACGGCAAAGGGCAACAAAGTATGCGTCCAAGACCAGTTATTTCAACAGGCCGTCTTTCCCCCCACGACCGACTGAGAAAGCGAAAGAGCCGTCACCAGTCGAGGAAACCCCCAAAGAACCCGAGGAAACGTTCATAATGCCCAAGGACATTGAAAACTCGAGTTTCCGAGAACCTCGTGGCGGGGAAGACTCAAACTCCAGTTTCTCACACGGCCCTTACACGATGGAAGAATACGAAGCAATGCTGCTTGATAATGATTCACCACTTTCATCCCCATCTTCTTCCACTTGTGAGCAAATGTCGCAGCTAGAGGAACTCGCAGCGAAAGAGAACCGCAAACCATCACCACCCCGCCGAGCCCTGTGCCCGATGTGCCATAAGGAAGTAGACTGGGCATCGCTGGAACTTTTCAAGTCACAGCCGAAGCAAAGAATTCGCGAACAGGTCATGTTCTGCGAATCGCACAAACTTCGCAGTGCGATGGACTTGTGGCGGGAGCGAGGGTACCCTAACATTGACTGGGATGGGTTTGAAGAGCGTGTTCAGAGCTATTTCCCCCAACTTGAAAAATTACTTGTGCCTGGTGCTTTCTCTTATTACCGAAATATTTTCAGTGCCTCTTTCGCACCAGGGAAAGCGAGAAACTCCCGTGTGAGACTGAGTGATGGCGAGAGACTCGAAACGATGACCTGTGGTTATTACGGTACCATGGGTGCAACCAAAATGTATGTGGTATATAACCCCCGTGCTCCATTGCACTAAGCTAACATCTATGTTCAATCTAGACTGAGAGACAATCATCCGTCGTTTCTCTGTGGTTGTACGTCGCCTGGCGACAACAGATGATCTCATCAAGACGGCAGGCGTGGCTGGCTACACACAGTCTGTTCTTGTGCCTGAACTGGCGGTGCTCTTGGTCAAGGATGACATGAAAGTCACCGACGAAGACGCCCGTCGGATTATGAGGGAGAGTATGGACATTGGTCACAGGGTCAATCCAGACCGCAATGTCGTCCCGATACCGGAAGAAGTCGATTTATGATTGTGGGTTTACTCCGTTACATTTGATACCATGGGCGCTATCTTCTTTCATCTTGTTTCTGGCTGTGAGGTGTGTTTTGTCTCCTTTTGCCCCCATCTCAAGGGTCATATAGTTTATCATCTTGTGCGATGGTATATAGATAGCCATTATGATACCACTCATGTTCTGTCTTATATTTATTGGAATATCACTTGTATCCATTCTCAATTGGAGCCCCAATTAACGCATAGTTGTTATCGATTTGTGATGAAACCCGAGTAACTCGCATAGATCGTAGATATCAAAATTAACCCGAAGAGGCAATTTAATGGCGGGCTGGTCCGCCCGGGCGTGAGGGGTAGCTTTGTCAGCCGATAAGGTGATCGCTCGGGTCGATGATACAATGCGGAGAAGCTTTCCTGGGCAAAGGTTGGCATTTGCACTCTTCCATCAACACAAGATGAGAGAGAAAGACATGCGATTCTCAGAGACCACCCCTCTACTGGAGGTCAATGTCGCTCCTCCGCGGCATAGATATCCGCACCATGCTGTTCGTCGAGCGTGTACTTTCTCCCTTGCGGCCCTACTTTCTGTGGCGACTGTTCTATTCCTACTCCCCACCGCTATTCTGCCTCGAGAGGGTGGATCTATTTGGTCCTATCTCCCCCTGGGCTCACCCAATCCCCCCACGACGCATGGCCGCAGAGCTACGGTCTGCCTTACGACCAGCTCCAGCAGATCCTCCTCAATGTTCCTTCCGCAGATAAGGCCCGAGAGTGGAGCCAATACTATACCGCAGGGCCACACTTGGCAGGAAAGAATCTGTCCCAGGCGCTCTGGACTTTGGAAAAATGGAAGGAATTCGGTGTGGAGGATACTGGCCTCGCGGCGTATGACATTTACATCAACTACCCGCTTGATCACCGCCTGGCCCTCTTGAAGACGTCCGGTGATAAAACTGAAGTGACCTTTGAAGCTACATTGGAGGAGGATGTCCTCGAAGAGGATCCTACTTCTGGCCTGCCAGACCGTGTCCCAGTGTTCCATGGCTATTCTGCTACCGGCAATGTGACCGCACAGTTTGTGTATGTCAACTTTGGCACGTACAAGGACTTTGAGGACCTCGTCAATGCCAACGTCACCTTGGAGGGTAAGATTGCCATCGCCAAGTACGGTAGGATCTTCCGTGGGTTGAAGGTGAAGCGTGCACAGGAGCTTGGAATGGTCGGCGTAGTTATCTACAGTGATCCGCAGGAAGATGGTGAAATCACCGAGGAAAATGGCTATGAAGCTTATCCTAATGGACCGGCACGGAACCCCAGTGCTATCCAGAGAGGTAGCACTCAATTCCTCAGTAAGGATTTTCTTCCGAGACAGTGGCATTCCGAAACTAACTTGAACAAGGTATCCTTCCTGGTGACCCCACAACCCCGGGATACGCATCCAAGCCCGGATGCGAGCGACAGGATCCGCAAAACTCCATCCCTTCAATCCCATCTCTCCCCATCTCATACAAGGAGGTTCTCCCATTCTTGAAGGCGCTTAACGGTCACGGCCCCAAGGCGTCGGACTTCAACGAGTGGTGGCAGGGTGGCGGTCTTGGCTACAAGGGTGTGGAGTACAACATCGGACCATCTCCCGAGGATGTGGTGATCAATCTCGACAACCTCCAGGAGTACGTGACAACGCCCCTGTGGAACGTCATCGGTACCATCAAGGGCCACATCCCCGACGAAGTTGTTATTCTCGGTAACCACCGTGATGCGTGGATTGCCGGTGGCGCAGGAGATCCTAACAGTGGATCCGCTGCTCTAAACGAGGTCGTCCGCAGCTTCGGCGAGGCTCTCAAGGCCGGATGGAAGCCATTGCGCACTGTTGTCTTTGCCAGCTGGGACGGTGAAGAGTACGGGCTTCTTGGCTCGACCGAGTGGGTAGAAGAATCTCTTCCATGGCTCTCCAAAGCCAACATTGCATACCTTAATGTCGATGTGGCTACTTCGGGCACCGATTTCAAACCTCGGGCCAGTCCCCTTCTGAACAAGGTTATCAACGATGTCACCGCTCTGGTGCAGTCCCCCAACCAGACCGTCCGGGCCAGACAGTCCGCGATGTGTGGGATGGTAAGATCTCCACCATGGGCAGCGGCAGTGATTTCACTGCCTTCCAAGATTTCGCCGGTGTGGCCAGTCTCGACTTCGGTTTTGGCCGTGGTGAGAATGACCCGGTCTACCACTACCACTCAAACTACGACAGCTTCGCATGGATGGAAAAGTACGGTGACAAGGGCTTCCTCTACCACCAAGCTTGCACAAAGCTCTGGGCTTTGGCCGCGGCACAATTGGTGGAGTCTCCCCTTCTAGCGCTTAACGCCACCGACTATTCTCTTGGCCTTGAATCCTATCTGGACCACATCAAGCCTGCGGCAGACAATCTGCCTGGAAAGACCCACTTCGACTTCGGAGCTCTAGATAGGGCCATTTCTGAGTTCCAGGATTCCGCAAAGGCTTTCGATGCCCATGCTGCGGACCTGCAGTCCCAGCTTGGTGATGACGTGCCTTGGTACCACTGGTGGAAGAAGGTGAGACTGTGGTTCCAGATTCGCGTTACCAATGCGAAGTACAAGGGCATTGAACGGGCTTTCTTGTACCAACCCGGTCTGGACGGCCGTAACTGGTTCAAGCACGTCGTCTTTGCCCCTGGCATTTGGACCGGTTACTCCGGAGCCACCTACCCCGGACTAGTAGAGAGTCTTGAGGCTGGTGACGTGGAGAATGCCGAGGTATGTTTTTGTACTCCCTCTTTTCTTGCAATTGCTAACTTATTATCTCTAGAAATGGAGCTCCATCATCCAAGAACGAATTGATACTGCAACAAGGTTGCTGCTGTAGATGGCTGGTAAGCAACTATCTTACCTTGGTATGATAGAACGTTGGACATACAGCACAGTTGGCTTGTATAGGGACAGCAACTTGAACAGATCTCATAATTGGTGTTGAAATCGGGGCCTTCCAAGATTGTAAACAGGCACAATTATATAGTTCCCAGCATTAAATTATGCGCACATTACCCCAGACTTCGTCATATGACTAATCAATTGCATGACCGAGCTTCATCTGCGTAACTTGCATCTCTCCTAATCTTACCCTCGACCCATAACCCTCTAAACCTCAAGAAAAGAAGAGACAACCCGTCTTAACCCTACAAGATGGTATGTCCACAGATCTACATACTTCACCATGACTACAATCCAATCCACCCCAGTCAAACCCTCCAACCCATATCCAAATCACCATGAACATACCACCCCACCTCTTATATCTACCGCAAACAATCATAGACTAACAAATGTAGGCACCACCAACAACCTCCGCTCTCGCCCTCTCCCTCCTCACAAGCCTGGGCGGGATAATCGGCTACGCACGGACCGGATCAATCCCCTCAATCGCCGCCGGCGTCTCCGTCGGCCTCGTCTACCTCCTCTCATTCCTGCGCCTTCGTGCCGGCCAATCCTACGGCGAGGAACTAGGTCTCCTGGCCTCGGCCGTACTGGGTGGAAGCTCTATCCCGCGCGTGATCAAGACGGGGGGCAAGCCTGTTCCGGTTGTTTTGTCTGTGCTGGCTACTTATGGGCTTTTTGTTTTTGGGTTTGCGTTTAAGGAGAAGAGGGCGTGAGAGACTAGGATTGGAAATGGAATGAAATGAGAAAGTTAGGGGAGAGATAGTGGAGTTGAGTTGTTAGTTGGTTTATATTGGTTTATAGTGATACTCCCAACTTAATTGAGACTTATTAGCCATTTGTGTATTGGCTTTAGATGTTGGATAGATGTATACGGGTGCTACCTTACTGTAGGAGATATGGAAGGGTCACGAAATCAAACATGCATTGGTAGATAAGGAAAAGCGCATGAAATACAAGGCCAAAACGCCTGAGATGGATTTCCTACCTCCAGAGAACCGCTAAAAACTTACATCGACCGTAGGTGGCATCACTTTGCCGTCTAGACATTCACATAAAACAGATTCCTCCGGGGTTAAACCTCCAGTGAGGTGTCAGGAGGGAGGATCAAAGGGCATGGCACGTACTGTACGTAGGCTCGTCGATGTGACTTTCGCGAGCCAATAGCTTAGACCTGGGCCTCCCTTCCCCGAACGAGCGACTCAAGGGAACCTCCCATTTTCGTTTTTGATGTTTTTTTGGGGTTTTCGATTTTCTCCTTCAATGTCTTTCAAGATGCCTCTTGATCTCGCATCATCGAACTCAAACAGTATCAACGTTTCCTGGGGTTGCCGGGAGAGATATGGTGGGACGGGGGAGGACTCGCCAGACTAGGATTTGGAATCAGAGCCACTGAATGACAACCAAAGATCCAGCCAGAAGAATGCTCATATGTAACTAGAAGTAGTGACGTGTCGACTTAGCTGGGTTCCGTAACTCCATCACCTGCAAATGCAGCAGGAAAAAACAAAGCAGAACTTAATGTGTCGTATCGAGAACCGTGTCGGACTCTTGAATGCGGCCCACGATTACGTTGCCGGGGAGCTCGCCGAGGGCGGTTTGCGTGCTTCGGTCTGGGACGTATGCATATCGAGGTAGTTGCGCCATCTTCTCCTCCGGACTGAGCGTATCTTCGTTGTAGACCAATCGGATCGCAGGCTTGGTCTTTTCTTTCTTGGGTTTGCTAGGAGCCTCTGTCTTCGAGGCCACGTCATTGGCTGCGCCTGAAATCTGATTGTCAACAGGTGTGGAGACATGCTCAGTTGGTTGAGCGCTGGATCCATTAGAGTGACCTGGAGCTGCGGGGGTGGGGGACGGGACATGTCCCATATGCATCTGTTGCATTTCGTGCGCGTTGACCGAAGGTACAGCAAAAGCAGGACGCTGGGGAAGATTCGAGGCGGCCGGTAGGCCCGTAAATCTGTTATCGGATGGTGGAGGTTGCTGTTGGGGCAAAGGAGGAGCCCCATAGGACACTGGTGGCTGTGCAGGAAGTCCAGCGGGGTATGGTGAGGGATATCCGGTCGGGGTGTAAGGCGAGGCACCAGGGACCTGCTGTCCACCAACTGGGGAGTAGCTTGAATAGACAGGACTTCCAGTCTGCGGGAAATGAGGTGTCACACCAGCAGGGGGGGCCACCGTAGGGCTGAGGGTAAGGAGTATTGCGGAGTGGCTGCGACCGGAGGTGATTGCGCCTAATAATATTTGTTAGTTTCAAGTCACTTCACGTTGAGAATACCAGGGTACCACTCACATATCCACCGGGTGTTGGTGTAGACTGAACCGCACTAGTGGGTGTCACATCGCCGCTGCTACCTCCGGCAAGTGCCTCTGCACGCCTGGCCTTGTGTTCAGCCAGTCGCTTCTTGAGATCTGAAACAGGTTCGAGCTTGGGCTTCTTTGTCGGCTGGCCGCCAGAAGACGCCCCAGTAGGAGGGTTTCCTGTCGCATGCTGGCGATCCAGCTCGGCCTGCTGAAACTGTGAAGCAACACGCTGCCGGTGGGCCTTGAGGACGTCCTCAGGAATACCCTCCATGCCGAAGATTTCAATATCGACACCCATGCGGTTTGGCAGCGCATTTTGGACCTGAGTCAATTGCTCCTTATGGACCTGGCTCAAATGCACGGATAGACCTAGTGACACAGGCCATCAGTAAATGCGCGCACCTCATCTGAGATAAGATGCAACTTACCTCCAGCGGTATTCAGCCTGCGATTGCAGTTGTCACACTTGAAATGTTTTGCTTTCTGATGAGAGATGAGGATCTTCAGGTCGTCAAAGTCACGTTCGCAGTAATAGCACCATGGGCGATCAAGGAGCTCCTCGAGAGAGGGACCGCGTCTTTTTTTGCCCATTGTAGCGTCGATTCTTTAAGCGATTTGAAAACCGTAAAGGTGTGGTGGTTGCAAAGGAGGGGAGGTTTGCTCAGGTCGCAGATCCAGAAGCTCGCCATTACGGATGAGGCCAAGCCTTTATCACGTGCTTGGCACGTGATGGACTCCAGGAGCCCAATGACTGAGGATCAAGACGCGTCGACTGTCACTATTGAAGTAAGTAAGTATGTACACATGTGCAGGATACCATACGAACACTCATTTTGCTTCAATATAAAAGCCCTACCCTAATAATTGCGCCAAGTCTTAACTACACTGTCTATGTAGTAGAGGTAGTTGGCCCAAGTATTCTATGGGATATACACGGTGAAAAGGTGTAACATGCGACGCGATAGAAATTTACATCCACTGGAGCCAGCTTCCGGTTCCAAGAGCTTGGGGAAAGCAACGTTCTATGGCTTGATCTTCTGTGATAATCCTTATATCTCGTCGCTGAATTTTAAGAAACGATTGTAGCCAAGAATGTCTCAATCCAGTCAGAATGGATCTGAACAACTCGGAGCCTGCCTCCATCTGTCAGACGATATCTATATCAAGGAAAGGAACACTTTGACCGAGTCGTTGGCCTTGAGCGTGAACGTTATCGCCGTTCGATGCACCTCACCGAATGTCTTTACCATTGACTCTCCCAACTACCAACGTGACTTTCTTGATGTCTCGGAGACAATTCGCAGTATCATCTATACTTTCAATCCAGCTACCAATACCTTGATCGTCAAGATGCCCGGTGAGACACATGTGCACGTGGGAGCAGCTTTCGATGACGCCGTTGGGGATATGATTAGGACAATGGGGATTCGAGGGGCCTTTGTACCTTACCACGGGGTAAACATTGATGTCAACAGGATCAGCAAACAACCAGACTTGGCCCGGGCCAAGCATAACCCTCCCAGATGTCACTGCCAAACGGCTTACGGCGGTTGTCAAAATTGTCATGTCGGGGAGTAAAAAAGCTGCAGCAGGACATGCATCTCTGGCTTGACCCCGCAAGGATAAGGTCAATATTGCCATCGCCATCGAAGCGAGCCGTACACTACCGATAATCGCCATTGACAAGTAAAAATAGGACCACACAAATGGCCAGCCCACACTATCGCAGCACATCGAGATCCGGGGAAGTGACTCAGAGGATGAAGTCAGTGTTACTGGGGCACCGCTCATTATCCCGTTCCATCTTTTCTTTCTGCGGAATCCAGTACCTCCCGTGGAAAGTGATATAAGCATCGGCGAAGAAGGACTCAAGGAAATTGGGACGTGGGTCTGGGGTGAACAGTCTTATGTCAAATTATAAAAGCGCAATTATTAGGGCAGGGCTTTGACGTTGAAGCACAATATAGCCGTTGATTTAAGTACCATCTACCTATCTTGAACAAATCCCGAGTTCTTATCCAAAATACAATGTACAACATTGGAAACTAGCATGTACAAGCTAAGAACTACAAACAGAGGAAAAGGATTTTTATACAACATGAATTTGTCCTAGAATACATGTACTGGTGCCCTGGCAGTGTCCGGACACTGCCAGGGCACCAGTACCTTATGATCATAATGTATTTGATCATCGCTTCCTGGCCCAAACCCCAGGGAGGTCAGAGATCACAGGGAATCACCTCCACCCCGGTTTATCGACCGCGGGCTCAGCCCAATCACGAAGAGGGCCGTGCACCAAGCAGGGAAGATAAACCGGGGCGAAGATAATCCCCTGGGACCCCATTCCAAACCCTGGGGTGGGCCAAGAAGCGATGATCAGTTGGTGTCGAGGCAATCCTCAGTCCCCTCTCTCTCACTTGAAAAAAACAAAAGTGAGATGAACATGAAGTAAGAAATATCTAAAATGAGAGAGAGGGACAACTGAGGATTGCCTCGACGATGCCGGCCTGCCCTCAACGGCGTGGGTCCCGCGGGTTATGACCCGGGAGGGGACCCATCCCGTGGTACTGGACGTACGGGAATGGGGCGTACTGGGGCGGCATGGGTTGCCCCAGTTGCGCCATAGGCGCAACAGACGCAGCAGCAGCAGCGAAAGGGTTCACTGGGCCGGGCCCGTAGTGAGGGACCACCCCCATAGGAGGGAGGGTGGGTGGCATGGGCTGCTGCTGCTGCGCCTGTACGCTTGCCATTGAGGGCAGGCCGGTGGGCCCCTTAGGGGCGAGGTTGCCAGCAAGTGGTGCCAGCGACGGCGACCGCTTGCGGCGGCCGTGGCTAGTGGGCTTGGGGACCTCGTCGGCGGCGCCGTCGACGGTCCGGTCCTGCTCGATCTGGGCCTTGGATCGCTTTGGGTTGCGGATCCGTCCTTCCCGGTTGAACCGGTCCCAGTGATCGAGCATCGCCTTGGTCCTCTTTGGGTTCTTCGAATTGGCAATCTTCTGGCGCCTGGCCTCCTCGATCGCCTCAGCAGAGAGAGCCTCCTTCTTGGCCGGTGCCGGGGTGGGTTCGGCAGGGCTTGCGGCGGCCGTCGGTTCGACGACCGGGAAGGAGGTCTCTGCTGGAGGGATCGATGAGGAGGCCAGGCTGCTAGGGCCACGTCGACCCCGGCCCCGAGATGAAGGTTGGGTTGGGGCAGGGGTGACTTCGAAGGTAGCCCGAGAGGAGCCAAGGCGACCAAGCCCACGGCCGCGTCCGCGGCCACGGCCACGGCCAATGCCTCTGCGAGAGTTTGCATCGGAGTGAGTTGATTCGGCAACAACAGTTTTGCCGCCGCGGCCTCGTGTGCGCCGCTTTGCGGGGTGGTTATCATCATCAGTTTCGTCCCCATCCGCACTCTCATTCTGAGTCTCTTCTGTATCAGTTGTTTTGGCGGGTACTTCAACCTCTGCGGCCTTGCGCTTCCGGGTGACTTTTGGCACAAGTGGCTCGCGTCGAGGTTCATACATGCGAGGGTGATATTCAAGGCCATGCTTCTTCAAGGGTGCCCACCCATCAGGGTTAAGATCACCACTCTCTTTGTTTTTAGCAATCATTTTTCTGGCTTGTGCAGGAGTTGGGACAAAGCCACCCTGCACAAATGGATCCTGTTGTGTGCGGATGGGCACAAGTGGTGTGTTGCCAGGGAAATAATTGTGTTTGTAGCCATAGAGCATGGCCTCCTTCTTTTCCTCGAAGTCAAGCTTGTCCTCATTGACGCGAGCCAGAGGGGCTCCACCCTTTTTCTTGTGACCCTGCAGTTGATGTCGCTTTGTTTGATATGAGGGTTCATCTCGTTTGTGTCGATGCGCCTTAAGGTAAAGATCATCGAGAGCCAGGTATTCATCTTGAAATGCCTTCAGGGCAAAGGCAGCGGTTTGTGTGAGTGCGTAGAGTTCTTCGGGACTGTATTTTTCAGGATTGCGGAGCATGGTGACAAGCTCATCAATTTCCTGAGCCTGTACTTCAAGAAATTGACCTTTGTCGACTTTGGCCTTCTTGTAGGGAAGAGGACGAGGGGCTGGTTCAGGAGCATCACGTTTCCTTGCCTTGGAAGGGTCGTGGAAAGCACTTTCCCAAGTAGACTCACACTTGGCAGCTTCCTGGTCGTAGTTGGGGGAGAATTTGTTGGCATCATGAACTCTCCAGAAGCGTTCAAGGCGCTTTTTCACATCTGGTCGTCGCCACTGGGCCTCGCGGAGGCGATACTCCTCGGGGTATCCAGTACGCGGGTTGGAAAGCCAGTCCAACAGGTCGCGTTTAGTTTCGGGCATGTTGCTCACATTGTCTTGGATTTCGGTTTGCTGGGTGTCATTGATATCGTCAGTGGTCATTTCCACTGCGACCTCTTCGCCTTCTTCATCCTGAGCCTCGCCATCTTCGGGCTTGGCAGCTTGAGTTATGGGTTCTTCTTGTTCAATGGCGTCGTCGTCTTGGAGATCGCCATTCTCGTCGTAAGTATCATCAGCGCCATCTTCGGCGAGCTCTTCAGCGAGGTCTTCAGCTCCATCATCGGCACCGTCATACCCAGAAAAGCTGATAGATTTCGGGTGAGCTTCGTTGATATGATCATTCAGAACATCTTCTTCAGAGATGCCTGCGTCATCTGGGAGCATCAAAAGCTTCCCACACCAGTCACACTTGAGCCGTCGAGGCATGGGCTCTGGGGACTGGGAGATCTGGGTGGAAGTAGATTGGGGGCGGAATGGTTCAGAAAATTGACGGCGTAGGGGGGGAGTCCTGGCTGTCACCAACATCCGAAGAAGGATTGTCCCCATCCAGATCGGCCCTTGGGATAGGGGCCATTTTGGTGCAAATGGACAGGGAAAGAGAAAACAAAAAAAAAAAAGAACAAGAGGGGTATGAGTGTTTCAATAAAAAAAGATGAGAAAAATGAGAAAGAAAAAAAATAGAAAACGCAGGTCTCAAATGGAGAATGAAGAATGTCAAGAAAGAATCTGTATAGATGGTCAGCGTTGGTTCGCTTGCGGGTGCCAAGACGCCAGTAAATCGCAGCGCAATTCCGCGGTCCCAAGGCCAAGGCACAAGGCACAAGGCATGGACGGTCAACACAAGGATCGCAAGACATTGTAAACCCAGTGAATGCAACATGTAACATAAAAAAAGCATGAAAACATGAGACACGGTCGGGCAAAAATGCATGGATCAAGATGTGACCGGGAAGTACTGCGAGACTGTGCCAGGAAAAAAAAGTAGAAAAGACGCGACACTTACCATGAGATGTTTAGAGTCGACTTGAATCCTTGTGGATAGAAGACACGAGTCACAGCCAATGACTGCTGGGTATTAGTGAGTGCTGCAAAGAAGGGTGCAGGATGGGTGTGAGTGGCTGCCAGGGATGTGTACTTACTATCTGACTGGGGAAGGCTGGGTAGGTGACAGTCCACTTATTGGGACACAAGACGAAGTGGGATGGGAGAATATGGAGAGGGGTTGGAATTTAGGAGACAAGTGAAATAGAGAAGATGTCAAAGGAAAAGTACGCCGCAATCTTGTGTTTGGCGCGCAGATCTTGCGTCTCCGGGTAGTATGAAGAAGAAAAAAATGATCTTCGCCGACGCGACACCGCGCAAAGAAGAAGACACGAAAACAAAGGCAATAGATGAAGTAAGATTACAGAACAGAAAGAGCACAGCTGAAGGAAATAAATGGGAAGGTGAAATGGGTTTAGGATGATGAAGTTGAGAAGAGATTGAGGTTGAGAGAGAGATAGTTTTGTAGTTTCATAGGCAGTGGAAACCCCGTCCTGGCCCGACCAATCAGAGGCTTCCTATCTACTAGCCACATTGGACGACATTGAGGAAAGGGGGATTTGGATTTGGATTGATCACTATTGAATCTCTATTGATCTGATGATTTTATTGATTCTTTGTATTGTATTGATCTTTAATCGTCTATTCTCTTTATTAATGCATTGTTACCTACTCTTCTGTAGACTTTTGTGTTATTCGCAACACACGTCACATGATACGTACTTTAAGGGTCGAACAATAGTTGTCTTCTCAATAGCCGGCAATTGAGGCAGCTGAAAATTAGAGCAAAGCTTTGTCTATGCGCTTAATTTTACGGACTCTTCCATGGCCGGTCTCATGGACTCGACTATATCCATATTCAACGAGTAAGTCTCGGGTAAGCGACAGGGACGGGACCTGAAAGATATTTTAATTTATTATATTCAAATGGCGTGGGTGACTTCCCTTGGTCCACCCCGCTCCCGGTGCATGGTCTCCATACCTTGTGTCACCGGGGGGGAAATGACGCCTCATCCCGGGTAGAATATATGGACCAGAAGCTTTTAAATATTGTCACCTCTTGCTACATTGCATCTAAGATGTAGACAGCATATAGGATGGGTCCAGCATATAAATCCCCCTCGAAGATTCTCCCCTATTCATGCACCAAGTCACAAGCAGAGCCAGCAGACATGCCAAAGTCAAACTAGCCATAGATGCCAAGAAAACTGTTCAGATCCAGCGTCATATAGTATATATCATCAGATATGACGTTATATTTCCCGAGAGTGACCATTGTGCTAGCTGCGTCGCTATCCGCAAGAATAATCGCTCACGTCTCCTTCGTCTACACGACATCCCAACCCTCCGGGGCTTGTCGAATAGAATCCTCAGTCAAATGTTGATAACGTTTACAAAAATTTTATGTTTGTCTCACAATTACTATCTACATAACGACTTGGTGAGTTGGATATGGTAGGTTGTCACATTCATCTAGGCCATCTACAAGGGTCTTTAGGGACCGTCATGCCTAATCGGGCTGCTACCTTCACCATCGTCTTAGTCCCCTGCTACATGAGTGGTACACAAGAATAACTAGCCAGTTATACGGCCTTGATATGTTTCTCTAGCAGTCTTTGTAGCAGACTTTGGTTTTAGATATGTCCTTAGATGTAGTGTTCATAGATATTTCTTCCCTTTGTCAGTGCTAATAACTACAGAGTGTACATAGAAGGATAAGAAGAATTAGGTATCACTATCTGCATATGCCACATACTTTTACATACAAGTGACATGAAAAGGTCGGGTTCCTGCGATTCATTTTTGTGCCATATCACGATATTATCGTTGTAAAACACCTGTCTTACGATTATCTTGCTATTATATTAAGACGGACGAGCTAGACGTCCTGTCTTCTCTGTGTCCCCAATCTCGGGATGTATAGAGCCTGTCACCCGATGAATGTATCCCATATTTCCAGTTCTCAACCTAGATCTCCCAACTGCTTCTTTTTTCCCCATTGCTTCAGGTCAAACGTACTTCCCGTAGTTCATCTTGTTGTCCATTCCACATGAAAGTAACCCATTCAATAGTATTTTGGATGCTATCGTCATCATTCAGAAGGTCAATCGAGCATTGTCTTGGCCGGTTTTGTCCGTCTCATAAGCCGCAGTCGATCAAGCTGCGTCTGCGATACGATTTCACACGCCACGCATTCAACCGAATGAAGCGGCTTTCCAAGAAGGGCAGGGTAGGGGCCCCAAAGCTTGATTTCGAAACCCGTTACTCGAGCACGACGCATAACGGGGGTGGCTTTGACGATTTCAAGGCTCGAGAAAGCGGATGTGAATCCATTAATGCCCTGTAGAAAAAGCAATATTGCCTTTGGAATGGATCTCAGTCTCCAGTCCAGCAGTCTTCAGCAGAACTGTCAGGTGCTGTTTGCTTCTGCCTTAACACGACTGCTGAGTCATTGTCTTCCAGGAATTTGCGGACCATCAGGGAGGGGTTGTCACTCATTGTGTGGATATGCAGATGCTGACCTCAACAGGCCAAAGATCCCGAGGTCAGGCCAAGGGATACGAATGGTACGTAGCACTGCAAATTCTGCTATCTCTGTGTAGTGCCATGGAGGGAAAGAGATGTGATGACCGAGGCTTCCAAGGTTGAAGTCCGGAGATATTACGTCAGCAGTAGATCTTCCCCGGGGCCGCTACCAAGGTCCCCATAGAGAGGAGCCACAATCTAGACTCCACTGGATTCTGCCCTTTCATCCCGCCTTGTGTTGTGGAGTGGGTTGAATTGTTCACCGTGTTAGACCCGTGAAAATAAGTATAAATAAAGCAGGAATTGCTGGAAAGTACTGATGATCTAGTGCAACTAGTATGTAGTAAGTACCATGAGCAACAAGCATAATGGCTGGGGCATACAAGGTGGCACAAATGCCCAGAAACATGCGACATACTACAGGGCCTATACACTCCGCATGAGAATTGAAGCAGTATCGCACAGTAATATTTATCGATAAACAAATGGCAAATGTTAATTTGACTTGACAATATTCAGTAAGATACATTACTTAAGTGTCGATTGTTTTGACATACTAAACACCTTCCCACATCCATATCTAACTATATATATACAAACTCCATTTGATTGGAGACTTCCGCGTTTAGTTGTATTTTCTAGGCGGACCTACCAATTTAATTTGCTTTTTCTGCGAGGCTTGGAGGATGTACCAGCTATGAACCATACAAGTTCTCTCCCCTTGCATTTGCTTTGCATTTGGGTGGCGCTGCTGGAAGCATACGTCTCGAAAAGTAGATTCGGACCCTGCATTGGTGGTTATCCTTTATATAGTGCCCCCAGCTCCAATTTTGTTAAAACATAAATATCAGTCTGGCAAAATTAAGGAGCGCAACCTAGATAGGGTTGTCGGGTGGCCACCTTGGAAGTATCACAAGACTTAGACCCAAAGAAGAGTCAATACTCACATCATCCAGGTCAAATCGCCATGCCTTTGCAACCCGACTATCTGGTCGATATCTAACACGACATAGCCATATCAAGGTACTCGGCTTGGCGTTCTTGTTCGGAGGGCGAGGAAGACTATCTGGTTGTTTTCCGACACGAGATAGCAATGCCAACATACCTGCATCGGCGTCGTTCTGAAGGCGAAGACCAAACTGGCAATAGCACTCCATACTAAAGCGCAAAGACTTCAAACAGGGCATACGTTGGGTTGCATAGCCCAGGGATATGAGAAGCCGGTGGAATTGTGCTGCATCCATCACTGATGGTCCGCCCGGTCTCCGTTGGACATCGTACATCCGGTCATTCCAGCTATTATTTTCGATTGTGGCTCGGTATTGTGCGGTGTGATTGGAAACCCATTTTCCTAGTTCATTGTCTTGATTTCAGTGGCCATAGACATACTAACGGAGAAGAGATATCCCTTACCAGAAGGCAGCCAGGGGGGCACATCCTCAATTTCCAATGTCTTCAAATGGGGCCAGTGCAAGGACCCTATAATAGGCTCGCCTTCTCCATCCAGAGGACACAGAAAGTCAAATGAAAGTGTGGTCCTGTGCAGCTTCAACTCCCGAAGGTGAGTGCTAACATCTCGCAAATTGGTACTCATGCTGTCAATGCCAGAGGGTATGACATTTAGCGCAGGCATACTATGTTTCCACGCGCCGTCCTCCGAGCCTTTATAATGCACCACTCTTAGGCTGCTAGGAATATTGCCGAACAAGGAAGACAATGCTATTACGACTGTTAGTAAAAACGCCTAGGCAAAAACGCGTGAGAAACAAATTGCATGGCTTACATGCTCGACGTCCTTGTATATACTGTAAGTAATCCGGACGGACCCATTCATTGAGATCCAGCTCCAGTTCAGTGATGGTTGGACGGTGTTCGATGATAGTCTGCACTGCCCCAGCCCAGATCTGATGATGATAGTACCCGGGGGGTTTGTCCCACTTTCTGTTTAAGAAAAAGAGCTTATCAATACACCGAACGTGCATCAGATATCGATCTGGCATATTTTTGACAAAACGCGCCCGATATGGCTCAACAAGGCGTCTACCGGCGTAATCGACGGAATCATATGCACTAGCGGTAGGGAAGTGTAAAGCCTCTGGTTCCATTATAGGCCACCTGTTGTCTCGAGATACTCGAAGCCCTAGATGCAAGCTGAGACGGCAACGCTGGTTCCACGAATGAAGCGTTTGGAAAAGGTCAAATATAGCGGTCTGGAAAGCGAAATCATTTCCCTGCCTTACTTGGTTGCTCGTGCTATAATTCTGGTCTTGGCGTGTGGACCAGTCCAGTAGCTTGCAGGGGATGATTATGTCGAACTCTAGCGTTCGGACCCAGGTTCGCCGTATGGCGCGACTACCGGATGTGAGTTTTTGAAAATGTGTTAGAGAAATTCCGCGCGGTCCCTTTTCTTTATGATAGCAGTCACTATAGACAGCGAGATTGGCATACACCAAGGGGTCAAAGGCAGCCTGCCAATAGCGACACACATGAGTGCATGGAACCAAAGAGGCCCCGTCAGTTCGCAGAAGTTTTGCGATTTCGAATAGCAGTTCCAGGGGTAGAGATTCCGCCATATTGCTGAGGCGTCCAGATGATAACACTGAGAAGTTGATTGAACCAGAGCCTTTGAAAGCGAAAAATGGACGAATTGGAGAATCAAATATAAGGGAAGTTTTCAAGAAAAAAGAAAGATCGTGTACTTTATCATTGAAGACTTGGCGCCACATTACTTGGATGTATCACATTCGTCTTTAAATGTGATAGATCATTACGAGTGTTGGGCTAGAGGACTCTAATTGTGCCTAATCATCAAGCTAGTATACTTCAGTATTGGTACATATACTTATCATCAACAAAATGGCAACAGCTCTTCTAAAACCAGTCTATTTTGCCAGAAAGTTTTAACACACCTACAGCTCAGTGCAGGTGGTTCTTCTCGCCAACATCCAAAGCCACCAAAAACCGACTAACACAATTATAAGCCGCAATTGTAGCAGTAATTTCAACTACCTCCCGCTCATCAAAACACCCTTTCAGCTCCGCAAAAACTTCATCAGGCACCGTAACCGTTTTAGTCATGGCATCGGTATACTTTAGCACAGCCCTCTGGTCAGCACCCAAGACCGACGACGCAGACTCACTCGAGAAGTCCGCCTGGGCATCCCCAATAAACTTCAATGCCTCTGCGCTCAATCCACCTTCCGTAAGCAGTGGTGCATGTTGTTCCCACTCGAACAGGGCGCCGTTGACCACTGCAACGCGGCAGATGGCTAGTTCGCGGACGACAGTTGTGAGTGTGGTTCGGGTGCGGATTGCGCCAATAAATGAGTTCCAGCCTTCTGTGACCGGGTAGGAGTGCAAGAGAGCTAGGTCGAGGGGAGGAGTGGGTTTGGGGCTCGGCGGGCTTGAACGCTGGCTAGTATTCTGGCTTCGTCTGGTGTGCTAGTCGCTGGTGGGTCTGCAACATATGGAAGACGCATGGTGGTCAGTTTGCAGATTTGTAGGTGATCTGAATTGGAAGTTGGTTTGTTCAATGGCTGGATTTGGGTGGAATCTGGGGTCTAGTGTTTGATGTCAGTTGAGATGTGACGATGCTGTGCTTTGGAGCAGACAGCTGCTTTGAATGAGAGGCAAGTATTCGGTACCTGACAAGCTGCAATAGACTATTTTGGCAGAATCGGAACTGGCTCTATGGGAAAGAGCAACTATTTATCGGCAACCCCGCGTGGGTCCATATGGAGCGGATAAGTCAAAGCCTCGGGAGTCGGGTTTGGACTTCCGAGTTCCGCATGGTTTGGTTTGATTTTGCTTAAAATCCAAGTGGTATAGACTTGTGAAGAGCAAATGTGAAGATGTGAAGGTGTGGAGATGACATTGTATACAAGGGTACTCTGTACGGTGCGGGGTGACACATTGAATTCAAGGCCTGGTCCAACATCCAATATGTCCAAGGCGCATATTTTTTTCTTCTGTTGAATGAAATATTCAAGTTGAAGAATTACAGCTTTCTCGTCATCAGTTCAACTAAATTTGACTTTCATCAAGCATCTGCAGTCAGTGCTGTTGGTCTTGGCACATGATCTCCACAAGTTTAGAAGCTCCAAAGGTGTCGTCACCTCTCCTGAACATTGTTCCCGCCAAACAAACATGCCTCCAAAGGGCCCTAAACCAACCAGTGATGAGCTTCTAGCTCAGTTTGACGACCTCGGCCTTGGCAAATCCGAGAACAAAACATCTAAACCCACCGTATCCGACAATGCTAAGGGCGGGCAGGAGGACATCCTGGCCGAACTGGACCACCTAGCCACACAGCGTCCAGCCAGTGGACCAGGTACTCCGCGTCTGTCTTCCGATAAGCCCAGGCCATCTACACGATCTCCCCGTCCGAGCGCGACCATCGAGCGAGCGACCGAAGACAAGGCCCCAGTCCGCCGGTCTGAGGAGGCCAGCCAGCCTTCACGCGCAGAAACCAAGCCAGAACAGCCCAAGGCCGAGCCTGAGAATGTCCCCGCACAGCAACCAGCCGAGGAGAGTGCCGGCTGGTGGGGTGGATGGTCGGGGGGTCTGTTCGCAACGGCCAGCGCGGCTATGAAACAGGCCGAGGCGGCTGTCAAGGAGATTCAGAATAATGAGGAGGCTCAGAAGTGGGCTCAGCAGGTCAAGGGCAATGTTGGAGCTCTCCGTGATCTTGGTATGGATCCTCCTAACTCAACACATGCTTTCCAACATGCAGACTGAGCTAATTGGCACACGCAGGCGGCGAGCTTCGAGACAGGGCAATCCCGACGTTTACCAACCTCATCCACACCCTCGCCCCTCCTATTTCTTCGCATGAGCGTCTACAAATTCACGTGACTCACGATATGTCCGGCTACCCGGCATCGACCCGCTGGTCTATGCCGTATTCTCGCGAGTGATGGCCCAAGTCGAGGGCGGGGACCTGTTGGTGATCCAGCGGGGCCAGGAGTCGTCCCCGAAGCGCGGGCTCGATGTTAGCGGCTATATGACCAGTGCCGGCTGGAATGACGGACCCTGGTGGCGGACGGTCACCCCTGGACAACCGCGGAGCATCTCTTCCGTGCGAGGTGTCGTGGAAGGTTCCAAGCTCGCTCGAGCCAGCGCCGAGTCATACGCCACCGAGTACTTCTCGTCCCGTGGGGGAGTCGAAGAGGCCGCGAAGCACGCTTCGGAAGTACTGAGTGAATCGAACCCTGTCCGCAGCAGCGATATCTTCTTGGCTATCCAGGCTATCAGCCAGACTGCTTCCAAGGACCTCTTCCAGGCGGGTGCGACTGGCGAGAAGGCTACCGATGGAGCCGTGGAAGCTGATACGCAAGAAGAGGAGATCTGCTTTGCGTTGTACCTCCACGACCCCATCCATGGCATTGCGTTCCACGCCATCTCTCAAAGTATCCCGCAGACGTGGATTGAATGGCTCGATGCTTCGGTGCCAGCCCCTGAGAACCCCGACGCCGAGGATGCGAACGTTCAGCGTGTTGTGGTGCCCGAAGCCATCGCCGAGATCATCGAGAGTGGAGGCGTTGACCCCCGCGAGTGGGTTTCGGAGTGGATTGAGGAAACCCTCTCATTGACCGCTGGTATTATCGCGCAGCGATACGTTGCTCGACGAATGGGTGTCGGTGAGGGAGGTATCGGCAAGGGCAAGATGCGAGCTGAGCAGGTGTCGACTCTGGATAGCGGCGCAGGCGAAGCTGCACGCGCACTCTAGGACTGGTGTGATCTTCTATACCGAGCTCAAGAGCTGACGCTCTTATTTCAGCATCTCCTGTCATTTATGTGATACACCCGCTCCGATTGTTTGTACCTGCACCTGCACTAGCTATTTGATGTCTATTTCTGTATTTTGTTTCAGTGACTACGCCAGACTAGACTGTCTGGCAGCGAGAATAACAGCGAATGACCTTTATCAAAATCTCTTGCAAAAAGAAAGAAAATCGTGTATGCAATTCCCGTATATGTACAAAACGGACCGGCCTTCCTATAAACCACCATATTATGCATTTTCGAAAACCATTGCGGGTATCGTAGGATCATCCAAAGCATTCAGAATCTGTTCAAGAACCCATCTAAGAATCAAGGTCCAGCGGCCCTTCAAGACCGGGGACATGCCAGAAATTGGCTCGGAGGGCAGTCACACTAGACACAGCGTTAGCATATGCGGTTCCAGCAGCGTGCAAAAATAAAGAACCCATCTCTTACCTAGTCGAGCCATTCAGCACGGTATGAGCATCTGTGCCCACCTCACTCTCCTGCAAGGTCTTCTTCATATCCGACAAATCAGCAGACCACTTAAACTGGCGCTGTCTGGGAGAACGGGCATGACCATTAACAGCGGTACCATTCGTCTCGCCATTGACATGGACGCCATTCACACCATTCACACCATTAACCTTCTTCCCCGTCCCCTCCTCAGCATACAAACACCCCCGGGACCAGTAATACGGCAACGTGCGCGTATACAGCACCGGCTTCTCCTCAACATCAAGAACCATGGGAACATTGATATTATAAAGCTCGACGCGCTCGTCCCAGTTCTCATAAAGATGCCGCACAACCCTAACAGCCAGTCTCGCCGCGGCGGCAATAACATCATCAGGCTGCGGATCCTTGCTACCAAACGAGATAGCAATACCCCGTTTCCCACAGAAGACCGCCTCCAGCGCACCGCCTACCGTCCCCGAAGACAGGTTGTAGATGGTGGAGGCATTGCGGCCGTGGTTCGGGCCCGAGATGACGAGGTCGATGGGCGCCCGCTCGCTGAACAGGTTGTACAGGCCTAGTTGCGCGCAGCTGGCCGGTGTGCCGTTGCGGATCACCACCCAGTCGTTTTCCGGGTCTGGGGATTCAAAGCTCGTGTCCCAGCTGCCGTCGGCGTGGAAGGCGTCTGGGTGGACGTAGCTGGCTGTTAGGGAGGCTTCGATTAGGTGGGCTTTGCCGATCCAGGAGCGGGACGCGGCGGGGATTGCTACGGAGACTTGGTGGCCGTTTGCTTTCAGGGTGTCGACTAGAGGTCGTAGGTATGGGGAGAGTTTGGTGCTTGGTGGACCATCGTCGTTGACTACCTATTTTGGGTTGTTAGTTTATTTGTCTTTTCTCGCTTTTTTAGTTTTTTCTTTTTTGCTTCTTTTTCTATCTACGCTGTGCGATGTATTGCTCCGGGCTGGGAAGAGAGAAGGCAATGGGATGAATTGTCATCGATATCCTCCTAGGAGTATGGGAGTTTGGATCTATAAGCAGATCCCTGCAGAAAGTGGCTTTCTATACATTTGCCAGAGGAGGGAAAAAAAGGGACTTTTTGCCCGATGATCTCACTTACCAGGATGTGCATGACGGGCGGGATTAAGCAGCGCCAAGGGCGTTATGGGCGATATTCGAGATTTCGATTTGGATCTTTTGATTTTGACTCGGTCGAGGTTTCCCGGCGGTTTGAACAGGGATTTTTTTTGTTCTTTTCTAATTTTCTTATAAGAGGATAAGAAAAGAAATAAATATTCTGCACCCCGGAAATATTCGGGGTGCAGGACACTTATACCTGGGGGAATCAGGGTAAGGAATGAGCCATTGGCCACACCGAATTACACACCGGGGCATTGGGGTGAAGCTGTTCAGGCTGCGGGGACAACGGTAGGGCCGAATGCAGCGTGCGGTGAACCGATTCGGGTTTCTTTCGGAGGTATGATTTCTGTTACCTACATAAGTAGGTACCTAGGTAGGTCTTTGGGGAGATGTTGATGGCCTTAAGAGGGATAGATAGGTTATGTGCGGAGTACTTATGTGCTATGTATACAATGCAGAGTTAATAGGATAAGATGATGTAGGATGTTAATAGTTCATAGATTTAAAGATTATAGTTCATTATGCTGTTCAAGTCACTCATGTAGGGTCCCTATCGAGATGTTGTCTACTCCGTAGAATATATGTAGATATCAAATGAGTATATATCTATTAATATAATGTATAGTTAGATATAATAGTTAATCCTATGTTGTATATACAACATCTTCTGATGCAGGGTTTTATAGTCAGAAGTTTAAAGCCCAAAAGGGGAAGATGAGGTAATCACAGTTCTGCAACTTACACGGTAGAACAGGGTCTGGGATATATTTTTTTTAGCTTTTTTTTTATGCGAAGACAAGGAAGAACGTTAGTACTAAAGTACAATATGTAAATATATAAATATATATTGTACTGAGGGGGTTACATTTATCTGACTCCCATGTTACCGGACCATTCATATCTCAGGGGTCTGCCACGGATGTTGATCTGACACCATCACCTCTCGTAAGACCAGTCAGACCAACGTGTCGGAGATCCTCTCGGAGATCAACATGCCGGTATAGGCTCTACATAATGCTTTCTTATGTTGTACATATGTATATATCTCCCATATTCTTTTGATAATTTAGTTGAGATCCAAAGATTTCAAAAACACTTACGTCGAAGACATTGGAATCTATTTTCATACAACGTACAGCATAAATAAAACGGAAATCCCAAGGTGGTCTGTGCCACAAACACGCTAAAGACGATCGCAGAAAATCTTGTGGTGGGGAATCCCGGCCCTTCAACAAATCCTCTGGCCCCTCAACTCTCTCCTATTCAAGTCACCCATATCCATTACTTCGACGAAATCGACACACATATCTTCGCCTAAATAACTTCAATCTGCCATTCGAACCCGCAAAGTCTCAAAAAGCGACAGTCTTTTTGGGATCTTCGCTCAACGAGGTCGCCGCCGCAACCTCACCCTCTCATCCTGTATGGACTGTGGAAGTACTGGGACCGCTGCGGGGATCGACCCCAAAATCTTGGACAATTGGCAATCTGAGGGCGCTTTTTCTGTCGCCTCGTGGGAACATCTGGGTTACGACCAACCGCCCGAGTGGGACACCAGTCAGGAATCGAGTCAGTGCGATGCGGATATCGCGGATCTAGGCACCTTCCATGGTCCATTGCCTGGTGAATTCCGTCGTCTTGAGAACAGGTCCGGAAACCCCTTCCTAAACTCCTCCCTAATGTGGTGCGATGTTGATGTGTAGCTGACACTGGTTTTGTTGCAGAAAGCACGATGTAGCACCCGAGAACTTGGGCTACCCCGATGGCCTCGTCGAGGGCACTGGCAGCGGCACTCTCAGCCCCAAGACTATCCCATCTTCCGCCGACGAGAATTACCATTCCGACGAGGCTTGGCCACACTTTCAACTGTACAACTCAGTGAGCATGCCAATGGATGCATCTCTTCTCTACCCCTACGCGAAAGGACCAAGCCACTCGAATGGCGCTGTCATTGTCGACGATGTTGGGGAGATGCCTCACGGTGGTTTCTCGGATGCCCCGGCAGAGGGAATCATGTCGTTCCAGCAAATTCCACAGTCCTTCCCCATGATCCCCGAGGACTGGACCGAAATTCAACATGGCATTCCCGTAGACCATATGCCTTTGCCGCAAGAGTCCATGCCACTCTCTGCGGATGCACAGGATAACCCCAAGGATCACTCTCTGCGCGGGTTCCAGACGTCTATCAGATCGCTGGAATCGCGATGGCTCAATAGTCTGGAATCACAACTGCCCACCCAACACATCACGCCGGTTTCTCAAACCGCTGGCCCGCGAAATGCCCAAATAGGACAGGAGTTCCAATTCAAGTCTGAGAACTCTTCAGTGTCGGGTGATTTGTCGGGAATATACGAGTGCTCCTACTCCGCCACTAGCGACGATGCCCCGGCATTTGCGGACCGTCAGTTGGAAGACGACGATGTCCGATGGAAGACCTCACCGCATGAATCGACTTCACCTGAGGCGTCGCAGCCTGCATTCACCACCACTGCCTTCATGGTGAGTGAGACCCCTGAGTCTCTAGTCTCCACTGTTCCTTCAAGGTCGAGGGCTTCGTCGACTGCTGGCCAGCGTGCCGGTCGACCGGCACCACTTGCCATGCAGACTTCGGCTACAGTCAAGAAGCGCAAGGCCAGAAATCCTGCTTCAATGGATCAGGGAATCGCAAGGCCCTTGCAGATTGTCCAAGAGGATGGCCAAGGAGGCTCCATTGCGTCTGCGGACTTTGTCTCGCCCCCACGCGGTGCTCGTCGCAAGGGCCCATTGAGTATGGTTGGGCGGGCCAATGCAGGCCTGCGCCGAAAGAACAAGGACACTTGTGTTCAGTGTCGACTGAACAAGCGCAAGGTAAGGGTTTCCTGAATTCTAGGTTTTCATAAAGCTGACGTGTTGCAGTGTGACGGAAGCGCCCCTTGCGATGCTTGTCGCCCCACGCTTCACGAGCAACCATGCGCTCGTGCATGCTTCTCCAGTATTGTCGAGTTTGGAACCTGCAACTACATCTGTAAGGATCGATGAAACCTCCCGATGGATTGTTCAAATTGACTGACCCTATCTAGCTCAACGAGCTGTCAACCACCCTACGGTGGATGGTTCCAACCGAGTCCGGATGGAGATTCCATCTGAATTTGACCTCAGTCAACTATTATCTTTGCTTGCTGAGCGCCAGGGCCGGTTCAACATCCGCGCTAGTCAGGCATGGGGCTCTCTCTATGTCCTCGACCTGGGAGAGACCTACAAGTTCCTGAAGAACCTGAGCGAGTACAACGGCAACTCCAAGTCCACTTTCCTGGAGTTCATCGATCGACGAATTGTCGACTCGAAGGACAAGTCCAAGAACTGGCTGTCCTGCGTTGCCGACTGCGACCCAATGAACCAAGCCTATGTAGGTGTCCACTGTCCCACATCCCAAGAGCGCCAAATCTAACCAGTCTCAGACCCTCCTTTCCCAGTGGAACAACATGCCCAGCCGCGCGAAGTACAGCTTCGTATCCCTTGACCCAACAGGCGAAGAACGAACAATGGATATCAACAAGCCAGAGGACCAACGTGAGATCCTCCTCGCAGCGCAACTCTCCCGAATCTTCTGCCGCATGCTTGAAGTCGAGGGCTTCCGCAAGCTCGAGCGCGACTTCTACAACATAAAGTGGAAGCAGATCTCCCACGAGACGCACGTACGCTTCCTCGGCGAACTCGGCCACATCCTGCTAACGCTGCGGTGGCGCGTGAGCTGGTGGAAGCGGCTCGGCGACGGCGGCCAGAACCCCGATCCCACACAGCAGCACTACATCGACCGCGTTGAGCTGCTCTGCCGCATCCTCTACGTCTATTACACGTGCGTTATGGCGAAGCTGCCGTCCTGGTCGGCGGCTGATGTCCCCAAGGGCATCTGGTCGACGTATGCGGACTCGGAGAATGCCGTTTGGGATGATTTCCCTTCGGACTCCAGTGACGACGGCTTCAACAGTTGGATGGAGCGTGGCCAGGACCTGATTGAGCAGGCTGGTGTTCCTAGCCGCATCTCGAAGTTCTGAGATCGGGATGGCAGACCTTGTCTGCGAATATGGTTTGGATATATGGCATTGGAGTTAGAATTATAGATACCCTTTTTTTTGTTTATTTCCTTTTCTTCCTGATTTCGTTGTTTCTATTGGATACATCATGACTTTTACATACTCTGCCTTATGATTTGATGATTTCGCGCTTGTTATATCTTCTTCGGTTGGTGTTTCCACAATTTGTACATAGAAATTTTCGATATATACACAGCTTCTCTTCTCCATCTCTACTTCATCCCATCTCTTACTACCTACATACCTACCTGCATGCCTAGACATAAACCACCCAATCCAAAACGACAATAGAAACTGGGTATCGATTTCATGCACTCATATAACGAGCTCTAGATAGACGAACTGCAAAGACCAATCAAACAAAAACATCTCAATATATTAAATTCCCCGCACTTCAAGTCGCCTTCTTAGGACCAGACTTCAAAGTCCCATCCTTGCGAGCCGCATTCCGCTCCTTCTGCAGACGATCCTTCTTTCCACCAGCCAGCAGCTCGAGATGTCCTGCCTTTGTCGCCAGACTGCGTTCTGTCATTGAGACGAGGCCGGACGTGAGTTTCTAAAGAGCGGTGTTAGTGTTAGTGTTTCTGCTTTTTGATCTTGTCTCGCAGGACACATGTTGCAGTCTAGAGCGAGAAACCCGAAAGTGAATCGGTGCGTACCTTGGTCAATTTCTTCTGCTTGATCAGGCCGGCTTTCTTGGGTGCGACGGAGCGGACGCCCGGTCTTGTTGTCTTCGAGGGCCTGGTGAAGGGTATGTCAGTTTAACTGATGAATTGCTTCCCGGTGCACGGGTGGGACTGTTGTCGATGGTGGGTTCGTGTATGTCTGTGAGTGGCACTTACTTCCTGCCTGGGCCGGTAGGAGTGGCCTTTTTCAATGATCCTTGCACCATGGTTGAGTTGATTGGGGTTAACGGAGGGAGGTGGTAATAGATAGACGCTAGTGGAAGAGGTAGACGGGTTTGTAAAGTAGCACTGCCAGCATCACGAAGTGATTCTGGGCTTCTGTTTCTTTTTTCGGGGTGGGTTGCCGGAGGGAAAATTGCTTATCGGCTTATCTGATCACGTGTATTGTGGGACTGGGGCATGTATTTTCCGCTCCGAAGTATATCTGATTGGAATAATATTAGAGATGATGATGAAAGTGATGGAGATGGGATAGGATGGAGGTAGTTAAAAAAAAAAGGTGACAATTCGAGAACGACCGGAGCCGAACCGGAACAGTCAGGTAGTGGAAGATCTTAGGCACTTCCCTCGTGGTACACATGTGTATGTTACCACTAGGCCACCTGCTGTTGGGTCACTAGTGCTTAGGTTTGTCTTCCTTTCATCCCGCACTTGCCTAAGGTTGCTCCTTTGTTTTGAGCACTAGAGGAACACTATAGTATCTGTGTATGCATGAGGGGATGTGATGAGATTTATTTTGAACATTTGGATTCCTCTCTAGGACGGTGTGAGATGGGTGAGCAATACATATGTTGACATTCCTACAATGGATCCATGGATGGTAGTAGCCTCAGGCCAGCATTACATATTTTGCTCTGCCAACACTTTCATCATCAACCTATCATCAGGATGAACATGCAATTTGACGGTAGCTAGCTATATAAGGCAAGCCAGAAACCTAGCGAGACAGCAACGAGAATAAACAGGAGAAAGAAGTAAACTGTAGTACTTGGCCATTCATCAATTATATACTTGAACCCAATCTGTCCTTGAATTGGCTTTCCGCCAGCTTCGACCCATGACAGGGTTCCAGCATCAGTGCACCAACTTTCTTTGTCGTTCCAATAATGCCTTTGAGACTGCCTCCGTCAATGGGTATGCTCGATGTGAAGGCTCACTTCAATTCGCCGTGGATGTTGTTGCAAGGGCAAGGATATGTTAGAGATGTATGAATGGAGCGCAACAGTCGATGGTCAGGGTTCTTACCTCCGCCAATTTACTAGAGAGTTCGTATGCCAGTCAAGCCATAGCGACGACACACCATAACAGTTCACTCACCAGCAATAGTAGATGAGAAAGCCCCAGAGCACCAGATTCTCAAAACATCCGAACATGCCCAGGCCCAAGAAACCTAGCAAGAGCATTTCCAACAAGGAAGGGAACACGCATATGTCTGTCGCCCGAGTGAATTTCTTGGATAAACATGCCAACTGCGGCAGCAGCCCATGGTGACAAATGAGACACTGCGCCTTCGCCACGGAAAATGCCATACTCTTTGCCGACATGATTGGCAGAAAGTGTGCAATGGAGTAGGTGATCATGGTTGTCAACACCAATAGGATGGTGTATGCTAGACTTTACTGACCTTGCCGTTTGCAAGATGTGTAATCGCAGAGAGAGAGAGGCAGCATAGTCACGTTCGATTTCGGCAATGAGAAAGGAGGCTTCGACTTCGTCGACGAATCCCAGAATTGGGGATCTTTCTACGAAGGGAATAGAAATGCGTAGGGGACGATGCCCCAAAGGCAGGCCACGATGTCTGCAAGCTGTATTGTATTGATCAGCATGGGATTTCTCAAGAAGGAAACCCTCGGGACGAGCATAACCTCCCAGTAGAGATCCACCGTCCACCGGTTCAGGCTTGTCCATCCACCCCCATCAATCCAATACACTACCAAAGCCCGAGGGAATGGATCCGATTAGGCAGAACATAGCGTTACGCTTTTGCAGCTCAGGGCACGCGCACCAGGTGCTGGGGAGGTAGACACCGCTAGGGAATTGTCCAGTCCAGTCTATAGAGCGTCGAGAAACAAGTAACCAAGGCATTATCTTTGATTGATGAAGCCGAAGGAGTAAGATAGAGATTGTTAGCGAAGAGGCCTTAGTGTTTTCACTTATGGCGGAGCTTACAACAAGGTGGCAACCAGAGAAGTACAGTGCCCGAGAGAAAGGCTTTGGCCCGATATTGAAAGTCATGGCTGTGGTGGGGAGGTGGAAGATCGTGTATGCAATGAAGAATACCTGCGACGTGATGTTGTCAACATTGCTGGATTAGTGCTTGAATCGTCGTACATTCTGGAGCCATACACCATGTATACGCCTTATTCAATTGGCTTCCAAGGTTATCTCCTGCAATGGAAGGACCAAACGTGACCCCGATCAGGTGCCTTCCCTCTTAGTCAAAACTCGTCCCCTACCCCAGTTCCTTCCTGCCTTCAGCCACTGGAAAAATATAAATACCCCCTCCCCCCAACTTTCCTCCTTCTTTCTTTCTTCCCCAACCCCCTCCGGGTCCACATTGCACATCGTGGTTCCCGTGTTCAGCTCGGATCTTTGCTGCGGTCCAGGTTAGTCTGAAACAGATAGGGCACTACGGTTCCTATCTAATGGCACGAAGCATGTTGAGGCTTGGACCACATTCCTCCCTCGGCCTCTGTGGATACAGACTGTACTTTCCTGGACTCTCCATTGACATATAGGAGCTAGGCATAATTTTTGGCCCTTTTTCACAGAGATAGCTCTCTGTTGTCCGAAGAATCTTCTGAGGGCACTTTCTTCAAGGTTCCTTTTCATGGTTCCAACTTCCACTGCTGTCTCGTTGTCTTTCGTCTCCTGTCTCCTGCTGCCTCCTGTCTCTTGTTGTCTCTTGTTGTCTCTTGTGGTCTATTGCTTGTCAATGGTAGAATTAAAGTTCACGTTTATATCCAACCTCTCTTCACTTCCATTATTAATTAGCTGGTATTCGACCTTGGAAGGTCTAGAATATAACCTAAACCCAACAATGCCACATCAAAGACATTAAAGGTCTTCTGAAGAACTGCGTTATCGAGGTGCTAGGAGCTGCATGTGGTACCCACCTTGCCAGACTTGAACGTGACCGAGAGCAGAAAACGTCTACAGCAATACTGGATTTATGAAACTTGATGGGAAATGGAAAGCTCGCGACATCATCAAGCTGTGCTACTTGACTAGAGAGACAGACGGGATTCCCTATTCTGCTCGGATTATACTGTTCTTGTTTCGGTATAGTGTCGCTGTTCAGTTGAGTTAACTCTTAGGCGGACCCAGTTCACGTTGGCATCGAAGCGCAGCGGGCACTCGTCTTGAGAAAATGGAAGGATCTCAAAGGTCCTCTTGATTTGAGTTTTGAAATGCGATAGTTTGATAGATATTGTACATGATGCTGAAAAGAAAAACAATTATTCTCGCAGCTTACCTCCAGTAAGCGCCTCGCCAAGTTTCTTAACACGTTCCTGAGAGACATCCCAGCGAGCAGCCTCGTTGGAGCGAGTCTTGTTGGCAAGATTGAACACAGTCGGAGGGTTACCCAGGTTCCAGATGTTCTCGCCGGGCTGGTGGTCGTTGCGCCACGCCGGGTTCTCGCCCTCGGGGAATACCCGGTCAATTTCAGCATTGAGCTGCTCCTCAGTTGTAATGAAAGTGCGAGCATTCACATACAACGACTGGAGGTGCTCCTTCCGCTCAATCTCTTTCTGTGCCTGCTTGGCTTCCAGGCGTGCCCGAGAGAGCGCAAGGCGTTCCTCGCGGTTGGGGTCGGGCAAAACTGGCTGTTTGTGGGGCATCATCGCCTCGATGGTCGATGGGCGTGTGAGACGCTCGTCCTCCCGCTCGGGTTGCTGAAGAATGCGGTCTCGCCGATTCTGATTCTCAAGACTGCGGCTGATAATCTTTGAATCTGCGGACCTTTTGCGCGAGTACAGGTCGCGCAGACCGTCCCGCAGGTTCTGTCTCCGTAGATCCGCCATCTTGTGCTTCCATTCCTGCTTCTCGGGGTTGCTGCTATTTGGGCTCACTACCCGTTCCGTCTTGGGGAGCTGTGTGACCGCATTGAGGTATTGTATCCGGGGCTTGTCCGCTCGGCGGGCCGGGAAGAGCTCGCGAGGCACGGGTAGAGTACCCCTGACATGAGGTTTGCGGGGGTTGGTTGGCTGGATAATTCTCGGCACATCGATGAAGTGAGGCGATTCGGGCCCGACTCGAAGGTTGGAGGAGGAAGCAAATCCACGGACCTGCACAGTGGCAGTCCGGCTATTGCGGAGGACAGACATGCGGCGCAATTCAACCCTGGCAACCCGGGGAGTGATAAGACTGGCAGGGATGGTCGCAAAGTAAATAGTCGAATCAAAGGTCAACGACACGACCTTCAATGAAGCCGGGATGTAACCTGAGATTGATTACCGTATAATAGGGAGGATACGCGGTCGAGTAAGTCGGAAGAAACAGAAGCGATTTTCCTTGGCCCGTGCACGGCCATGTCTTGGCGCCAAAAAAAATAATTCTTTCGCCGCCTTTTATTTTTCTTCTTCTTCTCTTTGCACTCTGCCACTCTCTGTGTTTGGTCTTGCCTTCGATTTTTTTTTCGTCAGGCACTTATCTCCTTTCATATTTCAACCCACAACCGCTATCATGGGTACGGGAAAGAAGGAGGCCGCTCGTAAAGTGCGGCAGGGGAAGCCCAACGATGGCATGGCCAATGTCAAGACCAAAGGTGAAAATTTTTACCGGTATGTACAGCCTCAGCCATAATGCCTATTATTGTCCAATAACCAATACTAATTTGCCTTCCAGTGATGCCAAGAAGATCAAGACCTTGAACATGTTCAAGGATGGCACACCGCGTCGCAACGCACAAGGTGACATCACAGTCGCCGCGAGTTATCAATCTCGAGAGTTGCCCACAGCCCGCATCGAGCCAAACCGTAAATGGTTTGCTAACTCCCGCGTCATTTCCCAAGAGGCTCTAAGCTCATTCCGTGAGGCTGTTGCGGAGCGTGCTGCCGACCCGTACCAGGTTCTTCTCAAGACCAACAAGCTCCCCATGAGCTTGATTCGGGACAATGATAAGGTCAACGGCCTGAAGCAACACCAAGCTAAGATGGCCATTGAGACTGCTCCCTTCAATGATACCTTCGGCCCCAAGGCTCAG